ACACTGTTATGGTCTCCATAAATTTTTTTTAAACCCCCCCGGCCGGGGGCCCCCCCCCCACCCAAAACCCCCCCCCCCCCCCCCCCCCCCCAATTCCTCTACCCGCCCGCCGTGCAGAAGGACCTCGTTGGGTACAGTATGGGTGAGAATGGCTGTCATGGAGCACGAATTTCAGTTGCTGCCACTCGTGGACGCTGTCCATGCCGCGCTCAAAAAAAAAAAAAAAAAAGAGAACTGGGAGCGACCTCTATTATATAGCTGCGGCCTTGCCGCGTTGCTGACTTGCGGTCCTGACTCGGACAATCACACTAGGCCGTTTGTCGGCAATAAAATGCCGTGAAAGTCCTCCAGCCGAAGCGGATCCCTCGGGTCAGGTTCTCGTACGTATTTAGCCTGCAACGTCCGTACGAAACCGAGCCTGACGTCCCTTCGCCCAGCATCAATTGCATTTTATCTCGCCTCTCGCATCGCAAAGCTCGCGAAGCTCGCAGTGTACGGATTCTTGACATGCCTTCGCCAGGTGGTAGCGAGCCGGGAGCGACGCCCTACGCCCCTTCTTGGCCGCGCAAGCCACACACCAAAACGCGAAGCGGATGTACAATTTGTAAGAGACGCAAAATCAAAGTAAGAATTCTCGCCACTATCGGGTGCCTGGACTGACCAGTGCTACTGCTAGTGTGATGAGCAAAAGCCGTCTTGTGCCAATTGTATCAAGCACGGTGTGCATTGCAACTACGCGCCGTGGACGGCTCGCCGCTGGCATGGAACTGCGAGTGGCCGCTCACCAGAGACACAGCGCGCAACAACGCCAAACAATGAATTCTCTCGTCATACTTCACCATCGGGCAATGCTCTCATGTTCAACGATACGCATCTCGAGCTCTTGCATCACTTCACGACCGTAACGTACAACACGCTCACGGCTCATCCCACACTCAAAGTCATGTGGCGGATCACTGTGCCCCAGCTCGGTCTCAAACACCCGTTTTTGATGCGCAGCATCTTCGCCATTGCATCACTGAACCTGGCAGTCCTTCGACCGCAAAGACGGTCCTTCTATGTTGATGTGAGTCGCGAGGAACACTCGGCCGCGCTGGCGATGGCCGTGCCGCTGATTAGCAACGCCACCGAGGACAATGCGTCTGCTCTGTTCGCATTCTCCATGCTCGCTGTCATCTATATCCTCGCGGCACCACGGGAACCAGGAGACCATTGGCTTCTTGTGTCCAAGGGCGGATTGACTGATTGGCTCGCCCTGATACAGGGCACCAGATCAGTATCTACAATCTACCAGGAACATTTATCAAAGGGTCCCGTGAGTCCACTCTTCACAGTCTCGCATGCCCATGTAAAGAATGCTGAGGAGAAAGGGCAGGCCCTCCCGGCGTGGAAGGGTTCCAGCGAGTATCGTCAGATGATGCTGCTTCGACAACTGATTCGGGGGCGCGTAGAGGATGCGCAGAGGCTTTCGCAGTATGAGACGCTTCTGGACCTACTCGAGCAAAGCTTCGCCGCCAACATGGCCTCGCCAATTTCTTATTGTCAAGAAACGTTGAGCGACGATCGTGAGCAAGTGGCAACGTCGCACATCTTCTCCTTTTTGTACCGGTCCCTGGAGATCATGCAAGGTCCACTGCAAGCCCGCGAGCCCGAGGCATTGGTGATATTTGCCTACTATTGCGTCCTCCTGCACAATCTAGAGAGTTATTGGTGGATACAAACGTTACCGCGGGATATTATGGAGGAGATCTGGGGCGCCTTGAACTACGAATATCGATACTGGATTCAGTGGCCTGCGGAGCAACTGGGGTGGGCACCTCGAGACTCATAGCTTATCTCAACAGAACCTCCAAGCCTCCAAGGCACCGCCATTCGGGGAATTCAACTACAGCCTAATTCAACAATGCATCGGATGATCGGCATTGGCATCTGGCCGCTGGCCCTGTACCAGCTGGCAATGAAGGTTTCAGGGTCCCCTTGGAGGCTGTCGCACGGGATCCACCTCGGGTTCGTACGCATCGGCTTTGCGAGGCGCGTACGAGATGGAGAGTACACCAGCACTATCGATTGCCTATGAGACAAACACTTCAATGCGACAAGAATGGTGGCTGGGTAATAAGGTTTAGTTCATGCTTATTGTCAATGCTGTGCTGAGTCCTTTGCAGGTGTCGTGGACTTATAAATACAGTCTCCCCGAGCACTTCCAACACCAACATTCGACACAACAGCTTTCCCTCTACCAGACTGCATCGCACAACCCTCACAATGACTTTCAAGGCTCTCCTCTTCGACGTTCGCTTGGCGACCAAGGTACACGTTGTGCAACTTCTGCTGGTAGTTGTTGTCTTGGCCCTCGCCGGCTATAAAGGAACCATCAACACCCCTGTCTCCGGAGGCGCTGGCCAGATCACGCCAATCACAGCTGTCAGTCCTCGAGCGTTGAAATTTGTCTGTGGGCATTCACTAATTTTATGACAGAGTGTCAAGAGCATCATCTGCATCCTTTACGAGCTCCTCACTCGCCATGTGGCCGGACTCCAAAAGTTCGGCAGGCTAGGTGTCTACAGGGTCCTCAACGTGGTGGATTTTCTCTTGTGGGGTGCTGTTGCCGGCCTGGTGGCCTACTCTGCTTCGCGGTACTGCGTCGGCGAAGCATGCTCGATCACCCAAGGGATCATCGCTCTCGCCGTTTTCATTTGGTACGGTTCCCCTCTTTGCTCACCACTTTGACTCTGCTGACTCGTCCGTAGCGTGCTCTCAATCCAGCCAGCTTGTGCTACAATCAAGGAAAAACGCGACGTGAAGAACGCCTCCAGGGCATACGATGCCGAGATGGCAAGACCGCGCCACTGATGACGAGCCGCGAGCACGATAGACGGTAGAAGGCCGTGGGGGGGGTTGCGAATGGGCACATGCATTCTTTGGCGTCTTCCACGCAGGCGCTGCAATTCATAGCAGGCCGAAATGTCCTTTGTTTTCATTTGATCAGGTCACAGTCCTGTTTTTAGGGTTTCTTTTAAGCCAGCACGTAAATGTCACTCAATGCGTCGACCTGATATTCTCTCTCTTACTCCGTTGCGAGTACACTCTTTTTGAAGTCGTCGAGCACGCAGTGATCTTCACTCTAGATGAAGAGCTTCCATAGTCTTGAGCGGCTTTTTTGAGCCGAATCGTTCTCTGTGTTTGTAATACTTCTGGACTGTAAACCTGACGAGTCACCTGCAGAAGAAACATTGTCGTCCGAAAGCATTGTTTGAATTGTTGCCCTAACTTTCCTCCTTGTGGAGGTCTGGCTTCCAGTAAGCGTATGCACGGAATCACAAAAGCAAAGTTCACTTAATCAGGGGAAAAGAAAAGCGAACGATTTCTTCTTTAGCGTTTAGGAAATAATAGTACTTCAAACATTCGTCTTCACGTCTCCTCCAAGAACATTAATTGGTAGCTATAGGGTAGCCGAAATGACACGCCACGCTAGACCATTTCGGGTCGCAGGCATGCGGCGACGTCAAACCTTTGAAATTTCCAGACGCGACTGACTCTACGATCGCTCGACCTCATCTCCTAGCCGCTTCTCACCAAGTTCCAAACCGCTGCCCTCGTCGACGCATCATCATGGCTGCGACTGCGACCAATGGCGACTCTGCGACGGCCGCTCTCGACGCCATCAAGCCCCCTCCCGGCGTCGTTCTACCTCCACGCGAGATCCGCAATGTCCTCGAAAAGACCGCCGGCTACGTGGCGCGAAACGGCGCCGTCTTCGAGGATCGCATTCGCGACAAGGAAGCACAGAATCCTAAATTTAGCTTCCTCAACTCAGCTGATGCATACAATGCATTCTACCAATGGCGGCTGAACGAGGTCCGCGCCGGCCGTGGGACAGCTATCGCCGCTGGTCGAGCGAACGAGTCGTCGACCCCAGTACCGGAGAAGCCGCAAGGGCCACCAAAACCCCCCGACTTTCAGTTCTCAGCGAGGATGCCGAGGATCAATCAGAAGGATTTGGATGTCATCCGGATGACGGCGCTATTCGTCGCCAAGAATGGGCGACAGTGGATGACACAGTTGGCCCAGCGCGAGACGGGCAACCCGCAATTTGCCTTTCTGATACCAAACCACACCTTCCACAACTTCTTTCAGCACATTGTCGACCAGTATACGACGCTGCTGCGGGCAAGCGGACTAGGTGGCGAGGGAGGCAAGGTGCAGGACGAGCGCATGGCCGAGCTGGAGCAGAACGTCGCAGACAAATTCCACGTACTGAACCGCGCGAAGCAACGAGCAGAGTACGCGAAACACGTCGAGACGGAGAGGCGCAAGAAGGAGGAGGAAGAGGAGGAGGCCAAGGCCGAGTTCGCGAGGATAGACTGGGGCGACTTTGTGGTCGTCGAGACGATTGATTTCACAGATGCCGATGAGAATACCCAACTACCGCCGCCGACGTCCCTGGCTGACCTGCAATACGCGTCGCTTGAGGACAGGAACAAGGCTTCCATCTCCTCGAATCTGCGGCTGGAGGAGGCTTTCCCAGGCGAAGAGGACTCGATGCACAACGGGTACCCAGCCGCACAGCAGACGCCCACTAGCTACGGGCAACAGCAACCGCAACAACAGCCACAGGCGGGCTATGCGCCGCAGATGCCAGCGCCAGGGGCTTGGAACAACTCGCCCCAGGCAAACCCACAGCAAGATGAAGAGGAGCGAAGGATACAGGAGCGCATGGACGCGCAAGCCCGCATGCATCAGGCCCAGTCCGAAGCGAGGACTGGCCCCGGCGCGATGAAGATTCGAGAAAACTATGTGCCGCGAGCAGCGCAGAAGGCGGCGGCCAAGCAAACGGGCATGGCGACGTGTCCCAACTGCAAGCAGCCCATTCCGATCGACGAGCTGGAAGCCCACATGAGGAGTAAGTTGATACAAGGAGATGTGATTTCGCCGACAGTGCTGACCACGACCAGTCGAACTCTTGGATCCCAGCTGGAAAGAGCAGAAGGCCAAAGCCGAGTCCCGATACGCGCACTCGCATGTGTCGCATGCTGATGTGGCCAACAACCTCAAACGCCTGGCCAGTCAAAGAAGCGACGTATTCGACCCTGTCACTGGGCAAGCGGTGTCAGAGGATGAGTTGGCGCGGAGGAAGAGGGCAGCACTGCAGAGCTACGACGGTAACCCCGAGGGGAAAAGCCAGCCGCATGCCGGGCAGATGCAGTCGTACAATGTGGAGGAGCAGATCCGGAAGATTCATCAGAAGTTTGGCGATAAGAAATGAGTGCGGAGAGACGGTGTAAGTAGGAAGGGACCTCTGCATATTTCGTGTTCCATCACACACACATACTGGCGTTGGGCGTCTTGGGGCTATCTTTGAGGCTAGGCACAATGCGGAAGATTCAGGCTTTGGCTCGCCATGGCTATCATACCCTAGCATGGATGAACAGTAATGCAATGAGGAGTGAGTGGTGTGCCCTGGAAGATGTCAATTGAAGCATCGCAGCAACGGGGCTATGTGGTAGGGAGACGCATGTGATTGAAGTCCACGATCACGGTGCTGCATTAGAATGATATTTCTTTCGATCACGTCATTGGGGTACAAGGATAGCATATTTTCGCTAGCTGCTTTTCTCCTCTTTCGCGAGGCCATGTACGTACATATACGGATGGATACATGTTCATTGTTCATGCCCACGATGGCTACCCGCCCCCGCATATTCGATCACAGCCCCACTTGGTCTTCAACTCGAACGTCAAGCTATCCTCACCACGCACGCGCAACTCCAACCTTTGCTCCCCTACCATTTTATCTGAAGCTTCGCCTCCAATTTGCTTCAACAGCCTTTGTGCACGCTCCTCAGCCTAAGTCTCTCATTGTACTTCCGCGAAGGAGTCCTCTCCACCATCGCGACTGGTTGTAGCGGTATCGCGCCATTTGCGCACATAGGCTCGGCGCCACAAGCAAGTCGCATCGAGCACACGACCACCCGACCACCCACCCATCATGTCCTCCGACGCTGCCAACAACGCCGAACGTTCGACCTCGCCGAACTCGCACCGTCCCATCCTGCAGTCCATGCCCGACACCCGCCAGCAGTCGTTCGACGAGATCTACGGCCCGCCAGAGAACTTCCTCGAGATCGAGGTGCGTAACCCGCGCACCCACGGCATGGGCCGCTCCATGTACACAGACTACGAGATTGTCTGCCGAACCAACATCCCCGCCTTCAAGCTGCGCCAGTCGACCGTGCGTCGCCGGTACTCGGACTTTGAGTACTTTCGGGACATTCTCGAGCGGGAGAGCGCGCGCGTGACCATCCCGCCGCTGCCCGGCAAAGTCTTCACCAACCGCTTCAGTGACGATGTGATTGAGGGACGGCGCGCCGGCCTGGAGAAGTTTCTCAAGATTGTGGTCGGCCACCCCTTGCTGCAGACTGGTAGTAAGGTTCTGGCGGCATTTGTGCAGGGTAAGCAGCTCCTTCTACACTTTCACTGGGCACGCGCCATTCTGACAAACGACAAGACCCCAACTGGGACCGGAGTGCCTGGTGACGGGAGGAGTGGCCCTCTGTCGTAGTAGCCATCTCGGGACGAGGCAGCGGCTTGCGCGTCGAGGCGGCAGCTAGATTGAAGGGGCAGCCGGCGCAGGGCCACACGAATGCGTCATATGCGAGGCGGTACACATTGTGAGGGATGCAGGTGTAGAGGCGTGACGACTAGCAGTCAGTCGTTGTAGTGTGTGGGTATGTATGTCATTTTAGCCCGTTTTCATGCTTCTCTCGAATCAAAAGAGCCATTCCAAGAGGCAAAACAATGGCGTCGTATTGTACACCAACCCGTCTATACCCATCTATCCCAGCTTCTTTGCTGCTCCAAACGCCAGACCATGATTATATCTCAAGACAATAGCTGTACACGTACTCCCACCGTACACTCCTCAATATCATCCCCTTACGCCGGCGTGTGGAATAATCGTAGGATAGCCTCGTACATGCCGAACATGATGGCTGCGCTGGGGACCGTGCGCATCAAGTGAGGGGTGAGTCCACCGTACAGCCCCATCATGCCCTCCTCCTTGAAGACGAGCTTGAAGCACTGCATCAGGCCGGTGTATTTGGGCCGGCTGCCATCGGTGGGTACTTGCCGAAGGCGGGTGCGAGCGACCTAGTCATGTCAGTACTCTGTCCAAATGCTCTGCATTCTGGACTTACCTCGTGGGGATACGCCAGGACAGCCGCCACGAGCTTTGCGCTGCCAGCAGCACCAGAGTTGCCGAACCAATCCACCACGCCGTCCCACGCGTTCTTCTCGCGGCCAGTCAACAGGATCCGCTCGTTCCTCCTCGCCAGAGCGGTCTTCATCTGCTCATATAGCATCCACTGCATCGTGCTCTCCACGACGCCCAAGTAACTTGCGCTCATGCCCTTGTACAACCCCCGGATGCCTTCGTCGCGCAGAATCTGCCGGATGCAGTCCACACTATTGCGGTATTGCCGCGCCTGCTGGCCGCCGGACTTGGCCGACATGTTCTTGTCGAGCTGTAACCGCGTCTTGACCATCCAGATGGGGTTCGTCGCTGTGCTTGTCGCAACACCCGCGGCGACACCGGCCGCCAGGTGCACCCAGGCGGCTTCCTGTCCGTTGTTCCAGTACTGCGCCATGGCCTTCTTGCCATTACCGTACACGAAAAAGTTGATACTCCGCGCGGGTATCACGCCCACCAGGTTGGGCCCAAGGCCTTTGAACAACGCGCGAGGGCCCTCGACCCGGTAGACGGAGCCGAGGATCTGGAGTGTATCCTTGAGGTGATAGATGGCAGAGCGGAGGGGGTTGCGCGCCTGTTGGGGGGCCGCTGCGCGGGCCGCGCGGATCTGGGCTTGGTAGAAGTCGGATTGCAGACGGGTCTTGAGGACGTCGAGGGGCGCGGTGACGGTCGCGGCGGTCATGCCGCCCACGCTATTCTGTCAGCACCTTGCTGCTTTTCGGAGAGGGGGACCGGGTGACCTACGCGCCAGCCATCAGATGCACCCATGACTTGGCAAAGGGCAGAGCTTGCACCTTGGGCCGGATCGAGCTCTCTGGTATCACGTCTCCCGTCTCGCGGCTCTGCACGAGGACGGTAGGCTCCCCGTGGCGCAGAGATTGATTCGGGGCCATCGTACGGTTGCTTTGGGTTCGCGTTCAGGTCGGCGCCATTCGTATGTCTAACATCGGCAGCGCGCACACGTTGTGTAGAGAAGCCAGTGATGCGCGTCATGCAAAAGGGGACTTCTTCTTTCCCACTGTCAGGACCGACATGGTTAGCGTCACGCTAGTTTCATTCCAGGGACAAAATATAGAATATATTAGTAATCAGTGAAGGCCGAAGTCAACGGCTTCGACCCCCACGTCGGGCTATTCCGGTTTTTTTTTTGGTCGCGTTTCTAGCGCATTTCCTGCTTAAAACCACTTAGAGCTTCGACGAGTTGGTCTAGGGTAGGTGCTTCTGCACGGGGATATATCACGTGACACTTGTCTATCTCGAGCCCCTTTTCGAGGTTTTTGTGGATAAAAGTCTTCGGAGTGTCTATTCCTCCAATCGGAGTGATTGGCGCGAACTAGTTCTGTACAGTTGGTTCTCTGTTCCACCGTTACGCATATCCTCAAGGCAAGCCAGTCGGGTCGCGCCACGCTCTGGTCGCAACAATGACGGACTGCGCGGCGTGTGTTGTATGGCATATGGCAGCGTAAGGCTCCATTAACGAGACCTACGCAAAATCGACCAAGCTCCGGTGCGGGCAAGCGGGATGACCCAGCGCCATTTCGCTGTTACTGATTGGCCTCCCGTCTCACCGAAGCAAGAGGAGGACCGGGGGGCATTCTCGTGCGTTGTACAGTCTCAATTAATCCTGGATGCTTCGCCCACTCGTGATATTCACGAAGTCTCGGTCAAAGCGCTTTTGTCAGATGCTTAGTTGACAGACAATTACTACGTGACGATTTGCCCCAACTCTGAAGCAGTGATGGATTTGAACAGTGCGATTGTTCACACATCGCTGACACTGTATCCCACTGCAGGTACCACACATCTCTCACCATGATCACCTCGCAAATCAAGTCGGTGTTCGAAAAGTTTAGGGAACGTCGCAAGACTAGCGGAGGCGTCCTGGACCTCTTGGAAGAGGTTTTGCGTCTATCTGATAAGTTCGAGAGGGAATGGGATGCACACATTGCGAACAATACGCTTTCACAGCGAGATGCCGATATCTTCAAGCGGTTCTTCGGGACTTGGGAGGATCTCGACACAATGATCGCAAAGTCGCTCGACGACGCTCGCAGCTACCTCTGGCGGGCAAACAAGGAGAGACCGGACATTGTGGCTGCCATGGTCAGGATCGAGACCATATGGGAGAGTCTCAAGGCTTTGCACGAACGGGTCCACGAGGAGATCGAGAAGCTTCGCCGAGTGAATCTTATGTGATGCTCCGCTTGTGGGCTCTGGGAGTCCTGTCACTGGATTTCCCGACCACTCTGGAAGCTCAATTGTACGCATCGTGGCACGTTAGGACCGATTGGCGCATTCACATCTGCCATTGTCACCGGTATTTGCGTCGCAATTGAACTGGAGAGACGGCTGGGCCTCGATGGTGTTTTGAGAATTGAGCTGACCTCCACCTAAGCATGATTGAGAGGCAAAGGAGCCGCAGACTGCCTGTGTGGTTGGGTTTGCATTGAGGTTCCGCACCCGGGCAGTTACATGGCATGATGCAGTCAGACCAGCTCTGAGCTCCAGTGGTCATTGCCATCACTTGAGCTTAAAGGCGCGCTGAGGATTATTTCTAGAAGGATTCGTCAACTCTCTAGGATTTCCAGCAGCAACTGCGAAGTAAGGAGACTACCGCGCAAAGCTGGTTTTGGACCCCTGCCTCATTACAGACCATATCGGCCGCTGGCGGAAACATCAGCAAAACTCACCATGATCACGGCTAGACACAGAATCCAGTTTGACAGCCTTAGGGCGCAGAGGAAGCGTCAGAAAGGTATGGTCGCCCTATTGACCTATATTGAGAGCCAAGGCGCGAATTTCCAGAAGGATTGGGAGCAAGCCATCCTCCGCAACAAGTTCACGATCGAGGAGGCCAGGCTATTCAAGTGTTACACCGAGTCTTGGGAGCGGATGAGCGACATGGTCACCGTTGCGTTGGATGATGCCCGCACCTTTCACAAGAAGAACGGTGCCGACTTCGATGTTGATATCCAAGTGAGATATGTCGAAGCACTATGGTCGAGGCTGAAGCACCTGTCCAAAGTCGTGAACGAGGAGATTGACGAGTTCCGGAAGAAGAAATTGCTCTGACTGGCGTTCATGGCTTTGGTTGCCTCGCCCGTACTTGAGAAGGAGAGCAAAAGGCGACCTTGAGTCCATGCCGATTGCGGCGGTTGATCATAGGTTTCTCAGAGAACCAAGTGTTCAACTAATTAAAGCAATAAAGGAGAACAGAATCAGGAAATCCTACTCGTCAGAAGGACTTTGAATCGTGATACATTTGTTCTCCATGTTCAGTGAAAGAAAAGCCGATCATCATTATGACGAGTTTTGACCTTTTAATTGGATATACAGCCTGATGCACTGTTCTCCAAACAAGCTCTTGATGGTTGTATCGGTTGTGTGTAAAGGCGTTGTTGTGCAGACCCCTCGCCTCAAATCACACCCGAAAACTGTCACCGTTACACGTACGCTGCTCCTGTGAAGCGATGAGTGGAATTTCGTACGCTCGAATCACCTGTATAGGCACCCGCAGGCAAAGCCTGAAGATCGAATCACCACTTCAGTTTTCGCATAAGAAAATGCTCTGGAACTGTACAAAGGGGCCTCGAGCAAAGAGCACGCAGCTCAGCTAACTCGAGCAAACCGCCCCCAAAGTGACAGCTTCAGACTTGACGAACATTCAGCACACTAAAAAAACTGATAACATGCCCACTGACGCCTCAGGATCATCACCCCCAGGCAGGCGCCACTCCTTGCTGGCGCGCATACCCCAGATGACACTCGGGGCTCTGCCAAAGTGGAAGTCAACCAAATTTCCCCCTGATGTCCTTGCGGAGTGGAAAGCCATGCGAGAAGGCCGCAAGACCCCGTACGGCATCCTGGCGTTGACCCAGACGACAGTCGACGTGGCTCTGGACTTTGAAGAGTCGTGGTCCATCATCGACGTGACGACAAAATTCGACGAGGAGCACAGGGCCTACTACAAGTCGTACTGGCAGGACTGGGAGACCTTAGATGACATGATCACGAGAGTCATAGACGACTGCCGCACGTATTTGGCGTCAACGTGGGACTGTGAGGTCGAACAGAAGAAGGATGAGTTGGAGATCATGTGGACGAGGCTGAAGGTTCAGTACGAGACGTTACAGCCAACCTTCGATATGTTCCGGAAGAAGGGAATGCTGTGAGACTGGATATTGCCTCAGAGGACATGGGAGGTTGGGCTACAGGTAGTTCTGAAAGCCTCAGGGTCACATTGCAGTTAATCATGTGGGAGCATAGCGGTCGCTGAATCAGCGTACGTCCATTTCTTATGGGAACTGCTTGGCGTAGTTTCCCGGATACACGGTGTGCTCCTAAAGTACATTAGTGATTATTTCATGATATCATAGTGATGCAAAGAAGAGAAGAGGGCCACATGACCGGCAGAAATCTAATACGAAGGCAATGTATTTCACGTATGGAGTACTTTGGTTGCGGACTGAGTCCGAACCAATGACCCCTGGTCCCCTTCGTACCAGCTGACTGGACATACCAAATTTGTGGCCCCCACGCAGGAGCTGATGTCTGCCACGCTCAAGCAGGTCGTTCATATACCACGCGGACCATGACCCTGGATCACTGTACACCACGTCTTGACTTTTCGTCGGCTCAAGAGATGGCGAGAAACGATTTCGGCGACAGTCATCAGTCTTACGCCAACAACCTGGCAGCCACTTTGACGCCAGTAGCGAACGCGAACACCCCATTCCATCGAACAACACTTCGGAAGTGACTGCGAAACATAGTAAAATACTTGCTAGGCACTGGAAATGGCCAGTAGATTTCTACTGACACACTTGGAAACAAGAGCCCTGCCCCTCCGCCAGAGGTTGTTGGAAAGAATGAGTGACTGTTGGGCTCCCAGGCGCTGTACGACTAGCAACCCAATGGCGTGGAAGGTGTGGCCATGAGTCTGGTGATACGGTAAGTGCCTTCTCTCAAGATCACGGGAAAAGTCCCAACTTTCGCACAACCTGACAAACCTTGCCAGATGTGTCCTGCTATGCCATTCCCCGGACGAAATCCGTAGCTGGCCGACGAACTCGCCCTATCGATCGAGAAGATGCTAAAAGCTCACCACTACGAACAGTTCGAGAAGCTCTGTAAGGACCGAAAGATCACAAAGGGCATAAAGAGCCTGCTTTCCGAGGCTCTCAACATTTCCGATGAGTTCCATAGAAAATGGCTTGCCGTGAAGAACACCAGGAAATCAGCGGGACCCACGAAAGACTTCAAGGAGTGGACACTCAACTGGGAAGGCATGGACGAGATTATCACCAAGACGGTGGATTATTCCAGGATCTTCCTTGAAGGCGAGAGACAGCGGGCAAAGCCGAATGTGAAAGGCCTGGCAGACCTCAGGGACAAACTTGCCGAACTCAATAAGAAGTGGCAAGAGATCAAGGACCTGGATCATTGGATTACCGCTCGACTGCAACATTGAATGCTGTCTGAAGTGGCGTTCGCGCACCTACAGGCTCAGCACACGAAAATCCGTTACTTAGGGAGAGATTCCAATCATCGAGATTCCCCAGGAATGCTTGGTAGATATAAGCGATATTGGAGTTGCACGTTTTCGGAGACGAGCAACAATCAGAGCTAAAGCATGTTATGGTTGTCTCTCATCAGTCCAAAAAGGCCAGCCCAAGCGATTGTGAGCGTTGTGCTGAACTGAGCCATGCGAAGTCGATACTTGATTTCGATTGTGATGTCAGCATGCCAATCAGTGCAGCTGTAAGTCGTGAACGACCTCTTTCACATGTACACGGCGAAACTAGGTGCTGCACTGGAATTATTGGAAGCTCGCCTGAGCGTAACCTCAAGTTCGGGAACACCTTCATACTAGTGATAGACCTATGGCTGTAGGATGATGAGTTGATCATCGCAAGGCGGATGTACACAATCATCTCGTGCTGCAAGAGACTAGCGACACATGTTCATGGGAACATGCCGACCCTGATCAACATATACGATATCCATGCGAGGTGCCACTAGTGGCGTTGATTCAGATAGCTCAGTGGCTGCATATAAGTCTCCGTGCTGAGGAACTACACACCTAGCCTTCGTCCGCGCACTCTCACCCTCCAAGAAAGCGAGACACACTCTGATTAGTGAGCCCAAATCTTGACAACTCAACATGGACACCGCCACAGAACTTCAGTCTTGCATCACCGTCGCCCAGCCTCAGTTGGCGCAAACCTCTTCTACCATGGAGCGTCTCCTGAGAAAGATACAGCATCAAACACTAATGATTTTGGACGCCAATTTGCCTCGGGGACCAAATACTGCGAGACAGCAAGAGCTTGGATGCCTTGGCAACGTCCATTATCAGTCTACTGGAACAGCTTTCGGACAGCATGGCGGACATGAAAGACATCATTGAGTTGCTGCCATACTGCAACCTGGAACCAAGATCGGATTGAGGAAATGTCAGGTTGCTTCGCGCGTTGGTGCTAATGTCGAAGGTCATGCTGTATGGATGTCAGCGAAGGTCGAGTGTTGGGTCTAAAGCGTGACATCAATGATCATACCATATAGCAGCATCATTGAATATGAAATCCGAACTATTTTTGAGGGCTACACTCCCATAATTTGCAATGTGTTGTTTGTCCTCTTTGTCCTTTCAGAAAGCGAGCCCCTTTTTAGGTCAATCACATGTGTCAGCATATCTGAAAACCACAATGCCTTGACATCAGGACGGAAATGCATGACCAGACCAATCACCTGGATTTGAGCTGACCTGGAGATGAAAAGGAAGAAGTCAATATGTCGATGAAAACATCGACTGTTTGTCCACGGACGACTGCAGCTCAGACAAGGGTTGCGGACTCGTGCATCACAACAGCCGACTCTCCGAGAGGCGATGCCCAATGGTGAGAGCCGTGAATCGAAGTTAAACAAAGATCGCGAAAATTGAAACTGCAGTGTTTCTTTTACGCGCACTTTCTCCTCCACATGTGTAGGACTCTGGCCAGAGCCGACGCCTACAGTGATGTGGGCTGAGCCCACTAGGAAAGTTGTTGTGTCGCTATACTTTCAGATGAAAGGCGGTCAGCTCAAAAATAACTGAAAGTCAAATAAAAGAATCCACGGTTAGAGGGCTCGTGGGCTGTTTGCAGACCATGCAGTGTTTTGGTCCGTTTTCCTTTCCTTGCCTTACGTCAGAACGTTTTCGCCCGCTCGCATCTCCTGGATCACCTCAGCTTCATATCTCGTTTCTCGAAAAGGTCTCTTTCTAATCAACACAATAAACCCAAGGTAGTGCTCCTTGATTGGTATCTCAATTTCCAAACTCACGAACTTGCGGTCGTTATTGCCGCTTGACGCCATTGCCATGGGTCAGATCGAGGATGTGAGTATCGTCAATCTACTCAACCTATTTCCCAGGCCGTCCCGCTAACCAGATATCCAAGATCGTCGAGTATCACGTCCTTCGAAAACATCAAAGATGCCGGTCCTCGGAGGAGCAACTCGATCTTTGGCAGACCTTGCCTGAACTACCACTTGCAACGGAGCTGCTATCCGGAGACCCGCCCGACCTTCCATACGACTACCAGTACGAAGCTCCACGCGACAAAAATGACTACCTGCGCTGGCAATATCTGATGTACCGGTATGAGGGTGTTGAGTCCATGCGCCGTGCTATCGCTGTGTTTCGAAGAAGGCCTTGCGAACAGCCTCGTGATGCCTACGTCTACACTCAGGTCAGTGGCATATTTTTCGTTCGCCGTACCCTCTCTGACCCTTCGAAAGGCCCGTATCCAAGGATACACTTTCTCGAGGCAAGGTGCAGCCGCACGTGTCGCATTCTCCACAGACATATCCAAAGTACGCGTGGATTGGGAGAACACTTCAAGGCTCACTCCTGGATCCCTGATTGCCCTGAGTCCCAAGAAAGATGGGTTTCAAACGAAATGCCTGGTAGCAACAGTCGCCGCCCGGCCAATTCTCGGTGGACTGATCCCTAACCCAGAGTTTGGCGAGACTGAGGACACCCCTCCACGCATCGACATATTCTGGAGCAACCCAGAAGACGCAGTCATTGATCCTCTCGAAGAAATGTTTATGATTGAACCCAAGTCCGGTTACTTCGAGACTGTCCGTCATGCGATGATAGGCCTGCAGCATGCTGCCGTTTCCGAGTAGGTGTTTGTTGACATCGTAGCATGCCTCACTAACATTTCATGGGTCATGTATCGACAAGTACACCGTCAACGGCTATACTGGAGATGACATTGCAGCTGATCTCGTCGACCAACCTCCATGCCTACCAGCGGCCACTTTTGTACTCGACAATTCGCAAAACCAAGCTTTCGAGCGAATGACATCGCGGGAGCTAGCCATCGTTCAAGGACCTCCCGGCACTGGAAAGACATACACATCGGTTGCAGCAATCCGAGCCCTGATTAGGAGCCGACCGACTCCTATCATAGTGGCCGCACAGACGAACCATGCGCTCGACCAGCTCCTCCTTGAGTGTATGCAGCCAGGCCTGGACGGCGTCGCCATGGTCAACATTGCCAGACTTGGTAGCAGGTCCCAAGACGAAAGTATCCAGCAGACTACGCTTTTCAACCTGAGGACAAAGTCAAAGAAGTACGGGCGTGGAGGACACCAAGCCTGGACTGATGCCGAGTCCAAAGCCATCGAGTTCGAGTCATTGATGCATATCTGCTTTCCAAATGGCCTAGTCTCTTTCAAGGTCCTGCTGGAGGAAGGCATTATCACGCCCGTGCAATATGATTCCCTCGATGAAGATGACTAGTTGTCTGATCCAGAGAGCGAGCACACAGAGCCCCAAGATGACCAGATAGCCAAATGGCTTGGCAGTGACCAAGTTCAAGTGGACGCCTCCTGCGCATACGTACCTCCGAAAGACCAGTCCGAGCCCAGGGTTGCATACGGTGATCTCCTAAAGCCCGAGACAATGATGGAAGAGGATTCTCACAAGCTTGAAGAGAAGGCACAAGCCCAAGAGAATGACAAGGAGCGCCTCAGGGGCAAGTATGTGCCCATCAAGCTGCTCGGGCCCATTGCGGTCACGGGAGTCTCCGCGAAGCTGGCTGCTCAAGAATCGACAAATGAAGATCTATATGATATACCGCCGGCACTACGACGCGCTGTGTACCGACATTTCCGCCAAAAGCTCGTGGCGTCCATCAGGGGTCGGATCCCGTCAATACTTCAGTCTTTCGCTAGACTGTGCGACCGAGTGAAGATTGGGCGTACTTCAAACGATGTAAAGATTCTCAAAGAGCAGGGTATATCAGTCATTGGTTGCACGTTGACCGGACTCACCAAGTATCGCGCTCTTATCGCAGCTTTGGAACCCAAGGTTCTGCTGGTTGAAGAAGCTGCAGAAACTCGCGAGCCTAATATCGCTTCAGGCCTCTTCCCGTCTTTGGATCAGCTCATCCTCGTCGGTGATCATCAACAGCTAGTACCCAGCGTTGACGCAGACATTCTTATGGAGCACCCATACAATCTACACGTGTCGCTGTTTGAAAGACTGGTAAACATGGGCTTGCCATTTACGCAACTCCAGGTTCAACGACGCATGTTCCCTTCAATTTCCAAGATCGTTCGACTTTTCTATCCAAATCTCGAGGACCACGAAATTGTCGAGAGCAACGACCATCGACCGCCCATTCCAGGGTTGCGTTCTGACTGTCGTCTCAAGTGGTTCAGGCATGAATGGCCTGAATCACGCTCAGAAAACATGTCCTACGACAACTTAGAAGAGGCCAAGATGATCGCAGGGTTTACCCAATATCTTGTGCAGAACGGTCTCCAACCTGCCGACATTGCTATTCTGAGCTTTTACAACGGCCAGGTGGAGCTCATCCAGAGGATCCTGGCGAACACAACGTACTTCAAGGAGAAACACGCTCATCAACGCTGGTCCGACGTTGTCCGAACCGTCGATGGATTCCAAGGCGAGCAAAACGAGGTCGTTATCCTTTCCGTGGTTCGTAGTGGTGATCGACCAGGCTTTTTGCAGAACGAGAATCGAGCTGTTGTCGCGCTCAGCCGTGCAAAACGGGGTATGTTCATCTTTGGGAACGACGACACGCTTCGGACTACCGCGGCAAGCGCACAGACATGGGGAGGCGTGCTGAATATTCTGGAGGAGGATCACGCGATCAGCAACACACTGAAAATTGTCTGCCAGCTGCATGGCAACGTGACAACAATCAAACAGCCAGAAGATTGGGAGAATGTTCCTGGGGGAGGTTGTAGCACGCCGTGTGGATGGACCTGCCCCGAGGGCCATCAGTGTACGCAAAGGTGCCACCGGATGCCTCATCCTCAACAAGGCTGTAGCGCAGCTTGCACAAATCCTCAACTCCCATGCGGTCATATTTGTCGGGAATTGTGTGGTAGGCCTTGCAGATGCAGTCAGGGTTGTGGCGGTCCCAAGGGGAAAGCTGCCCCCATCCTGAGACATGCACAGCTGCCCATGGTTCAACGAAAGATGGCCAAATCGAGGACAAGTACCAAGGTGACTGCCAGCCAGCATATGTCTGCCACAGGTGATCTGGGGGGCTCAAATGTCCAATACAGGCACCAGCCCGGATGGGAACCCGCAGCAATCTCCCGCAATGACAGGATAGCGCGAGCACAGTCAACATCTCCGCAGAAGAGACAGCCTATGTCCTCAACAGATGAGCCTTCCCAGAGTTTCAGAGAGCTCTACTGCCAGGGTGGGCCGGCTGGCAACGATGACGGACATTTGGAAGCCCCAGCTCACCATGAGCGGCCCAGCATTACTGAGACGTATGTCAAGACGTGTGTTGCTAGAGATGGGCAGCGGGTCATGAAGAGCACCAGTCGCCACACGCACAGCCGCACTCCGACGGAGAAATGGGAAACGGTGGAGCTTATAGAGGGTTTGCAGGTTGAAGGGAAGCCAAAAGTGAAAGAGATGGATGATGTGGCGGAGGATCTCATCTCCTTCAAGGATCTGGACTTGTAATTGCACCCATATGGACTCGATTTTCCTAGACGAAAAAAAGATTCTTGCGCGTTGAAACGATCCAAACCATCTTTGTCATTGAAGGGGGCGCCACTTACGAACGATCCTACACAATCCAGAGCCGCGTGAAACCCATCGACATGGCCTTGACGACTGACACTTCGGCCCCATTTGGAGGTGTTAGCTCAAGCCGTGGCAATCAAATGGCATCTGCACCCAAAGCGAGCCATCTTGTAAATACAGAGCTCTTCAAACGCTTGGTTGCACTCAAGCAGTGACACTCGCGCTTGCTAGCAGCTCGCCGCTACCGTCAGGGTTGTCGCACCCTTCTGTTTGTGTGGGCAGATCACCCAAGCCTGTTGTCCCCCCTACTAATCTCCGAAGTGCCTTTATTTCAGCACGCAATCGTCGCTTTGCCCGCAGCCCTAGCTTTTTCGGGGACTCCGGGGCTGGGGGGTTTGGACGTCTCGCCAGGTGGTGGCCCTGGGAAAGCGTATGGAGCGAGCGCAATGGCCTGCAAAATCCCCAAGAGGTCATTTATGCCAAGTGTTCTGTTTGCGGGTAGCATGAGGCTGGCGTCACGAACTGGAAGCATCAGAAGCGCTTTCAGAGCGAAGAACGCGTCGTTCCCAGTAATGTGCGGCCAATCATGCTCTATGCCCAGTTCATGGAGGAGCTTCTCCAAGCTGAGCCGGTAATGCAGCTGCAAAGGGAATTGCGCGGCCTTATTAGTGTCTACAATGTATCGTGCGTTGGGCACAATGCTTGAGTCAAGGAGGTTCAAGAACTTGATATCTTCGTGGGGCCCGCGGGCAACTAATGAATAGTCCCGCTCATGGATCAACGATGATATCCGTTCACTAATATGGGCCGTCGACATCCACTGTGTTCCTCCACGGAGGAAGATCTTCGAGGATTTCCTGCGAGGCTTTGACGCGATGTTGGCGAATTGATAGGACGTGACGGCCTCTTGCAGGTCCAGGTGATCCAGGTTTGCGAGGCAACGGGTATCGAGTATTGATACGCCAATATGGAAGCGCTGGTCAAGAAGAATAGATACTGTTCTGAATTTTGTCTCAACTTCAACAGACACGAGAAGAAGAGTCTTTTTCAAACGCCGATATACGAAAGGAAAATAGTTGGGGCGTTGAAATTCACGTGCGATTTTGAAAGGTACAGGTAGTGGTTGGTTTTATCGCTGCTAATCGAAGGGCTGAGGTTTGTATGGCGGGCACTGGACTGACGCGCGAGCTTCGGTTACCTTGGATTTGCGCGGCGCGTCCAGTTCTGCACCTTGCTGGTTCACGCCCTCGACTTGGTCAATCATATGGGAAAGTCGGATCCGCCGAATCCTACATCTGCATCTCGAGATCAGATTTGATCGATCATCTAAATATTGCGATCACGACTCCCTACAACCACCACGGATTTCGCGAACGCTCCCAATCGACGTCACTAGGTTTGACGCGCCGTCAGCGCATGCAGCATAGGCATGCACCGCACGCCCCTACGAACTGCGCAGGGACCTTGAAGCAGCCGGAAAGCAACCGAGAATTACACAGACGCCTCAGAACAGGCCAATTGGCGCCGTCGCGATGGATGAGGAGGATCGCTACTCCGCGAGCTCGGCGGATTCGGACCGCGACAACGACAACGATAACGAGCCTGAGCAAGACAATGATGCGGACGAAGTGATGGAGGATGCCGATGACGGCAATGACGATGTCGACGATGACAACAACGACGATGATGACGACGACGACGCTGATGGAGATGGCGAGGGCGATGGTGACGGCGAGGGCGATGGAGACGAGGACAACAATGACGACAACATTGAGGGCGATAACAATGAAACCGGGGATCCGAACACTGGAGACAAGGCGTCGATCAGTGGTACAGCAAACGAGCCGTCACGGCAGGGTTCAGAGGCGAACGGTGACACGGGTGGGCGACAGGCCGATCAAGAGGGTGCCAACGCAACCGCGACGACGCCTAAACCGCCGGGTCCGAAACGAAAGACTATCGCACCGGAGGTCCTGACGGCGAGGACGTATGATGTTATCCCTACAATGGCCGCTCCACAAGCAACGAGCATCAACGCCATGGCCATCACCCCCGACTTGCGATATTGGTTCACAGGGGGATCAGATGGGTATATCAGGAAATACGACGGCCCCGGGACGATCAATGGCAAATTACCATTGACGGTCGCCCAGCGCCATCCCTTTGTTGACAGCGTGACCAAGGCAGGCATCCTCATGTCGTACTGGGAGAATGAAGAAATAAAGAGCAACGACACAGATCAAATGCTTTCGCCGGTGTACTCGCTAGCTGTCCAGTCCCAGGCCCTGTGGCTATTGTCTGGCACCGAGCTGGGAGGCATTAATCTGCAATCTGTACGGCACGACGAAGGGAAGAAGATCCACTGCCTCAGACAGCACTCGTCCGCTGTCAGCGTCTTGACACTCGCGCCGGACGAGACGAGTGTCCTCAGTGGAAGCTGGGACAAGACGATCCTGGACTGGGACTTGAACACGGGGGATGTTATCCGAAAGTTTGACGGCATGGGTGGACAGATCTCGGCAGTAGAGCTACGGCCTGAGGGAGGAGACATGATACCTGTGGTGGAGGATGAGCTACCTGCGCCGACGGGCACAATTTCCACCAACAATGGTGCCCCGCCTGTCAATGGCAGCTTCGGCGACAATCTGATTGATGGGCCTAGTGCGCCAAGGCAGGACTCGCTGTTCGGCAACGAGGGTCAGAACAGTCCAGCACACGAGAGCTTGTTTGGAGGCGGTAGTGACGACGCGGGCAGTCTCTTTGGAGAAACTAGTGGCGACCAGCCGTTTGGCAACGACGAGGACGACTACAGCAATGAAATGGGGATGAACATGATGAACGCCGGCCAAGGCAACGACGACGGCATGGATCACTCGGCAGACATGGCCATGGCCGGCATGGGAGGCCCCAAGGATGAAGGGCCAGATGGCCAGCAAAAAGATGCTGACGGAATGGACGTGGACACAAAGCCTCCGCCGCCAAACGAGTCGACGGAGTCTCAAACCGCAGAAGCGAACCAAAACGCACAGCAGAGTGACATGTCGCAGGAGCAGCTCAAGCTTGCGAGTGAGCTGAAGCAAGAGGAGGGCAGTGGGCAGGTCGCCGACGCGTCAACGTCCCCTAAATACGTGCATCAGGACCACCCCTCCACAGGCGATGATCCATCACTCATGTCACGCGACATCTTTCTCTCCGCAGCCATTGACGGCTCGATACGCATCTGGGACCGACGAGTGCCCAATCCTGTCGCAAAAATTGGCACACGCGTCGGCGTGCCGCCATGGTGCATGAGTGCGTGCTGGAGTCCTAGCGGGAACATGATCTACGCCGGGCGGAGGAATGGAACAGTCGAGGAGTTTGACGTGCGCAAGGCAAGGAGAGGGTGGGAACCGGAGCGAACACTCAAGTTTCCGGCTGGCAGTGGCGCTGTGAGCGCCGTGAAACCCATGATGAACGGACGGCATCTTGTCTGGTGAGTTTCTGTGACGTTCCTCAGTTGCCTGTCGGGGTGGGACACTGACTCTTGTGTAGCGCATCGCATGATATTCTGCGCCTCTATGATCTTCGCGAACAGCCCAAGGGATCCAAGCATGCCGCTGTACCGTTCTTGATTATCCCGGGGCCTCCTCGCGCTGGCGTCATCTCGAGCCTGTATGTTGACCCGACGAGCAGGTTCATGCTCAGCGCAGCGGGGACGCGCGGCTGGGAGGGAACATGCACGGAGGCATTGGTCGGGTATGAAATCAACGTACCCAAGTAGGCGCGTTCGAATTAATCACATTGATGGCGTTCGTGGGCTTGGTGGCATTCGTATCCGGAGTAGAGGCTTGGATAGAAATACCCATTGGGCTGTATTGAATCTTTCTTGGCTCAAAAGAAGATTACTTGGACAAAACACCAAGAAAACAAAGACGACGTGACGAAGCAACTGTTCCAGTTCATTCATTCTGCTATCAGAGGCCAGGTTCTCACAAGACAAAAGAAAGATACAATGGAACATCCGACCAGAGTGAACGAAGGAATTCTACGCCTAGCCCCTATCGCCGCCCAAGTGCATCTTACCCATGATGCCGCTGATGCTATCATCTGGCCGGAGTGGTTCGTCGCTCACGCGCTGGCTTGGCCTAGGGGTCAAGTCTTCCGTGCCCGAAGAGTACTCGTCTTCTTCGGCTTCACGTTCGCCAGGGTCGTAAAGTTGAAGCTCATGTGCGTTGCACAAGACCGAATTTTCGGGCATGGTGGGCTCAGGGGTTGTCAGTTCTCTGCCGGGACTGCGTCGAGATGAGCCCCGATGACCATGGCGAGAGAATCCATGGCGCAAATGGCGGGTGCTCTTCTCCTTAGAGGACTTATGGGAACTGCGGTGGGAATCTCGGTTCTTGTGGTCACCATCCTAGTGGAAGACCAGCATAGCATCCTTTCCCTTCTTGTTGTGGTGAGTGGGCTTGCAGTGGTGGGCCCGCTTCATCTTGCCCTTGAAGCCGAAGAAGCGAACCAAGATCGGATAGTCTCCGGGTCCTTTCTTGGATTTTTTGGACTTCCTCTTCTTTGATCGGTGTCTACGCTTCTTCTGTCGCATTTTGTCCTTTCCAGCGGTGCGGGGGGAGCTATTGCAGTTTCCCATCTTCCTGGGTATGGGCTGCTCAGCTGGGACACCTGCTATAGGTGATGGTTTCCAATGTCTTGGAGTTCAAAGCTCAAGTGTCGGGAGAAATCAAGGCCCCTTTATGTCCTGAGAACGTCGATGATGTTCCGCCTCTATCTAGGCCCAAATTCACCAGACACAATGTGTGACTTGAACACTGGAGGCAAACAAAGCGAGTATGGAGAACAAGGTCACAGTTTCAAGTCGATTTGATTCAAGATAATCAACATACAGCACCAGATGTGCTCCATCTACCGAGAACAGAGGATGAGACCAGCCAACTTCGCAGTGAACGACTGTCCGATGTGTTCCGATCGTCTAGTCAGTAGGACAACAGGTGCAACCAATGTTGAAGCACAGTGCGTTCAAAAGCTTGTGCCAGTACCCGCGAGAGCGGTTTTCCTTCTCGATGCGCCGGCGTTCTTTTCGTTCCTCGCGGCGGCGGCGGTCCTTGCGTCTGTCCTTGCGGCTGGAGCGCCCGGTGGTGACGAGCTCAATGTCGGGCTCATGGCCGCGGCGAGGCATTGCAGTGGAGTTTGATTTGGTTGGATTCTTTTAGGTTTCTGGGATTTGATTTGTTGTTTGGTAGGATAAGTACTCCCTTGGCCGGGATCTCACTCAATATTTGTAGACACAGGCGATGCAGTGAAGCAGTGATTTTCAAGCAGCGATCAGCATCCAGACAGGTTCTATGCTCTCAGGATATCAAGTATCATCGTCCACATTTGGAATTTGACCAAGATTCAGTCAAGTGTTTGTGAGGTCAACCAAGGCAGAACGGGCACTTGTAATATCAATCCCAGGACGAGACATGTACAAGTTGCACAAATGTTCCACCATAATTGACGGGTGATAACTGTAGGATGCCATTCTAATTTGACATTTCTACATTCTTCAGAATCACGGTGTATCCTGAGTTTGATCAAACAGCCAGGAGCTACGTGAAAGACACTGGCTTTAGCAAAATCTAGAAGAGACGAGCATTGCCAGACTTCCACTGCTGTACTATCACCAAGTCACGGCGCAGCCTTCGTTGAAGTCTTGTGGTCAATTTTCGAGTAGCAGTTCTTTCATCGGATCCTAGCAGCTAGCGGATGCCAAACTCCCCATATTCCCCGGGGTTCATACCCCCCTGAACACCACAGCTCCCGGGTTGGTATTCTCCTCAACACCACAGCTTATGCTCTTCTTCAGTTCACTTAGCCGAGCCACTCTTGCTGCCGCTGTGCTTGCTTCCTGAAGCACTACCGCCACTCTTACTTCCGCTGTACTTGCTTCCCGAGACACTGCTACCACTCTTACTTCCGCTGTACTTGCTCCCCGACACACTGCCACTGCTCTTACTTCCACAGTACCTGCTTCCCGAAGCACTACTTCCACTCTTGCTTAGTTCCTTAGTGTGGCTAGATTCTCCCTTCTTCGCACTCTTGGCGGCCTCTTTCGCCTTCTGCTTCTTGCGGCGCTCTGCGGCCTCCATCGCAGCGCGCTCTTCCTCGTTGGCGAAGAACTCGTGAGCTACACTGCCCACAAAGTCAATCGGCTTGTCTTTGTTCGTGCGAGGCATAGTGAACTTCAAGTCTTCTGGTGAACTGCAAATAGAGGGATTGTAGGCTCAGGCGATCAAGGCCAGGTGGTTTTGTCCTTAGCGGTTAAGGAGTTCTGAACACCACTCTCCAAAAGATCTTGCCGATTCAACTTATACTTCATGTTCACCATTGACTCAGTCTCAACATTTCGCTTCGTGATGAGATGCTTGGAGCTGTCTTAGCCTCTGATAAAAGTGCTCGCCAGTCTGGTTGTGTACTACCCTTGGCGCAACCAATCCCAGAGCGCCTTCACCTAATCAGCACAGCAGCTTCCAAGGAAGCAGTAGCACTTATCGTCGTACTGTACCCCTTGAGATACGTATACGTTGTCTCCGGTCCATTTTTGATTTGTCCTGTCTGCATGACCTTCAAAAGCTTCTGACGAGCACACAGCGGCCAGTGCTCCGGAGGACGCTGAGAGTGCCAATAGCAACACCACTAGGGCACTCGAACACCCTCGTGAAATTCTTTCGACTGGTTGTTCTCGCCATTGACATTGTACAGGGCCAAACCGGCAGTTGCCCGCGACGTACTTTGCTCCCACATTTCAAGGCCAAAGCCAGCCAGTCGACTCTTTCTCTCTGTTTGCCTGGGGGCTAGTCGGCCATGAGTACAATAGCTACTGTGAGAGAACATGGCCTTGAACATGCCGTTCAAGTCTGCTCATTCTACAGATATGTTGATGCTCCATATATGTCACAACTATTCTGAGGCTCCTTAGTTTACTGTCTCTAAGCCCCCCTGACTAGCAGCAGTCCAATTGCAGGCCTTTTCAAAGATTCAGTTTATCCCGATTTAGCGCAGACATAATTGCAGATGACAGTCCTGAAATCGTCTTTTGATCGTTAGGTAGACAGACCCTCCCATAGCTTGTATATGGTCACTATGCTGTGCCTTATGTGCTGGAATCCGACACTTGAATTAAGCCTACAGTCAGCTAGGATCAAACGGAAAGTGGTCAATTGTCGATTGGAAATTGGCCATATTTGATCCGAGATTCTTCAATTGACACAGCGGATGCCATCACGTTGGGTGAGACCCGTAAGACCCCCGTGCCTTGAGAAGTTGAGTCGCCAATTCCTGCAGACTCCTGCCAGCAGCCCTCTAAGAAAGAGGAATTATTGTGGAGCAAAGAAGAAAAAAAGAAAAAATTACTTGTCGAGTTCCCTGACCTGCACCAAAGAGAATAGCATGCTTCGATGAGCGGGATGATCTGCTGGCGCCAAGGCTCCTCCACGACTCCGCCGGACGTTGACCTCCGTGGCAGCTCCACCGCTTCTGTCATGATCCGCATCGCACCACCCCTTTGCAGCCCCTTTTAATCAACTCAAGTCGCCGCATATGGGTCATCAATGCAAGTGAAGAAAAGAAGAGCTACATCGCCTTCTATCATCTACTGAGGCTTTCTGGCAGACATCCACCGTGGACCCGGGATGATGTAATGAGACCCTGAGTCTCGCACTCTGTGCTCAGGTTGACATCATACACATCGTCCCTCCCGTCAAGGTGGGGAGATGTCGTCAGAAGGTGACATCTTCGTCTGGAAAAGCTATAGGTATATGAAGCTTTCTTTCGTTGTTTCAAGTGGTGAGGTTCTTCATCATTCTCGCATCACCGAACACAAGCAAAAGAAATCCAAATTACCCAGATCATCACCATGTCTCACTTCAAGAACCCCGAGTCTTTGAACTCTGCCCAGGGCGAGTTCTCGAGCCATGTCAAGCCATCAGAGCCTTTGACCACAAAGGGCGTAAGTCGAACTCGATGTTCATGGAAACACGGGATTGTGGCTGACAGATTTTAGCATGCCCCTGGTGTCAAGGTTGGGAACGACGCCGCCCCTGAATTCAGCGCCGAGACTTACCCTCCCGGTACTGCTCCTACAGACCGTTCCTTCAAGCCCAACCCTGTCGATGAGACCTCGACAGAGAACAGCGCGGTGCCCAAAGCTTCAGACACACTCGGTGGAGCCACTTCTGCCGAAGTACACCAAGGTCTTGGGCACCCTGGCTCGGGGCAGACCAGTCAGGAGTTGCATGGCACTCACAAGAAGGATCGCTCAGGCCTGACTGGCGTCGGTGCCAACTTGACAGACCCCCAGCACCAGCAACACCACGACCGACCATATGAGACCGGCAAGACTGGCAAGGGGAGCTCCGACTATCCTGCAGCGGAGGATCAACTCCCCACCTCGGCTGAGCAGGTTGCCAGCGAGCGTCGTTAAGAGTTGGACCTGGACTATCACAGTTCAATGTTGGCACAAGATAGGCGTTACCGGACTGGCAGCATAGGATTTATGTATAATGAATAATCATGAATGGCTGAACGATATTACCGCTACACACTTGCAATGTCGACACGATCCATATTCAAATATTCCCCGTCAGCTTCATGCCAGTTTCGTCTAATTTTCGTACATAACGAACCAATAACACGCATAACATTGGAATGTGTCCATGCATGAGTACTTTATGAGACGACAGGTGGCACACTGATAACTAAGGCAGCTTCCATCACATAGGAAACCCCGCAGAGACCTCCGCAAAATCAATGCCACTAAATAAAAGGGCTCTGCGAGAGTCAAGAAAGTCTCATATCCTACTGTAGGCAAGAAAAGCTACACCAGGTTCCTAAGAAGGCTTTGTGAGAAAGAGTCGGCACTCCTGCTATAGATCCAGGGTAGCCATGGGCCCAAGCTAAGTTAAGCTTTGGCCCCGGGATTGCACACGCGAGTGACGTGACCCTCACCGACCGCGGACCGCCCGACCACATGGCCAAGGCCCGACAAGCGGGGGTTCATTGGCAGGCTGGATTGCACCTTCCATTTTGGAATTTGGACTCGGGGCTATGAAAGCTCGTTTGCCTCTGATACGACAAGGACCCAGGCTCTAACTTCTCCCTATGCTTGAGCCACGTTATGCCGTGGCGAACCTCAGTCCAAAATGAACCAATCGACGCCGGCATTTCGATTTTCGACCGCCCGCCCACAATTGCAGTAGCAGCCGCTGCCAGTGTGGTGGGCCTCTTTTCGCCCCCCAGAGTGCACACGGTACAAGTGAAAGCAACCAACAAGTATTGTGCCGCGATTGGGTCCTGGATGCTCCCCACGCCTGAAGAACGTTGAATGAATCCGGGCAATTGGTTCTGGCCAGTCCGTATCGTTACCTCCGAAGATCTGATTGTCACGCTACCGCTGTAATAAAGAGGAACGTGCTTGTCCGATTGCTCAATTCAATTGCCTGCTGATGGCACATTCTTCACGGGGCCGCCGGAGACTATTGCTTGTTTCGTGCCAGGGTCCTGCATGATTTCCGAACATCGGATTCGGCGAGTCCATGTCGATTTATTAGCCAGCAGGGTTGTGGTCAACAAACGTAGCGACCGGCCGACCGGCCGCCCGCCTAGCAAACAAGCAAGCTAGCCGCGAAGCGTGCTGGGAGCTTCTTTAACTACGAAGTTGATTTTCCATCACCAAATACACGCGGGCAAGCCAGGTCATGAGTCCACCTGTTTCTCCTGGCCGGCCGTCTACTTGTAGGTATCAGTGATCACGACAGTTCCCGCCCGCTGCCGCCCTACCAAAGTACCGATAGAGCCTGATCCCAGTCCCGCTGGGCTACCAGACTAGGACTGGCGGTGGGCACTGGGCGGTGGCATGCCGCATGCATTATTGTCTGCCCAAGCCTTTCCCAATCCCTGCTTCCCAGGTGCCCCTCACACGCTCGCAAGTTTCAGTTCACAGGCGCGTGGGATGCGAGATAGACGCGCGGAACGATAGGCTGGCACTCTAATCACTGTACAGCCTGTCTTCCTTCGCAGGCCTCATCTCTGGCAACGCCAATGTCCAATGTCGTCGTAGAGCCCCCACATCCTCGGAATCTACATCTAGTTACGCACACCGGTAGTCTATCTGTAAGGCTTGACATGGTGGGACGATGCGTATTTATTTTGTCCGCGAATCGCTCCCGCGCCACTAGAGTCTCCATTGAGGGGATAGCAACTCCAACGGCTGCATTCTCCAGTTCTGGTCACTGTCGACCGATGCTCGAAGAGCCCGCTCCTCCGGCCAAGCACGCGTGCGTACGTGCAGCATATCCACCGGCATCAAAAGGGCGATACCCAAATAGTCACCACTGCCGAGGCGCCTTTCAGTCTCCTCCTCTACGTACTTACGTATCCCCCTGGGCGCGTTAGCACGCACTATAGCTTCAAATCCGGCAGCGCAGTCAAACCCGAAAATAGACAGACGCGGCCCAACTACGAGCGCCCGCCTTCATTCACCCCAGGCCCCATGATCCTGACTCCAAGTTCCAGGCATATCGCCTCGGCAGCTTGATTATCAGCCTTATAACCGCGTGGCAGCCCGTGCTCGTCAAGGAACACCAACAGCCACACCCTAAATACCCTCTTCGTGCTGCAGTGTTGCGGTGGCGCCAGGATGGAGATTCAGTTCTCAATTCCAGTGACGGGCGGTAGGCGCAGGGCCTCTGGCAACTCCAGGTGAGTGGCTCGCCGTGTTTCTGGATCCAGCTTGACCCAGTGGTGCGGGCTGCCGAGCGCAGCGCCCAACGTTCATGCAATAATGACTCCTCCCTGCCCTCAGCCCTCAGCTCCTCGCATGACTGCGCGTCTTGGCTTTTGAAGGCTGAAAGCTGAAAGCTGAAAGCTGAAAGCGGAACTCTGAACTGACGGACGGGAGCTAATTCGCCTTTCCTTCAGCTCAACGTCGGCATCTCAAGCCTCCAAGCCGGCAGAGGAACAGCCTGCGCGCGGCGGTACACACAGATTTGCACTTGATACCCGCACGCGACACACACGCCGAAGCTCAACTCGGGCACGCACTGGATGCGCAACTTGTAAGTCTCGCCCTCCATGAGCATGCCAAACTTGAATACAGAGACACAGTAGGCTGACAGCGATTCAGGCAAGTACGTGGTCAAATGCCGACGTCCCTTGCACGGGTCACGGACCGGCGAGAACGGTATATGCGACTCTGAGCATTTCACTGACTCTGCACAGGAAGAGACACGTCAAGTGCGATGAAACAAGGCCTTCATGCCTCAACTGTGTGAAATGGAGAGGGTACTGCGATGCATACGCGGAAGACGACGCTGGACAGTCGAAAGCTTCCGGCAAGCTCATACACACCAAGAAAGCATCCTTGATAGTGACTGAGCCGGTCGTCAACACGATTTGCTTCGCAAACGACCAGCAAAGAGCTTATTTTAACGAATGGTCGGCCCTTTCAGTAACGTATCTGAGCGGCGGACTCGAGCAGACGCGCCTTTGGACAGCGACAATGCCGCAGTTGACGCTCCAGGAGCCGACGCTTCGATATGCGGCCATAGCCATCGGCGCCCTGCGACGCGCGTATAACGAAGAAGGCCATAGTGTGGCATCGGCCTTGACGATTGACAACCAGCACTATATGAATGCAATCACTTACTATTGCGAAGCGCTGCGCATGCAGTCCAAGGCACGACCGACCCGCGAGGGCTTGCGGACCGCCATGCTGTCATCATTACTATTCATCTGCTTCGAGACCCAGCGGGCGAACATGCCCGTGGCACTCAAGCACATCACGCATGGTTTCAGCATGCTGAACGAGTTGGCGGCCTGCACTGAAAAGGCCCCTGACCTCGTCAGCATCGCACCCGCGCCGCCCTCCCTCGTGCAAGAGATCCTCGATTGCTACAAGCCACTTGAGCTGCAATCGAGATCGTTCATGGGCTCGTACCAGAAGTTCTTCTTCCCCCCAAGCCAACGGCAACAGAAGGGGGGCATACCTGGAGGGCCTCCGGAGGCTGGTCAAGGGACTGGGTCACCAAATCCCGCTGGTGAGACACGAACCCCGGCCGACAACGCTTCATCGCAGTCCGCATCGCCCGCTGCGGCTTCAAGCCCAGCGAGTCAGCCGGGCACGCCGTGGCAGAGCCAAGCCGCCAAGGCGCAGCAAACGACACCGCACACGGGCCTCCCTAGTCCCTCCAGCCAAGACAGTCCGCAAAGTCAGGAGTCTGGCCCAACACCGCCTAGGCCGCAACGGCCGCCTGGAATCTTGCCATTCACCAAACACTCACCATACTTCCGACCAAAAAAGTCGTCAATTCACTCCTTGGAAGAGCTGCCTCGCGTCTTCTCGTCCGCCGATGAGGCTCAGGGATATTGGGGCCTCCTGCAGCGGCAAATGGTCCAGTACATTCCCATTCTGAGTGTCATCACAAGCCAGCTCAATCTGCCCCAGGTGCAGGATGAAGCAGAGCTGGAAATGAAGTTGTCCAGCGTCAGACAGAACCCACGAATATCCCGCTTCGTGGCCGAGTCGCGGTACTGGCTGCAGAGATGGATCGAGGCGTACGATCCCCTCTACTACGCCGCGGCAAGGAACAAGGAGCAAGACCTCCAGGCGTACCTCCAAGCCGCGAATCTTCGCATTGAATACTTGGTTCTGTACATTTATACCGCGATGCCACGCTTTTCCGGCCTGATCACAGCCAGGGGTCTTACACCTCAGTACCGCGAGATCAACACACTGGCCGAGATGCTCCTGCGGGTCCGACCCAACTGTGGCTTCGCCATGGATTCGGGGTGGACGTGGCCCTTGTTTGTGTCGGCGTTTGGCTGTCGCGACCCGTCTGTCCGGGATGACGCCATCCGCATCCTAGGCGAGTACCCCATCCGCAATGCTCTACGAGATTCACGCGTCTTCCGAGCGATTGCGCTCAAGAACCAGCTCGCCGAGCAGGAGAGCGCATCGTGCGGCGACGACGAGCAGCTGCAGTGGCTGCGCCTGCGAAGGCGGGAGGTGGTCTTTGAGGATTTCGGGACGAACATTGTCTTTCGCAGTGCGAAGCGAGAGCCGGAGACGGGACGGTGGGTGGTGGTGGAAGAGGCTGCCAATTTCACCTTGCAGGCGGATGGGACGTTGGACTGGCACGTGCAGCCTATATCGTCGTCGACATCGATACTCTCGGGTGTCTGTTGAAGTAGCACTGGGATGGTCATTTTGGCCTTGCAGCATAGCGTGAGAATTATTAGAATTAGAGTACCTAGATTCGGCCCTAAGTCTAGAGCAAGCTGGTGCCAACAACTCTTACTTCATTGTAATTACAGCGCGATGAGCGAAGATGGCAGCGACTGATCTGAGTCCATGTGGTCTCGGCCTGTATCGTGGGGTTTGATTCGAGGTTTGTGATGATCATTTCGTGGCCGTTGATCCGCCAACGAGCGTTACGAGCCTGAGCCTGCACGGTTGGGGTTGCGGGGCGGGCCTCAGCCACAGTTTCGTGTTTCGACTTTCGAGTCCTCAACGTTGCAGGATCACCTCGCTAGGGCGTCTGAATGGGGACACGGATGCTATTGCTGATGGTCTATTAATGCAGCCTTTCATGGACCACGTCCTAGCGGAATCGGCATGGTGAGGAGGGATTGACAGCAAGGGACGTGTCAGGGGCGCATCACGGCCTAGACACGACTCAGGCAGGGCGAGGTGCTCGGAATAATAAGTAGAGTTGGATTGCCTTCTAGACGGCACGGTGATAATTACTACTCTGGAGTCTGAGATGGTTCATGACGCGCGATGAAGACCTTGGCGACGAATGCTTCATGTGAGGCCATGTCATCGAAGCATCATTTCGAGGACTCTGGAATGGAAAAGTGGGAGGCCATTAACCTCAGCAATTGTCTTTCGCTGGTGGGACTCGCTAAACAAGGACATCTCACGACTGCCTTGGAAGGAAGGCGCATTGGCCATCGCTAACTGCAACTGCACGGAACGCCCCTGCCCGCTGAAACATGTCCTGCGGACCTGGCCCAGTGGTCAGTCCTGACCGTCCCAGACTCCCAAAGTCTCTCCCTTCCCCAGCCGTCGCTTGTGCGCCTCGTGATGCTCTGCCATCTTTGGCATCTTTGCCCTCATCTACTCTCACCAACTTTGATCCTAAATATATTCGCTTGCGCGCCCAGCCAGTCAAAACAGAGGACTCACGGTAATTAGACTCGTATCTCAGATCGAACTAGGGGCCGCCAAGATCACTCTGGCAACCATTACGACACTGGCCAGAACTGGCTAGGCAGGCTCAGCCTCCACACCAACCGGGCACCCGATCATCCTGGGTCACCCGCCCCTCGATATTCTCCCATTCATCATCACAGTGATTTCAACTTCCCCGTTGGTGTCTCTGCATTTCTTTTGGCGGGCCTCAACCCTCGTTCAACTTCTATCGCTTCATGCTTTGCATCCTTATGCGTCGCTCGCTCATCGCCATCGCCATCGCCATCGATAAATTGGGACCCGCTATTCTCGGCTAGGTCCACCATCGTTGGTTCAAGTTGCGTGGCCTGCTGCACTAGATCTCTGATCGTTGTTGATTCAGAACCGTTCTGAATTGGTCGACCAGACAAATCACATAGTCTCAGCTGCAAATTGTCACCCTCGTTGCTCTTGATTGCGCTGTCCGCCGAGCATTCGGCCCTTTAATACAAAGGCTCTCTCGATCCAAGCCGACCACCGACTTCGCCTGCCACTGTCGCTTGAGACGGACGAGTCTCGCCGCCGGTGGCTCCGCATCGACCGGGTTCTTTGTATGCGCATGGAGATCTGATATCCGCGTATACGTCGACCGCTTTGGCAATTTAGACCGGTGCGCACAGCGAACATGCAACATTGGTCAAACGACCCGTACGAGAGCGAGCCGCTCGACTCCTCCCGCATCCCTCGCGAACGAATGGCCCGCCAGCCTTATCCCTCAAACTACGAACAGGCTCCGCAGGAGTCGCCCACTCCCTACTTTGACGGTTCCTCACCGCATTACCATAATCAAACACCGACAAGGGACCAGTCGCCGTATAGTTCGCCAGCCGGACACCACCAAAGCCAACATTCAGGGGACGCACCGCCACCACCCCGACACGGCGACAACTCATATCACACGCGAACCGGCCCTGTAGCTTACGGTCAAGACCCGGGTCCTGTTTATGCGCGGAATCACCCGAGCCTTCCCCGTCACGACGCCGACGGCTTCAGTCAAGCATCCTCTCCGGCCATGGCAAGTAGGTCCCGAGGGGACCGAGGGCATCTACCGCCTCCTCCTTCTCGAACAGCGCAGGCGGGAGGATATGCCGGTGGAGCATACATGTATGACAGCTATGGTAAGGTCACAGCCTCCTTGGGTGTTTTCTGAGGCTGACATCCAAAGCCCGCGGCAACAACTCGCCGATGCGATCCACGACGAGTAGCCTACAGAACTATGGACCCGGCACCGATCCTTACGGCGACGACCCCTATGGATACTCGTCATCGAACCGAAGTGTCGACCGCCGCTTAGGAGAAGTGAACCCGAATGATATCGAAGATGACGGCGACGACGGCTTGCATTACCCACGTTACAGCCAGCGCAATTCAATGCTCAGCTCTGGTACATCTGATCGCGGTGCGCGGCCTGCCATTGGGGGAACCGCGGCGGCCGGAGCTGGTATGGGTGGCTACTTCGCCAAGTCCGGGACCGCTGAGCGTCCTGTGGAATACGATCTCGCTGCCACCGACAAGGAGCGCTCCGAGTGGACCAAGCATGAAGGCATGAGTAAGCGCAAGAAGAGCTTCATCATCTTTGTCCTGCTCTTTGTCATTATTGGTGCCATTGTTGGTGGCGTTGTTGGCGGTATGGTTGCCAATACCGACAACAAGAAGGACGACGCCAACGATGGGGACTCTGCAAAAAAGGATTCTGAGAAAAATGGTGTTCTGGACAAGAACAGTCAAGAAATCAAAGATCTCATGGACAACCCTGAGCTGCATCGAGTCTTCCCCGGAATGGACTACACACCGATCAACACGCAATATCCGGACTGCGTGCACAACCCGCCGTCGCAAAACAACGTCACCCGCGACATGGCCGTCTTGAGTCAACTCACCAACCGTGTACGAACCTATGGTACCGATTGCAACCAAACAGCCATGGTGATTGAGGCGATCAACCTGTTGGACCTCAAGGATGATGTGAAAATCTGGATGGGTGTGTGGCAGGACAAGAACACGACAACCAACAAGCGTCAGCTGGATCAGATGTATCAGACGCTTGAGGATTACGGCGACGAGCACTTTGAGGGTCTCATTGTTGCCAACGAGATCCTCTTCAGGGAGGAGATGGACGTTACCGAACTGGGTGACTTGTTGGACGAAGTACGCACCGAGCTCGACAAGATGAACCTGGATCTGCCCGTCGCGACCTCTGACTTGGGTGACGACTGGACGTCTGCGCTCGCGGACACTAGCGACTACCTCATGTCCAACATCCACCCCTTCTTTTCCGGCGTGACAGCCGACAAAGCTGCTGCATGGACCATGGAGTTCTTCGAAGACCAGAACGGCCAGTTTTTCAAGACGACGGGGGGCAAGACGGACAAGAAGCGAAACGTCATCTCCGAGACGGGATGGCCCACGGGCGGCGGCACGAATTGCGGCGGTGCATCGAGTTGTAAAGAAGGATCAGTGGCCGGCGTGGACGAACTGAATACCTTTATGAACGACTGGATATGCCCCGCGCTCAAGAATGGCACCAACTACTTTTGGTTCTCCGCCTTTGACGAGCCGTGGAAGGTCCGATTCAACGAGAAGGGCAAGGAGTGGGAGGACAAGTGGGGCATCATGGATGTCGACCGGAACCTGAAGAAGGGGGTGAAGATCCCCGACTGCGATGGTCAAACGGTATCGTGACGAGATCAAGTGGTGTTCTTCAGTGGCAGCAACTCTGTGGCGTTTTGGGAATGGGGTCATGTACGTGGCGCTGTTTGACTCGACTACCCTGGTTAGGGTGGTATCTGGCTTCTTGTCTTTTGGTTCTCGTCTCGGTACTTTTCAAGCGACTGGCGGTGTTGCGCATGGGCTCAGTGACGGCTGTATTTGGTGGATGGTTTGGGTTTGTGAGGAATACAACGGCACATACAGACGTACATAGCACTAAGAAATGAACGATTTTTACACGTTACACAGCATTGTATGATGAGTGCCTTTGAGAATGTGATATATCGAAGCTGGAACTATGGCCATCGAGGTGATGGGCAAGCGTCGGTGTCCATGCTAAGTTTCACTCCTGTAGGCCCATGGTCCTCTAAATCGACGCCCAGATATTGCGTGCATCCCGTACCAGACATTGACTCCCCAAAGGCAGATTCCAAGTGCGAACAAGTGGGTGAGGGCCTCCCCGTAGCGAAATCAGCAACTCCAGATACCCCATGACAATATGCTTCCTTGCCACCCGCAGCCGTGCCCTCGTATACGCCCCGAAAGAGCTACAGAAAGTCGTCTTCTATTGGGTCTCCCCGGCGTAGGATATTGACTTCGCCCCTCAGCGCGCCAACTTCGTCCTTTAAACACGCAACCTCACGCCGCAGCGCGTCCACAATGTCACGCATGACGGCATAGTCCGGGTAGGCGACCGCTATGGCGCCCAGCTCCGGGTCCCCCTCGCCCTCCTTCTCCTCGTCGAATTTCATAAAGGCCTCCCCCGCTGGGGTGGCGGGTGCGTCAAACAGCGTGACCGTCTCGCGTTTCTCCATGGCCAGGCCTTGACCGGGCGGCGGGACTGGCACGCCCATATGAGCCCTTGTGCGTTCTTGGGATTCTTTCTGCAAGTGTCGCGTGACAATGTCGTTGAGGTTGACCTTGCCGTCGATTTTGCCTGCGTCGCGCCTGTGGTGGGATTGCGTTAGAGTGCGTGCGCGGGATGAGAGCGGGAGCGGGAACAGCGTACCGTTTTTCGAGCAGAGTGCGCGCATTCGCGACGAGCATCGTGCGACGCTCGGCGATGGAGGCGTTGAGATAGCTGGGGCGCTGGGACTCGCGGAGGCAGCAGGCGCGGATGGCCTGGTACTCGTGGCTTCTGGCGAGGAAGGCTTCGCGCTTCGCTGGGGCCATGGCGGCGATGCGGGCGCGGACCTTGCGTGTGGCAGGATGCTTGGAATAGTGCGTCGAGCCTCGGGTGCGCTTGTCGGGCATTGTGTCTGTGGGCTTCGTAGGCTAGCGGTGGCTGTGTCGTTGTGCTTCGTAGCTGTCCCTTGGCTTGGAGTGTTGAAGAGTTCGAGTTGTCGGCTGGTTGCTCTGGTCGTTTTGAGGAAGAAGAAGAGAGTAAACTCGAGCCAACTGAGCTGTGTGAATGCACAGAATGAGCTGACGGTGGTGAACTTGGGCCCTGCTCGATGGAAGAGAGTACGACTAGCTGTACGAAGCTCATCCGATGTAGGCTTTTCAGGCTTTGAGCGAGCAACGCGATGACCAATGCACACAGATGCGATGGCCAAGTTTCAAGTTAATCAATCATCTCCGCGAGATTATGGGACGTCGATATCTAGTGCTGAAAAGACTCAATAATACCAGGCGCTCTCGTAATATACCGGCAACGCACAGACCCAATGCTCCAACGCGGGCGCGATGTCTATGAGTCAAGGGTATCTAGCGCGCTTCTTTACAATATATAGCGGTGTTTGTGAACGAGTTTGTGGTGTCGTCTTTCGGAAAGAGGTGTTTCGAGTGCGTCTGGCTCATCTTTTTGATGTTCGGCACGTCGAAGATGTCGTCCTTCTTGTCCATGGACAAGCTGCATAGGAGTCAGGCTCATAGACGAGATGCAACGTAGATCGATACTTACGTGTCCCAAATATCCAATTCCGTCCCGATAAACATGATCGGGGTTGCCTTCTCCATTGCTTGGATGTATATCGGTCGATAGAGATGTATCCCAAACAGCAGAGTGTCTTGTCCCACCATGTCGAACCCCTCGGGCGACTCAACAACACGATGGCCCAGGGATTTGATAAACTCGTTGTCTGAGGTGGTGAATACTGGTTCTTGAAATACACAGTCGATAGTAGTCTGTGACTGTTGCTCTGCCTAGATGTCAACATACGCTCTGTCTTGTTTCATGGATGCCCTCCCACCTAGCACCTGCACCATCAGAAGAAACGCCGCCAATTGTATAAAAGCCTTCTTCTTCATTTCCCACCCCCCGTCGAGTGGATCAAATGTCCCGATGCCTAGGCATATCGCCTTCTTCACCCCCTTTTTGGGCGTATGCTCCTTCACAAGGTCCCTCAGCTTCGTGTATGAGGTTTCTGACTCATACTGCGCTCTTATGCGATCGTACTCTGCCTTTATCTCTGCTACGGAACGCACTCTTTGTAAGTTTGCTCGCGAAGCTGAGGTTGATGCCTGGGCGAGGATTTGGCGAGACTTTGGTCTGAGCTTTGGCGCGTGTTGGCGTGACTTTGGTTTCACAACTGTCCAGCCATCGTCGAGAGGGGTTGCGGTGGCGGTAATTGACTGAGACATGGCTGCTCAGTGGAGCAGGCCTTGTGAGATGAACGGATCTGCTGTTTTTGAGTACTAAAGGAGTGTCCCCCGATGGGAGATTCGTCGTGACGGTTGAAGCTTTCATAGAGTCGAACAGACTTTTGGTCGCATGTGATGGGATAACCAGTATATGCATCTAGCGGTATTGGCTTTTCGCGTAGAGCTGCTTGGGTGTACCGGCTACCCTACACCTCGACTGACCATTTTTCATGGACATGACAGCTGGCTGGGAAACCATACGATGTCTTTGGGAAACCATACGATGTCTTTGGGAAACCATACGATGTCTTTGACTCTCTGTGGATATGATGTAGGTATTAAGTGCCGGCGACTGTACTTTTGAAGCACATGCACGCATGGGAGCATCTGCACAGCGGCACAGGCTTACAGCGTGAAGCGAACCACGATCCGGCCCGCCCACCGAGTCACCATCATGCCTGCGCCGCCAACCGATGGACGCCGCATCTCACGCCTCCAATTGGCCCTCCCGAGACCCCGCACCACCATCCCCGAAATGGCCACCCGACCAGGGCCCGGGCGCTTAGCAACATGATCAACCTCCAACCACACGTCGCGACGAGTCGCCTGCACTCCAACCCATCACAGCATTCTGGCCAACCCGGAGCGATGTATGCAGGTAGGATGCACAGGAGCCATTGCCGCCGGGCTTGCATGGGATGTGGGTTGAGGATCTGGCCGCGTTGAATAAGACCCTTTTGGCTGCTGTCCTCGCGCCTGGCCTTTCCTCTCCTCGCATGCTCAGCTCACACTATACCGTGCTGTAATATTCCCTACCAACGCTGCGCCAGAGCTTGGTATTGAAGCTGTCGAGAGACGAACTCATAACCAACCCAACTCAACGAGACTCAGCCTTGCTCACTTCGACCAACACGCAAGAGGACGCCTTGAGCGGAGTCCAGCCGCGACTCAGTCAACAATCGACTACACCACTCGCTCAACATTGTCCACGAAACGCCACAAGATGCATTCCTCAGGATTTATCGCCGTCCTGATGGCGACGGTCGTCTCCGCCCACAGCATCATTAGCTACCCCGGATGGCGAGGCAACAACCTGATCACCAACGAGACCTTCCCCTTCGGCATGCAATGGATGTATCCTTGTAAGACTTCCACAATCCATACTCGCCCTCACAGAATCGTGCTCACACACTCTTAGGCGGCGGTATTGGCACCACGACCAATAGGACATACTGGCCGACGACAGGTGGCGCCGTTGCTTTCCAACCAGGCTGGTTCCGCGGCCACGAGACAGCAATCGTGCACATCAACCTTGGCTTCGGCACCGACGGTCCTGACGATGGCCCCGTCGACATGTCCAACCCCATGCTCCCGGCGGTTCAGATCCTCGGACCCACCAACGGACCTTACCCGGGCACCGTCTGCTTCCCGCAGGTGCCCCTGCCCAAGAACGCAAACGTCAAGGCCGGCGACAAGGCGACGATTCAGGTTGTCGAGCTCGCCGTGCACGGCGCGGCTCTGTACTCGGTAAGCAGGCGAAAACGCAGACAAGAAAAAAGAGTGATTTGGGGCTAACCAGTTGGGATCATAGTGCGTCGACATTGAGTTCGCTGAGCCCGGAGACGAGAAGATCGAGCAGGTGACCGAGGAGAACTGCTTCAACTCGACAGAGCTGGGCTTTGCTGAGCTGTACACTATTGCGACGGTGAACCCTAGGACGGGCAAGCGGTTCGATGACGACAACGCTGCTGCTGGTCGATCGGCAGCACTGGGGTCGCTTCCTTTGCTGATGTTATTGGGGTGGGCATTGCTTTGAGGCTACATAATGGGGTTTGGAATTCGGGTCTTTGGCGTTGAGGAAACCTTTTGGGGAGTTCAGGATATATGGTGTCTACACTACAAATGGGTATCTATGTGAGAGCACGCTCTTCGATACAACACAATCACAATCACAGCATTTGATAAGCGCAGCTTGGCATCATGATCTTCTTGATACGTTATCTAGTCATGTTTTCTCTACCCCCTTCCCGTTTATGACCGTATGGCCTTGGCAACATCTGCCGCGACCTGTTTGACCCTGTCTTCGCTACCCCTGTCCGAAGCACCTTGAACCCATTTCTTGACATCTGACCCCGTAGCCAACTCCGGCGACGTCATGAGCAGCGTGCCCAGGCCGACCAGTGTCCGATAGAGAACCTCAGAGTCTGTCTGATCAGCAATGATGGTGCCAAAGATGACGAAGAGCCGGCGTCGCTGCTGGGGTACCAGTAGATTCTCACGCGCCACGAGAACCGAGAAGTTGAGGGCCACTGTCGAAAGAGCAATGAGAACATTGCGGTTGTGCTTTCCGATGGCCTCCGCTCCTTGGGCTCCTGTCACTCGCTCCAAAAAGGCCAGTGCGGCATCGGTGTGACTGCTAGCCGCACTGCGTCCATCCGCTGTAGCGAAGATGTTGGCAATCGTGCGAGCGGCCATCATCACGGCATTCTCGTTGGGCGTTTCCTCGGCCGGCAGCGAGGCGGCAATGGCCAGATGGATCAAGGAGGGATACTCTGCGGTGGAGTACTGCGCAACAATACGATATTTGGCCATGCAGCGCAAGGCGTCGAGGCCAGCAAGTCGGTCCGTGTAAGGCCATTCAGTCACGACGCGCACAATGAGATCGGTCGACTGTGGAGGCGGGGGCTTTGATGTTGCTAATGCTTCCTGCAAAGCTTGTAGAGTCTGTTCCTCAGTTGGGTTGAGAGCTGCGTCTTTCCGGCCACATGAAACCATGTTCTTGTTGACAGAGGCGATTTTGTTAAAAATTGCTTCGTACTTGGCGGCAGTGATGCTCAGGAACTCGGCTTGCGGAATAAGCTTGGCCTTTTGACTCTGAGCATCCTGCCCGGGTCGGTAACGCGACTCTGTTCCATAAGGGTCTGAGCCCCCGCTCGGCTCTGACGATCCTAGCGAGGCGCCCTGAGTGTTTTGCGTGATGAAGTTCGCTACATTGTCCAAATATGAGAGTGGTAGCTCGTTTTCGCCCAGAAACTTCGTTGCTCGATCGTATGGGTTCTCAGAGAGGTTGTAAGGTAGCTTCAAAGGCGGCTTTCCATCCTCAATGTCGACATCAAAGACGTAGTCGTACGATTCGCCTTTGTACTCCACCTTCTTGCCAGTGCTTCCCACCGCATCGACCACAGTGCCGACATTGACCCATTGCTGTTGGCTGACGGACCACGTGTGCGCTGTGACATTGCCGTTGTCCTCTTTGATCATCTGCACCTGACCATCCTTGGTGCCGGACTTGGTGGTGAGGAATTCGGGACCCGGGAGCTTCTCCTTGTTAACGCCGCCCACCTGTTGCTGGGGGATGGCGGATCCCTTGACGGAATCTTCAAACTCCCGCAGCGTCTGCTCATCGGCTACATTGTCGGCGCGCCTCGTGAAAATACGCGCGACGCCATCGCTTGCTCCGGTCACAATGTCGCCCGTCTCTGCGTTGACGGCCACTGTCCACACCGATATGGCCGGGTGCGTAATCGTCTGAACGCAGTCTGAACCTCTCCAGATCCTCACGGTGCGGTCCTCACCCGAGCTGGCAATTTCGCCCGATGGCAAGGCCGCGAGCGAGTAGATGAAGCTTTCGTGCCCTGCGAGTTCAGCGACCTGCTGTCCATTGAGCTTCCACAAGCGTATGATGCCGTCATTGCTAGCACTAGCGATGTCTGCACCACTGGGGTGGTTCTTGGGCACACGGCAAAGAGCGCGAACCACGTCTGGAGTCTGTATCGTAAATTTGGGCATCGCTTCTCCCGCCGAGACTCTGCTCAAATCAAATATCCGAATGCTCTTATCTGCGCAACCTGTCGCCACCGTCTTTGTGTCCACGGCGATGACACTCCAGACGGATACTCCTTCGTGATCACCAAGCGTCATCTCGGTCTCCCATTTGGATGGGTTCCAGACTCGACCTTGGCCATCCCAGCCGCCCGATACAATGTATTTCCCGTCCGAGGACACGTCCAAGGCACACACGTTGTTTGCGTGACCAACCAAGAGGCGCTCTGCATTGTCGCTACTCTGCTTGGTGGGTGCCTTGACTTCGATGATTGTGTCTTTACCACCTGAGACCACAAGCCCGTCGGGATATTCTCGGTTCGCAGGAAAGAATGTGAGGGAATTGACGTATTCGCTGCCACGGCTGACGAGTGTTCCATCAAAAGAGTTCTTGTTGTCGGCGTTTCGCCTCCAGGCGCGGACACTGCAGTCGCGAGATGCTGAGAGGACTAGCCCGTCGGTGGGAAAGCAGACGGCGCGCACCTATAGACATGTTAAACAAACTGAAGCGCACTGGAACTGACGCAGAGACATACATCAGCCTCGTGTCCCACGAGCTGAGCCGATAGCTTAAAGTCACCTTCAGCCATTTCTACTAGTGAACCGCGATGTCGCTCTCGTAGTGGGGTCGGACCTTGTGGACGGTTTCGAGATGTCCGTAGGCTGTTAACAACACAAGGTGAAAGTAGTAGAGAGGAAACTGGGATTCTAGTGACAACCGGAATGGACAAAAGAATCGCGAGTTGTCGGAGGGCGGACTGACCAATGCAATGGAATACGTTAGTAAAGTAGGCATTCAAAGTGCAGGCAGGCGAGATGGTGGAGAGATGACGATGGAAGCCGATTGAAGCTTCGCGCGTGGCTGGCGCAAGGTCGCGCCACAGTTCCCCTCAGGCGTGGCTCAGGTTCGCTCCTGCCCCACCAACGCTGCCTACAGCACTTATGGCCAAGCGAGTCCAGTCCACCTGCATCCACTTGAAACATCCTCGACCTGACCCTACTCGAGGAAGGCTTGACATAGGGGTCCTGCGACCTTTTTGCGAACCTCCTCGAAATTCCCTTCCTGCGTTTCTCTCTGACGACCTTGACGACTGTGACGACCGTTACGAATCTCTTTTGTCTGCTCCTCACCGCCTTGCCGAAGAATCCCCACGACCACTGTCGCATTCTGAGGTGCTGAGGCTGGTCGCGTAGCGCATTGCAGCCCTCTCCTGCGAAAAGCAAACACTGTCACTTCACCACTACAAAGCCCACCAGTACACGACACAATGGCCGCCGAAACGCCACGACAATATGTCCCCTTGACGTGTCACGGCCACTCTAGGCCTGTACCACACATCAGCTTCTCCTATTTGGAGAAGGAAGAAACCTACTACTTGATCTCGGCCTGCAAAGATGGCAACCCGATGTTGCGAGACGGCGTCACGGGTGATTGGATTGGGACATTCATTGGCCATAAAGGCGCTGTCTGGCAAGCCCGTCTGAGTCCTGACGCGACAAACGCCGCGACAGCTTCGGCGGACTTTACGGCGTGAGTCGTCTACGCACCTGACGCTAGTATCATATTGACAGTAATCCAGAAAGATTTGGGACACCCACACTGGCGAGCTCCTTCACACCATCCAGCATGACCACATTGTACGCGCTGTAGCCTACCCTCCGGACAACTCCGACCTCGTTGCGACTGGTGGCATGGAGAAGAAGCTTCGCATATTCGACTTGACCGAGCTGGCCAACAACCCAGCAGGCGAATCCGGGACGATTCCTGCGTCGACTGGGTTCGAGATTGCCGAGGGGGTGCACAAGGCAAGCATCAAGTTCATCTGCTGGACACACGATCCTAACGTGATCGTCACTGCCTCGGATAAGACTCTGCGCTGGCTGGATCTTCCCACCCGCACTTGTATCCACCAAGAAGTCCTCGATGGTGAAATCAAGTCCTGCGAGTTTGTGTCAGTCTCGGCCGAGAGTGCATCACCAAGCGACATTGGTGGGGGCAAGCCGGTGTTGGCCGTCGCCGCCGGCAAAACCGTCTACTTCTGGGGCGGCCCCGATGCCAGGGAAGAACTGAAGCGGATCACACTGCCTTATTCGATTGCGAGTGTGGCCCTGGATGTCAAGGGACGCAAATTCGTTGTCGGCGAGGAACCTGGAACATGGGCCAAGGTGATTCGCTACGATGACGAAGTTGAGATTGACACCCACAAAGGCCACCACGGTCCGATCTGGTCCATTGCTATCTCTCCCGACAGCAAATTGTACGCGACCGGCTCCGAAGATGGTACAATCAAGCTATGGAAGAACTGCGAGGGTTACTATGGCCTCTGGAGAGGAGGAGCTGCCCCTGGAACTGTCGAGAAGCCTGCGGAATAGCGAGACGTGGAGCAGGGTTCCAGCACGATTCAGTCGAGTCAGTGTTTCACACCGCCCAGCTGGCAAGGCTCAGACGACGACGCTCTCACAGAAGAGACGCCTCTGAAGGTGGTAACCAATCGGATGGAGGGTCTGCAGCTTGGAGAGGCTCGTCCTGTAAAGGCTTCGCCCATTTGATGAACGGATTCTGACATGTCACTGCTGGCCGAGAGGGGAGGGAGAGCCACCTATGAAAGAAGATTTCCAACAGTTATCCATTGCTCAAGCATTCAACCTAGCAACCACGCAGACATCGCATGCATTTGAAGAAATACTAACGATGCAACGGAATGACCGAAATAATCAGAATAGATGCAGAAAAGTTCAATGGCAATGTTATCACCAATGCTATTCCGATGAAAACCAACGGAACACTCCAACCCGTTGTCAAGTTGATCGTATAGACAACTCTCAAGTAAAGATTTGGCCGGTGAACCCAGGAACTATCTCCTGCCCGGCATTGTCTTTGTACGTAGTACCCTCGCACTGCTGCCAGATTTGCTTGAGCTTTGTGAATTCAAGAGGCTTGGCCCACTTCCATTCTCCGGTCTCGCGGTCTTTGTTTCATCTGCAAAGCCGCAACGAGCTGTCTGAACAGGAGAGTGATGGTGCCCAGAGCCCGTCGTCGAGTTTGGCCATTTTCTCGTCGTTGAACTTGAAGTACTTCATGTAGCGGAGTTGGGACTCGTCGTGGGTATCCAACGATGCATGTTGACAAAGAAGTCTTCGGGAAGCTCGAGTGCCAAGGCAATCGGGCGATTGAGGCAATCGAGGACCCTGTCGAGGAGGGATTTGGCAAAGTCCTCGATCTCAGCCTTGTTGCTGTACAGAAGTTTCGGGAGAGACTGAGTGATGCGACCGTCATTTGCTGCAGAGACAGTCATCGGCTGAAGCACCTTGGTATCACAGGAATAATCAGGATGTACTCGCCATGTTCTAGACCTCAGTCTTTTTCTTCACGCCGCCACTCAGCAGCCGACGTCCGGCAGGGCGGTAACCATTGTAATCGCCGTTTTCTAGGTCCGGCTCATACTGGAGCTTCTCCTCTAGGGGGAGCTCGTAGAACTTTTGGCCGAGTGACAATTGGCGGTCAACGACTGCTTGATGAGGGATGCCCAACTTCGTCACATACAAGAACTCCTTGTTGCGGATTGAATCGAGTAGGGTGGAGGCAAGCTCTTTGTTGCCATCAGGGGCATCGCACTTGGACAAGTCAATGGTTGGAACCACAATAGTCAGAACAGGGATTATGAACAGGGCGGTCGGTCACTTATGCTTATTCCAGTCCAGACTTTCCTTGGTCTCCGAGACGTGATGGGATTGATAGAGTTGCGGCACGGCAGAAGGCATGAAGTTCCTCGCCTTCTACCTCGGTGGTTTCTCAGGCATGTCGTCTCCCATCTTGTACTCGTGGATGGATTCCACTCTCAAGGAGAACTACGGCGAGCGAGGTCTTGTTATTTCTTCTGTGATGACTTTTTGGTTCTGCACGCAGATCTGGGTGCCACTATTTACGGTCCCGCAGAAGCAGGCCCCGAGCTTTTCAAACGGATATCCGGCTTGCTGTCGCACTGGATCAGGCGGTGCTGAAGACGACCATGGTCCGGGCTATTTGAGTTCAGTTCAACCCTCGAGACGCTTGAGGCCGGGTCTGGACTCTGAGTACACACAATATGTATACATACCCGAAGATGAAACGGTAGCCCGACTTTTCTTGTCAATGCCAATCAGCGACTCGTTGGAGAATGCCGCCGGCTACCGCTCGACGCCATCGTTGTGCTCTGTGGGCTCTAATCTACAATGTACCAGATCCACTACATGTAGCGAGGTGGCCGAGGTTGTATGCAATCATCCACTTGCACCCCTCCTACAACCTATTTCGGCCTTGCGTAGCGGTACTTATTTTGCCGCTCCGTCCCGTCCCAGTCTAGTTACTTATGTAGGCAATTTTGCGGGGAAGAAGTCTGGGGCCCCATCGCTAGCGATACCAGCTGCCGGCCACACGCGACAAAACTCGCCTTCCGCAGCGGCACGACAAGGGTTCTTGCTTCCGTCCTCTCCATCATCGCGGGGCTTGCGCAAGCCAACAAACGTATCGAGAGGTGCACTTGCATCCGCTCAAGTCACATGCACCATGGCTCAGAGGCTCATCCCGAGTCCCAAAGTACCAACTAGCTTAGTCGCAGGCCAAGAGTCTCGTTGGTACTGCACTTTGCCAATAGACTGGCTGACCAGGCCGAGAAGACACCGAAAAGGCAGGATTCCTGTCTCCGACCTCTTGAGAGTCGATGTATAAAGATGCTTCCAAGTCCGGATTCACTCTGACAGAATAGAGACAAAGCTCCAAGAAATTCATCTATTGCTCACCATGAAGTCAACTACTGTCGCCTCTACGATTCTAGGATTTGCCTCCCAGGTACTCGGGCATGGATACATGTCCATCCCCGCCAGCCGAACTCGGCTTGGTGCAGAGGTGAGGGATACTGTTACACCATAGATCTTTGTCCACCGCCAGCTTACACGTGCACTCCCGCATAGGCAAATCTAGACTCTTGCCCCGAGTGCACCATCCTCGAGCCCGTGTCTGCCTGGCCGGATCTCGACGTAGCACCGGTCGGTCGAAGTGGCCCATGTGGCTTCAATGCCCGCGTCAACATCGACTACAACAAGCCGGGTGCCAACTGGGGCGAAGCACCGGTCACGACGTATTCTCCTGGCCAAGTCGTCGATGTGGAGTGGTGCGTGGACAACAATGGTGACCATGGTGGCATGTTTAGCTGGCGCATCTGCCAGGATCAAGACCTTGTCGACAAGCTGCTGGACCCAGACTACACGCCGACGCAGGCCGAGAAGCAAGCCGCCGAGGACTGTTTCGAGGAGGGCCTCCTCAAGTGCACCGACGTTGATGGCCAGAGCTGCGGATACAACCCGGACTGCTCTCCCAACGAGCCGTGTTGGCGCAACGATTGGTTCACCTGCAATGCCTTCCAGGCCGACAACAGACGCGGATGCCAGGGTGTGGATGGTGCGCCCCTCAACTCTTGCTATACTTCCATCGCTGGTGGCTACACCGTCACAAAGCAGGTCAAGATACCCGAGTACGTGTCCAACCACACTCTCCTCTCCCTGCGGTGGAACTCGTTCCAGACCGGCCAGATCTACCTCACCTGCGCCGACATTGCCATCGTCGACGACGACGGCAGCACCCCGACCGACCCGACCGACCCTGCCGACCCTACCACACCACCTGAATCATGCCCCGAGGGAGGCGAGGTCAGTGTCGCCTTCAACCACGAGGTCCAGACCATGTTTGGAGAGACGGTCAAGGTCGTGGGCTCGGACGCTGTCTTGGGCGGCTGGGACACGAGCCAGGCGCTCGCTCTGTCGGCCTCTCAGTACACAAACGCGAACCCACTATGGACTCTCACGACCCAGTTCCCACCCGACACGCAGTTCGCGTACAAGTTCATCAAGGTCTCCGCGTCAGGGGCGGTCACCTGGGAAAGTGACCCGAATCGATCGTACACCGTTCCTTCGGACTGCTCAAAGGTGTACGCGATTGAGTCTTCGTGGAAGTAACCGAGTCTTGTCCTGTCTTGGGGTTTCCTTCTCCGAGCGATTGCCGAATTCTTTGGGAATTTCCACATTGCTCTTGTAGCAAAAGCTCGTACTGGAGTAGCTCTAGTAACAAGACATACCTTCTATCCCTTCTCCAAGGAATGTTCCCGCAGTCGAAGGAACAAGAATGATCACTGGAATGATTTGATGACTTTGTACGGAGACGAGAAGATGCATGACTTGCCATCCCGAAAGGCTCAGCTGAGCATTGTTTTTGTTGTGTTGGGAGTCTGTCGGTCGATGTATCCATTGGAAGCGTGCCCTGTCCCTGAGGAATTTTTTCATCAGCTGCTGTCATTCAGTCCCAGCGAAGAACCTCGCAGTCAGATTCATTGTGTCGTGCAACAGATGTCACTGCCTCTCACACCGTCAACACAGACTCATTCCGCGTATAAAAGTTAAGGATTCCCATGGGTATGTATTGCAACCTGCTCAAAGCCAATGATTCACGTGCAAAACGCCCCTTTTCCAGCCCTTCTCGATCAAGGCTTCTCGTACACCACACTCGACTGAACCTGTGCATGCTGATCCTGCTGACTGTACACTGTACGCGACGGCTCTGCTGGTACCTCGGTCGGCGCTTGCACGGGTGCACCTGGCGCTTCCTGCGGCTGCTGCCACTGCCCATTTGGAGACATGTAGTATCCGTGGTACTGGGCGTAGTCATGCTGTCCAGGGGCCGCATAGCCCTGTCCCATCTGCGTGGGCCCATAGGTGCTTCCATCGGCGGCGGGGCCGTAGTATGTTTGCGGCTGTTGTTGGGTTGGTGGTGCTGGCGGTGGCACACTGGCCATGTTGGGCGCAGTGTGGTGCATCCAGGGCTGCATCGTCGTCCACAGTCCATCGCTCTTCCGGAGTCCCACGACGAACAACAAGACGAGGAGAATGAGCTGTGGGATCCTGCCGATAACGAGCCAAGTCGTGACGCTGACAGTGGGCTCGTGCAGTTCCGTGAAGCCTTGGGTCAGATACGCTAAGGAGGTGACCATCCCCCAGAGCCTACGGGGCACGACGAAGAGGATGGTGGCCACTAGATACAGGGTGACGCTCTGGAAAGGAAAGCATAGACGTTAGCATACGCTGCGCAGGTATTCATCCCACTCGTCCATTCATGACTCACATTCGTAGCGGGCATGTCGGAGAGGTACTTCCTTCTCACCAGCGAGGCCTGCACGATGAGGCCGGCCGAGACGAAGAACCCGAGGACCGACAGTGCGGCGCCAAGCTTTTGCGACCTCTGCACCGCCTCCCAGGCCAAGCTGGCGTAGACCGAATCGAGGTACTCCGCATAGGCCCAGCCGTTGTATGCGTTGGCGACGATGGCGACGATGGCGAGGATGGCCGCGCCGACAGCGCCGTAGATGCGCCAGATCTTGTGCGATGGGGTGCGCTCCAGTCGGAGAGCGTACGTGAAGCCGCAGCCGAGCTCGGTGCACGTCAGGATCACGCAGACCTCGCCGAGCCAGGATGTGACGTTGGCCGTCACGATCAGCGCGTTTATGGCGTGTCGCTGGGAGTCCGCGGCGCCGTAGTACATGAGGCCGCTGAGGAGATCTGACACGATGCCAAAGACATAGCCACTAGGCCACCGGGTGGGTCAGTATGGCGCGTGGCTGGCAGCTAGTAGAGACGCGAGGCAAGAACATAAAGGCGGGGGGACAGGACAGGACATACGTGAAAATGAAGGCATAAGCCAGCTTGAGCCATGTGAAGCCTCTCCGTGCCGGGTCGCCGCCTCTTCGGGCCTTGAGGCAGGTGAGGATGCCCATCACCGCGATGGGGATGGAGATGGCCGCGGAGAGGCCCACGCTCACGAAGCTGATGTAGGATGAGCTCATGGCGAAATCGCCCGAGTGAACGGTACTCCCAGAGGGCTGGGCGAGGTCACACGCGGAGTGAGGAACGGCGCAGGGAGCGTGGAAGAAGGAGGGAGGACGGTGTATCAGGGGAGAGGGAGGGAGGAGCAGAAAAGAGGACAAGAATGCAGCCGCTTCTCGTTCTCGAGCAATTTCGATTTTCGAATCACGGGCATGTCATGTCGCTCGACAGCTGTTGGCTCGCAGGAATCACCCCAATAAGCAAGAACCAAAGTCGCGCCAAGAGTGCACGCTTGGTGCAACTCAAGTCAAGTCCCCTGCTCCCTGCTCGTGCTCGTGGCCAATCAAGAGGACTCGCTCGCTGCATCTGAGATTGCCAAGGGCCAACACGTTCAGCCGCAGGCAGGGCAGGCGGCCATGCGGCCGTGCTTGGTGACGATGGTGTTGATGGGGGATGAAGTATCACAAGTCCGAGTCGAGGTCACCTTCAATTCGCAGTGCGATATCGAACGGAGAGAGAAGCATGGGATCAGTCGAGCGTTTCATGTTATGCGCCGTGGCACGGCCAGGACCTCTTGAGACGTGAATGACCAAAAGCACTTGGCGCGGGCCACCCGCTCAGCCCTACGGATGCAGTCCCGTGTTGCCGACCGATCGAAGGCCGGCATATGTGCGTAATGCTCCGTCCATGGCGTATGTACACTCTGCCATGGACGTTATGATAAAGTGTAGTCGAGTTAGGTACAGGTTCCTCTCACTGGTCTGGCTTCATCGGCTGCCAACCTCCAAACCCAGGATCAGTGTGGACAGAGAACCTCTAAATGCCCAGTCCTTTTGCTCCCCTCGTCCATCGATACAAAGAAAGCACCTGTCGCCGCGCCAGGCGGTGCTCCTCACGGCTCTCGTGCGTGCTCCCTCTCACATTATACAAGGTCGACCTCAGCACTCTCCGAAAGTTACGCTGCAACATCATCGTCAGCCCCAACGTCCGCTCTTCACACGTCCCGCAGAGAGAGAGAGAGAGAGAGAGAGAGACTCACCTGGAATTCTGTGCTCAAGGTCACCACACAGACCTCATGCGCTCTGATGATCGTCTCGCAGGCGTGCTCCACGCTCTGGTTCTGCCCCAGCTGCGGCATGCGATCCGCAAACAGCAGCAGTATAAAGCTTCCGTGCAGTAGATAGATGCCAAAAAGGTACGGCATAAAGGTCAGCTCCGGGTCCAGCTTGAGGATGTCAGCTACCGCGTCCGACGCCTCGATCGCGTGGGACGCGCACTCCACGAAGCGCGGCGAGGTGATCCAGTCGTCCTCATTGTCCAGCATGCTGATCGCATCCCATTTCCCGTACAGGAGGACGTGCAGAACATGCAGAAGAAAGGTGCTGTACGCAATGACGAGCTTGACATCGAGCTGGTCACTGTTGCGCGTCGGCTCGTACTGCGTCTGTTGTCGCGGTGGTGGTGGCGGTGGTGGTGGCGGTGGTGGTAGCGCTGGCGGTGGTACCTCCGCCAGGGGCGTCATGTCCTGCGGCCCGGCGAGGATATTGCTGATGCGCATGGGGGTCTGCGAGACCCCGTTGATGCCCGCCCTGCGCGCGAGTCGGTCGAGGCTGGCCTCGCAGCCTGCGATGAGTTCGGCAATCGCCCCCTCGGCGTACTTCTTGTCCAGATTGCCGAGACGCGGGTGGAACTGTCCGTGGTGCACCTCGATTATATCCCCAAGGATCACCATGAGCGGCAGAAAGTACTCAAAGAAGCCGGTCCCGGTGATGGTCACAGGTGGTCCGATTGTGCGCGGTGGCAGGGCGTCCATGTCCTCAAAGTCCTCCCAGATGCGGTCAGGGAGAGGAGCTGCGTAGGTACGTCAGTCACCACACACTACGCCGACAACCAACCAACCATCTTGGGACAGGCAAGATAGACCTACCAAAAACGTCGCAGATGGCATCGGGAATGTGGATCCCCCTGTTGTACGAGAGGGCGAGATGTCTATCGATGGCGTACAGCAGCCAGAACACCCGACGCCGCTCCTCTTGCTGCTCGACATCGGCAACAGAGAAGGCGGCCACGTTCGCGTAGTCGCCGGGCGCGTCTTGGCGATCCAGGCGCAAGGCCAGGGCCAGGCGTTTCGCCTTGCTCCACCACTTGAGACAGTCGGACTTGAAGTCGCCGGCCGAGACGCCGATGCACAGGAGGATAAAGGTGAGCACGTCGTCAATGGTGCCGGCTGGCTCGCCCGTTGTCTCGGGGAATATGTCGGCCTGTTCACGGTCATACTCAATCTGAAGGCCGCCTGCAGAATGTTGTCAGTGATTGTGGAATATCTGATTCGCTTCCTGCACATACCATGTATGCGCCTCCAGCGATCGGGATCACGTCTTGAGATGAGATATGTCGCCAGCTCGTAGAGCGCGTTGGTCAGCCTCGAGCGCGCGCCGGGCACAAGGAGCACGGAAATGTCGGCAGTTTGCGCACAACACCACAGGATCGTGGCGAGCAGGGCAGCCGACGTCGGTCGAGGATTCGGCCCCAGGAGAGATTTCTTGCGGAAGATACGTGTGAGTATAAACGGCGAGGAGAAACGGAACAAGGACGCGCCCGGGTCGAGCAGGTAGACGTCGAACAGATCGCAGGCGACCGACACGGGGAAGTTGTTACCCATGTAGGGCAGCAACGGCTCGAGACATTGATACCGAAGCTCGTTGACCTGGCCACCGTTGTGGGGAGACGGACGGTCAAACTCTCCCCGAGCGGGAAGCCCAAAGCTGAGCGACGGGGTCGCCATGAAGAAAGGGGTGGGCGCCGAGGGGGAGCCATGAAAGGAGCCATTCGAACTACCGTGGAGGCGGCAGTTTTCCATCCTTTGCGGGAATCCACTGGCCAGATCTGATCGATGGTGGCTCCCGCTGTTGGAGTGGTTGTCCACGGGGAAGACTGGGGGGTCTTCGACTCGGGGCGAGGCATATGTGAGCCTGGCAGATGGCGGTGCCTGTGCCTGTGCCTGTGCCTGTGCTTGTGCTTGTGAGAGTGGTGCAGGCGTCTGCTGGACCACGGGAGCACGATTCACCAGCTCGTTTTCTGTGGGATCCTCATTTCTGTGCTCATCGTCCTCCTCAGCTGAGCCATCCGAAGGTGTCGAGTTGGAGACGTCCTTCTTGGCTTTCAGCGGCACTCGGCCGCGCTTCTTGGCTTGGCGATTGTAGTTGCAGTTATATCCATATTCTATACGCGCAGGGCGTCAGCAGTTGAACGCACTTGAGTCAATGGCATGCCACAGAACATGAAGCCGGGATCATGTTAGCCAGGACATTCACACGTACCCTGGCATCGACCGCTGCAATCAGAGCATCAGCACATGGACTCAACCGGCTGGCGAGGCGTCCTGCATCTCTCAACCATACCAGGGATGATCACCGTCACAGCGCGTCCGTGACGTGTTGCACTTGTCGCATGCTCTGCGCGTCCTCTTGCGCGCTCTGCGGTGCGCGGCCGCCGCCGCGGTGTCCGCGGCTTGGTGGACTTGTGGGCTCAGCGGGGGAGACGCAGCCATTGTTCTCTGGCGGGTGAATCCAAACGACGGTTCCGCGTCTTGATCCTTCTCTGCAATCCGTGATGGTGAAGCTGGGGGAAGAGGAGGGCTCATTTACCCGACGCAGCCGTCGGCTAAATGATGTTCAGGCTTCAGGCTGTGGAGAACCGAGAACCCCCAAACCACGTGAACCCCGAATGTCATCTGAGCGCTTCCCCACGGGGACAGCCTTGATTGAATTAGCTCGTGGACACGGCGAGGCTGATGCGGGGACGCTATGGGGCAGGGCGTGCGTACTGTAAGTTCTTCCATGAACCGCGTCAGTCACTTTAGTGTCATTAATCGTACCTTCATTGGGTGCTCAATAGAATAGCGATGGAGGGACAGAATCACATGGCCTCGCACACGCATTCGAGCTGCGACATGTTGTCTTGCTCCCTTGACGTCCATGATCGGGAGTGATCGCTCTCTAGTGTCTCACAAGTACGGCCACCATTCACCCTAGCCCTAGGCCATCCAGTCAAGCTTGTCTCTCTCACTATCGACATGATCTAGCCCTACCCCCATCATCATCAAGTCATGAGCGCAATGTGCTTCAGCTCGCTGCGTGCGGTTAGCCGCCATCTCATCTGGACACCATGGCCAGGTACGTAGACTCACTCTTGTACTTGCGCACCGACCTTGGTGGGCGGGTACTCCATCTCCTCGCCCTCGTCTCGGCCGAGGTTGAACTGGTCCGCCCTCACCTCCCTAGCCTTCTGCTGCAGCGCGGGAATGGGCGCCAGGTCGTGATCCGAGTTGAGGTGCCAGAACAGCGTGCTCGAGATGCGCACAAGCGGCCTGTCGGGACACTCCTGCTTCCTCTTCTCCATGACCTGCACTGTCGCCTCGTTCACCACCACCTCGTGGTAGCCAGCCTTGATCAGACCACCGGTGATGTACTCAATCTGCTTGCCCGCCTGCACGAGGAGGTGGTTGCCCGGCGGGATCTTGACGGGGATGCGCGCGCCCGTGTTGCGCGCCCAGATGTTGAGGCCCGGGTAGCGCGAGCGACCGTGGATGGTGAGGAAGTTGAGGTCCGTGTGGAAGCCGGCCAGGATGGTGTCCTTGGCGCCGTACTTGGTGAGGTCGGACGAGGTGGGCGCGAGCAAGTGAGGGCTGCCTCCTGTTAGCAGAGATGGAATAGAGCGGAACGAAAGCGCGGGGACGCTCACCCGTAGGCACCGGCCGACGAGAAGGCGTCCTTGTCCAGGCCCAGACCCAACGCTGTCATTTCCGCGAGCTTGGACACGCTGTTACGCTTCCGTCAGCCACAGTCATCACTCTCCCCTTTTCTCACCAGCAGACAGAACCTACGCGTCCTTCATGGCGCTCCCCCACTGATCCATCGTCGGTGCCCAGCGGTCCTTAATGTGCGCAGCCTCCGGCGTCACGTTGGGCGCATTCAACCCCGGGAACTTGGACTCGTACGGCGGCGCATCCCCCATCCGCCAGAAGAAGCGACACTTGGGATCGGGGGAGTGACCCGAGATGTCCAGCGGTCGCTGGTCAGGCGCGAGTCGTCTGATGACGTCCAGGCACGGCTCGTCGACGGCGCACTTTGGCTTCTCCGTGTTGTCGAGGGTGACGCCAATCTGGTAGCTGAGCTCGGGTCTCTCGTCCTTGCGCAGGGCCTCCTCGGGCTGCGCAAAGTAGTCCTCGAGCAGGTCGAGAAAGGTGTCATTGTGCGAGGCGTGCACGCGGGAGTCGTGGAGGATGCAGGCGCCGTAGGTGATGAGGGCCTCGGCAGCACGCTTGCACTCGGCGCGCACGGCGTCGGACGTTGCGGGCTGCGACAGGAAGAGGTCCAGGTCGATGATGGGGAGGTTCATGTCGTCGGACGCCATTTTCCTGAGGGTCTGGAGGATCCGAAGGGTGAGCAATGAAAGAAGGAATGGCTAGAAGGTTGTGAGAAGAAGAAAAGAAAACCGCATCGTGCACAGCGCAGACCTTCCATTCTCGGCTCGTGACGCTGCGGGGCCGCAAAAGGACCCTGAGTACGGCGTCGGAGCCGGCCGATGAGTCTCTGGCAGTCAACTGTCAGTGTCAAACAATCATGTGAAGTCCATTATTATTATAATTACGCATGCTTCGGAAGTCACTAGGGCTTGTTAGCTATACTACTTGTCCCAATCTCGTCTTCAAAAGGCCGCGTACAAGTCAGTGTAACGAGCGACATATCTTGTGGATGGTGATGAGACGTCTAACAACGCAAAGACCAACGTAGATTGAAACACTAATTATAGTGAAGACACAGTCCAATCAAGCAAGGCTGGTATTGTTGCTGAGACACTGAAGCTGAACTACTAACTACCTGCCCTCGACATGTATACCCTATACCATCATCATATCATAGACATGCCCACAGCGTTACTCATCAACACCAGCGGGCGTGTTGCACAGAACGCCCTGGTCGAGAATCGGCAGCACGCAGCATCGAGCCCTCTGGCCGATGGCAGCGCACACGGATGAGAACTCGTCAGCAGAGCCAACAGCCTCGGGAGCTGCCTCGGTGTTAGTCAACCACCACCACCACGAAAAGGGGAATCTGTCAGTAAAAACGTACGCTGGCCACAGTCGAGGTTGGCAAGACCAAGGACGTCGGTCGCGCAGCACTGGGCGCTGCCGTACAGGCCAGAGCAGGGCACGTAGGCCTGACGCTCTTCAACGGGGGCGCCTGGAGCCGCGAGGGCAGTGGCGGCGAGGAAGAGGACGGTGAAGAACTGCATGGTGGTTGCGAGGTGGTTGAGTGGTTGGGAAGATGTGTGGGGAAGCTGTGTATTTGATGAAGGACTTGATGTTGATACCAAAAGCAATCGTCCAAGTGGAAGTCGTTGGCCTCTTTATACCCTTTGGGCCTCCCTCCCGTCTTGCACTCATATACGCCACTCTTGAATCAGACCGTTGCCATGCTTAGTTGAGCCAGCCATGCCAGCCATTGCCTCACGACATGAAGTCATCACGACTGCCAGGCTTCAGCCAAGTATTGATTGCCCCTGCGTCGGCCTGCCTCCTCATACATAACGCACACAGCAGACTAATACCAGACTGCCGCGAGTTTCACTCTCCTCAGGTCATGGCCAGCTGAAAAACTGCCGTTCATTACCCCTTCGAGCCCCGAACTTTCTAAGAAAAGTGACAATGGGCAAACCGTGGCGCACCCGTCCAACGAATTGCGGAGACCCGGTTCAATTGCCGAGATATAGGGCCCCGGACTATATCCTCGAAACCGGCTTGTCGCCGGGCAGCCACCAATCAACGTCGTCAATTGGCCTCATGGCTGAATTCAAGCCAGGGTCGCTTTTGAGGAAGTGGTCGATCGATGGGAGCGGTGGGGCATAGCTCGTGGCAATATCGTCACGGCCCAGGGGGAAAACCTGCCGGTGGACAAGCCACTGGAGTCTGTAAGATGAAAATGTCCGGTCGATGGTCCGCCCAGTGTGGCCAGCCAGAGGACGACAACGCAGACTCGTCCGGCAAGTTGACGTAGGGCCGACTTGAAGACACTCCAATCGCATCACGTTGTCCTTCCATCGCGGCTCACGTCTGCGTGCCCCTGGGCAGATGGAACCATAGCAGCAACAAATACCGAATCAAGTGCAGATGGGTATCATCAATGCTTGCCGCCGCCCGCCCACCCATCACCGCTCACGGACGGCACTCCCCTTGACCGTGTCTCCTTTCCCTAGCACTGATGGCCTGCCTGCTTGGCATCAATGCCTTCTCGTCCTCCTCGTCATCGTTCAGCACCCTCCTCCACGCGCCATTGACGTTCTCATGCCTCGTCATAGCGACCTCGTCCATCACGACGATGCCGCTCCTACGCGGCCCGCGCGTCTTGCCCCCTGTGATCTTGACGCTCATGTCGGCTTCGTGGCGTGGGGGCCATAGATGCTGGATGCCAGCGCCAGACATGCTACTACAATCTAGCTTGACGACATGCGTGGAATGGCCAGTCGAAACCGGAGAAGAAGTAGACGTAGGTCGGCAGCGAGGCGCAGAGGAGGCCAAGTGTGACTTGGATCGTCGAAAGGACGCTAAGGATGAACAGCGTGGCACCCTCCGTGGACCGGACCGGTTGGCAGATGGTGTACACGAATCGGATGATGCCAATGGCACAGGTGTCCTGACTTGTCAGTTTGTACTGGACGTAGTCATCTGCTTTGCTCTTCCACTCACATACCTCCAAGGCCAAAGGCTACCATGAGCAGCCTCTTCTTCCGATCGGAGAGGTTCAGCCAAAGCATGACGGGTAGTGCCAGACCTAACGTCGTCAAGGTTCCCACAATATGGGCGTCCGTCATCGCTAGATGGAAGGGTCTCTGGGCTATACACCAACCGCCGTCCGAGTGCGCGCCCCAGAGCTTGCGCAGCGGCTTGCACTGGACATTTGTGACGATGAGTGCCGCTATGCACCACAGCAAGGTGGTCAGCCCGACAAGGTAAGAGCACCGTCGAAAGATTCGGGACGATACGATGAGATTGTACGTGGCGAGGATGCTGAGCTTGACCGTGAACATGGTCCCCAGGTATAGATTCTCCTCCGCGATAAAAAGCTTCGCACGTCAGTAGCTACTCATGCGTCAGGAATCTGCCCTCGGAACGCACCGGTCCCAAGCGTCCGAGGGTTTCCAGCCCGAGGATCAGTGAGGAACGTGGCCGTGACCCCAAAGACCACGACGAACGGGAGGAAGCAGGCCATTACGACAATGGACAATCAGGCGCCCACCTGAAGCCTCTTTCCCAGCGCCAGCCGTGAGTAGAACCTCAGCGCTGCACATACCATGGCCACAGTGGCACAGCTCACGCTGCAGGCGATGATCCGGGTGCGTCCACAGGGTTTCATTGCGAGGCGGTCCAGGTTTGTCAAGCTTCGTCGGTCTGGATGCGGGTGGTTTCAAACACGGACGGAACCAGACGTGCACAACCAATGGTCATGTAAACGCATGTACATATGCTCCTGCTACTATGGTTACAACAGAAATTGCATCAAAATCCCCTCACCCTAATCATTGCGCGCCCCCTTTTCGTTGCTCGCCGACACCGTCTCCGGCTGCGCCGTCTTCTCATCCGCCAGGCCGTACTCGCCGCCGGCAGGGCGGATCTCCCCCGACGGAACGCGATCCTCGCTCATGTGGCGCTCGTCCATCTTGCCCAGCGTGGGCTCCGCATTGTCGAGATCGCTATCGTACTCCCTCCAAAAGTCCTTCTTGCCGGACACGAGACGTGTCAGCCAGCCGGGGAAGAAGCCGCCGGGGATGCGCCACGTCCAGGGCTCCTTCTCCTCGTAGTTGGGCGGCTTGATGCGGCCACCGGTGACGAGCTTGAGGAGCCAGACAATGGTGTTGAGGATGATGTAGCTCATGACACCGGCAATCAGGCCGTCGGCGATGGAGTAGGTGAAGGGCATGATGGAGATGGCCAGGAAGGCGGGGACCGCGTCGCCGAGGTACTTCCAGTTGATGTCGACGACGGCGGTGGCCATCATGGAGCCGACGAGGATGAGCACCGAGCCGGTCGCGTACGGCGGGATCGAGGCGAAGATGGGCGCGAAGAAGACAGAGATGAAGAAGAGGAAGCCGGCCGAGACGGACACCAGACCAGTCTTGCCGCCCTCGGAGATACCAGCGCCCGACTCGACAAAGGCGGTGACGGGCGGGACACCGAGAATGGACCCGATGGAGATGCTGATGGCATCCACCATGTAGGCGACCGAGGAGCCCTCAAAGTCCTGGGTGCGCGGGTCGATGAGGCCGGCGAAGCGGGCCACACCGTACAGGGTACCGGTGCAGTCCAGAATGTCGACGTAGAGGAACGTGATGAGCGCCAGGCCAAACTGACCCCCGTACTCGCCAATGTTCCACTCCTGGACGTTGAGAATGTTCTCAATCGGGTGGAACGTGACGACCTTTTTGAAAAAGTCAAACGAGTCGTTGCCCTGGGCCGTGTAGGGAAAGTACGAGACGGGCGTGCCGCGAGGCCACGAGATGATGCTGACCAGCAGGATGCCCATGAGAATCGCACCCTTGACGCGGTACATCATGAGTAGCACCGTCAGGATGCCACCGCAGAAGATGCCAATCCACATGCCCGGGTAGCGCATCTTATCCCAGGAGGGGCAGGTGCCGTCCTCGAGCCTGTTCTCGGGCGAGCAGCCAGCGAGCTCCACGGGTGTGGACTGCGCGCCGACAATGATACCCAAGCCCTCGCCGTAGGTCAGACCGATGATGGTCAGGAACAGACCGATGCCGACACCGGTGGCGATCTTGATGGAGGCCGGGATGGCGCGCGCGAGCCACTGGCGCATACCGAAGATGGCGAGCGCAAAGAAGATCCAGCCCTCGATGAAGATGGCCGTGAGCGCAACCTGGTACGGGACGGGCCCGCTGCCGTGGCGCCCGACGACGGAGTAGGTGAAGTAGGCGTTGAGGCCCATGCCAGGCGCGACGCCGACGGGCATGTTGGCAAAGAGGCCCATGCTAAAGGTGGCGAGCGCCGAGATGGCCGCCGTCGCCGTGACGGCGTCTCGCCGAATGGCCTGCTTGCACAGCAGGAAAGCCTCGTCGGCATCACACATGGGGTCATCGGGGGTGCCGCTGCAGACGCAGGTGCCACCCGAGTCCGCGACGATGGAGGCGTTGACGGCGATGATGTACGCCATGGCAAAGAAGGTGGCCACACCGGCGCGCAGCTCGGTCAGAAAATACGAGCCCTTGCGCTCGCGACGCTGGTCGGGCAGTCAGCGTGAGGGGACTCGACATGTCTCACATGACAAGACTTACATGACCTGAGCCGTCGAGCTGGAACCAGTACCCAACACGGCTCTTGGCCACCGCGCTATTGATGCTTGCCGACCATTCTCGCATGCGTGCCGCCATTGTGACTGTCGGTGATGGGGTGTCGCGTCAGCGAGGACGAGGATGTCTTTGTCCCTCAGGCGCAGCGAGAGGATGAGTTTTTGAGGATGGCGAATTCAAGTCGTGAAGGCGACGCGAGGCGAGTGAAAGAATTGGTCGTTTTGTGGGCCGGCGGTTCTCTCGGGGTCCCAAGCGGGAGGCGCGATGGGCGCAGCGATTGATGGTTCTTTCCACTTCGGGTGCCCCCTCCGGAGTTGCTGATAAGGGCCGGACGCTGAAATGAGGACGTTACGTGGATAGAGTGCAGTCAGACGGTCAGAAGCATAAAGCAGAGCAGTCACTGTGCTGCAGTAGGCGCGCACCAGCAAGATGGATGGTCCTCTTGAGGGTGCGCGGTGTGGTTTATGTACATTTCATCGGTGCGCTGCCAACACCTCCTCGAGAGAGTGTCTATCAACCAATTCACAGCATCGGCCTGTAATGCCCGTCGCGTTTCCTCCCGTTATCGCAAGCGTGCCGTATCGCCAATTCGCCGTCCATGCCCCAGAATTCCCATCGAACTAGGGGTCCTTTCCCACCCACTACTGCGGCGAACCCGTCTCGAAAAAGTTTAACGTCCCACTTTGCTATCGATACCATCCCACGCGTCTTATCAGGATCACGTCGGCTGTCTCCATTGTCCGTCGAGCAGCAAGTTGAGCCACGAAAGTGAGCTTCGCTTGGGAGAGTGTCCGACGATGCGCTGCTCCTGAAAAGCATTCTCACCGGCGGAGACCGATCGTGAGAGCGCACAGGCGTGAGAGGCGCTAATTGATGAGCACCAGATGGCTGGTGGTGGTGGTGGCGGATGATATGATAACCAGAGGTCCACATCCCTGATTGCGCACCGCGGTCGGAGTTGTGGCCAATCACGTGGATGGCGATAATCGCTGCCGGTCGTCTCAGCGGGTCCTCTTTTACCTCATCAGCTTTCTCATCACTGTCGTGCTCGCCATCCTCAGCTACCTCGCCCAGAGCTCTTCAAGAGAGGCAACCGCGATATCAAGCTGGGCAACCACCACGTCTTGATACTGCGAGGCTAGTGGTCTAGCTGCATACCCTCCAGATCGTCCGGCGTACCCCGGATTTGGGGGGCTGAGAGATAGGATCTCCCCGTCGGTGCTGGCCGATGCTTGGCCTAATTAGTTTGGACGAGGCCAGTGTAAGCTGGCGGCCGTGAACCACGACACATCGCTGCCAGGAGACGTGAGCCATCTGACTCAGCAGCTCGGGACGACAAGTGCAGTCACGTTCGATGCCATGTGACAGGAGTTGCTGTGAGTCGGTGTTGAAGCTCTCAGCAACCAAACAATGATATCGATCCTATAATATCGTCGTGTAGTCAGATCAAAGTTGGAATCAAAAGAAAGTATATCGCCTGTCTCTGCATTAGCATAAACCTTCGCCCGGCAGACAGTTTCAGACGAGTCGTGACACAAGCAAACACTGGCAATGAAGAACCAGCCAAAGTCGATCGGAAGTAGCTCAAGATCCATTGCTGGGCGCACAAGCCTGAAAAATTGTACATAAGTGTCAATCATGACAACCAACTAGAAGACTTTTCGAATTGCCGCAGCTTGTACGAGGCCGTCGCAGGCATCAGACGCCAGAGAGGAGAGCGACGGTATAGGGTAGCCTTACCGCCAGGACGGCGAGGCGACAACTTGGACATTTCAACCAGGCTGTGTGTGCTCCGTATACTACGTAGGACGGCAGTTTTGTAGATACAGGCAGTTGCTCTGCAGACGGCCAGTCTGCGATTCAAAACCATTGCTTCGCGACATTCAGAGAGGTCTGACGTGTGAATGAAGCATACGGATACTGCACGGACCATCGATACCATCCCCTCGCTCCGTGCCGAACCTCCCTTGGTCAGGAGTCGGGGCCGTAGGCCGTCAGGTACCCGAAGATTGCCCAAGGCAATATTATCACCCAGGTCTCGGGATCCTTCAACCTCTCCTCCCTTTGAACCCTTTGGACTTGGAGAAGAAACTAATCGCTTACCTTGGGCTCGAATGTACACAAGTCCCCAATTGCCTCTCTGATCTGTGGTGCGGCCATAGCCTTGCGCCATGTACTTTACCTCTATCCATAGGCTCTTGTGCATCCTTCGCCCCTCGACCTCACAATCATTGTGCTCCTTCAACTGTGCGAGACACCGGAAATGTCATCATTAGTGTCAATGCTCGGCTCCCTCTGTATCCGTAGGCATGAACCTCACGATGCATCCTGACGTGCGACATCAAGCGCCAGTCTCTGAGGAGGTAGTTCCTGCCCTTTGACGTCAGGAGGGTAGAATGTTTGGGTCTAGAGCGTCCCACGTCAGTCACGCTAGCGGATCGCCTTCTGGTTGGCTCAAATGACGTCAGATGGACCCTGTCTCAGCGACTCACGAGGGTCAGTCTGCTGTTGCACAGGGGAGGAGCGCCTGTCGTGACCCTACGGAAGTTCCACTTCTGTCCCATCGGCCACTGAGAGCAGCTGTACGTGAAGCACAGCCTCCATACAGTACAGACCTGTGCGTACATACGTGCGAGCGGCGGAGATGGAGACACTCACGACCGTCGAGAGCAATTCTTCCATTCCACCTCCACTCCAATTGAAGCCCCCTTTAATTGGGCTTGATCAGATCCGGCAAGACCCTGATTCCTCCCGCTCTAGCCCTCAACAGCCGAGCGTGATCTAGCCTCCTTTTCACCGCTCTTGTGAAACACCGACTCCGTGCGACTCATACCTCTCTGACTGGAGCTGACCATCCCACGCGCGCCCCCTCGGACATCGTCATCCTTTGTCCTGCCGCAGGCCTCGTGCTCATATACCCGTCAGAGCCCTTCTCCGTTGCTTTTCAGAACGCTCTTCCCCCAGAAGACCTATCTACCTCTGCCAGAACCATCCAGAGCGCCACCATGTCGGCACCGCCGCCTCGTCGCAGAGAACGAGGCCAAGCCATGCCACAAGAATTCTACGACCCTCAAGACCACGCTGCCGATCCGCGTCAGCAGTACGACCCGTACTCCCCTCCCCCGCGCAACCGACACGCAGAGGATCGTCCGCCGCGTCGACACAAGTCGGAGCGTCGACGACCGCCCAGCCCTGATGCCGATCCATATGAAAAGCCGTCCCGGCGACGACAACCGAGTCCTGGCTATCCTGAATACGACCCACGCCAGAGGCCCTCTCGTCGACGGCAGCCAAGCCCTGGCTACCCAGAATTTGATGCGCATCAAAAACCCTCGCGTCGGCGTCAACCAAGCCCCGATTACCCCGCGCAAGATCCATACGACAAACCTCGCCGCAGAGGAGGTGACACCAGGCCACCACCCCAAGTCATCAATGGAGGCAGCAGGCACGGCGGCCGCGGGCCTGGGTCGCTGACCCCTCCACATGCCCCAGAGCCTCCTCGCCCGGAGAGAGGACACAAGGAGAGAGACCAAGAGCGGCACAGACGCGCTGACAGGCACTCGATGCCTCCCCCGCGCAGAGGAGACGATGGATACGGTAATCCGTACGGTGCGCCCGGCGCGCCAATGGACGGACGAAAAGGGGGTGGTCGGCCACCACGAGACCACCGCGACGACGACCCGTACGAGCGTCCTCGTCGCCGCCCACGATCCCCTCCACCCCCTGGGCCGCGGGATCGAGACCCCTACGAACCACGGGCGCGAGATCGAGGCCATCGCCCTTCTCGCTACGATGACGGCTATGGGACTGCCCTACCACACCGACCTCGCTCACAAGGGCGAGCTCCACATGGATCCCCTCCACCTCGAGAGAGGCCCCCACCGGTAACGGGCGGTGGTCGCCCGCCAGGTGGGAAAAGCGGTGGCCGTAAACGTCGCATGTCCATGCCGGCCGCCATCACCAAGGGCCAAATCGACGGCGCTCCGTGGTGGCAGCATTCGCTTGTGCAGAATGGTGCGCGGCAGGCACTCAGCGCAGGTGCGCAGGCGGCTTATCGAAGTAAGAACGACACCGGCCCTTGGATTGGGCCCAAGGGTGCCAAGGTTGCAACAGCCGCGCTGAGTGCCGCGTTTGTCGATGGCGTGTTCAAGAAATGAGGGCCGGGCTACTGTGCATGTGCATGGAACCAAATCGCAACTCAAAATGTTCAGGGTCGGTGCTCTGGGACAGAAGATGAGGAGAATGGCAATGATTTCACGTTCGATTTGTATTAGACTGGCAGGCACGCTTTACCAGGTGTATGAGCAATGAATAGAACATCAACTTGAATACCACCAAATCGTACTTTGAGGCCACCTCCGTTGGTTCTTCATTTTTCGCTCAATCCATGCCTCGAGACAGTGTTCCAGACTCGACATCTCGTAGCTGCACAGACTCCGTTGCGACAGAGACCGACGGGCATACCAGTCGAGTCAAAACATTCGCCTACATGGTCAGCATCCCTATTCTGGTGTTGTGTTGGCCTTTTATGATGTATGTGTCAGAGCTCACCGTAGACGGGAATACACGTGCCCTGGCAGCTCACGCTGCCGACCTCGAAAGGCTCTGCAAAGACAAGTCTTTGCTTACCGGTCTCCGTGTCAATGTCGAGTCTGGGCTCGATGACAGTGCCGTCCGGGGCCTTGAAGATGCATTGCTGGTTGGCGTTGTAGTCGTTGATGTCGATGGACTTGATTTTGCTGGCTCCTTCTGGGGCTGCTGGTACACCGTCCGTCGTGACGTTTAATGCGATGAGGTCTGAAGACGAGGCCGGATGGAAGATGAAGTGGGCAATTTGAGAGGAGTGCCGCGTTGGGTGGCCCAGGGCAAAGGTGATGAAGAGCGTTGCGAGCGAGATGGAGGCGTGCATGATCGCGAGTCTCAGCCTAGGATAGACCAGCTGGTGCTCTTGATCGTATTCTGGAGTTGGCGACAGCTGTGGTGTCGGTGTGTGAGTGCTTTATCCTGTCTTTGAGAGAAGATTCCACCACACGCAAAGTCCATTGGGAGGAATGTGTAACTCAGCTCGATGACAAGCTCCGTGTTCGTGCTATCATGAGACTCCCCTTTATGAGTGCGAAGAGCCGATCTCCCGTATTAAACCTTCAGCGGTCATCCCCAGGAAGACGGGCTTGTGATCAGTGCCAGCACTGATTCATGATCCGGTCGTACCACCACTCAGGAGACGGCCAGAAGAATCACAATGTGACTGGAGGTGCACATCGTGCTGTTGCAGGGTCTCGAGCTTCGGGGAATACAGGCAAGGATGACGAAAGGAGTACCCCAGATTCGGAACTCCAGTCGCGCCACAAAAGGAGTTTGAAGAATCTGAGGAACGACAGCCTGATTGAGATAATGGTCTTCCACTGCTCTGAAAATACATCAAGATCATTAGTATGCTCAGATGGCTGTCACTTACAACGTAAGTATTGTCGACTCTGACATGGTACAGGCAGAAGTATGAATCGGCGGTTAAAGATGTGTACAGGCCGTCAATGTCATACAGATTCTTTGCCCCTCTAAGCTGACTGACCCTCGCAGGCTAACGATCGGCCGATACTCCTCTACCCTCCTGGTACAGGCCATTTGTCCTTCCTGAGGCTGAACTTACCACAGGAATTTCCGTTCCGGCAAGGAGCGGGGGATGAGTTTGACAGCACGTGTACAAGAAAATTGTCAGCTTTCAAGCCTCTGTTCATGTTGTCTTGTCAAAGCATGTGATGGTAGTCCGACAGTCTGTGTCACGCGAGTCGCAGACGTTGTGCAACGCCTGGTCCGACTGTGGCCCGTCCCGAGTATACCGTGTACCGTCTTACTCCATCGCCTAGTCTAGTGCATACTTCGTCAAGGTGAGATCTCAAGTGCGAAAGCCGGACCGAGCTGGCATCAACCAGGTGGCCCCCAGTACTGCTTTAAACAAGACTGCTTGAAAATGCCACGTTTGAGATTCAAGTTCGTGGTAGCCGACTTGGAGACCACGCTCGTAAATCGTGGACGCAGATCGAGACAACTTCGACATCTTCCCACTACGGGTCTTTCATCGTCGAAAGCATGATGGAACGCCCACATGCAGCAAGCTTGCAGGTTGCATATTGTGTAACATTAAGCGCCCGGCCCAAGTAGCCGCCCAATCCCGGCGCGAACTAGCAGTGGCATGCATCTGCAGCTGGGACTTGGCTCTGTTTTATAAACCCTGCGTGGGTAAATTAGAATTGTCCCAAAATTAGTCCGCGATTGGGCACTGAAGACAAATCTGTTGGTTGTAAGCGCTGCCAGGTCAAGATGGCGGCCGTGTTGGTGTACCTCGACCAGTGCACGAATCGACAGTTGATGACACTCACGTCTTCCTCAAGAAAAGAAAGAAGGAGAAAAACTTTCAAAAATCACTACCCATAAGACCCTTCAAAATTGTAGTTTGACCACATACACTTGTTGAACTACATCCAACGAAAGCGCGATCATCAACCATGACCCGTCCCAGGGCCAGCGAAGGCTACGCGGCAGCCTTTACCGCCGATCACTCACAATTCCTATGCCTTCTCCCCACGACGGCAGCCAGCGTCTTCGTCTTCTATTGCTCAGTCGCGACCGTTCGATTCTCTGGCGACTTTTATCAACTTATCGTCGACAACCGACCGAGTGTACAATTCGCAGTGCAGATCTTGGCCAACGCGCTGTCGTTTCTCCAGGCGTTGGTGCTCTGTCGGGTGATCAACTTTACCGTCAGACGCTACTTTGCCCACGAGGCCATGAGTCTAGATTCGCTGCGCTTATGGATTGATTTGATCGCACTCAGGATGAACTGGGGACTCCCGTGCAAGTTCTGGCTGCCACTTGGGCTGTTCATGTTGGCAACCATGGCGCTCAAGGGTATATGGGCAGCAGCACTGACACCCGTGGAGGTTTGGAAAGCCACCCACGGCGAAGTCTTCGTTCCTTCTTGGGAGAACGTAACCCACGTCAAAGAGTATCCCTCCGAAGTTGGCCGTGAGGGTCCGACGATACAGACCTCCCAAGGGAGATTTTCCTACTCAGTCGGTACGCAGATCAGAGGCCACCTTCTCATGAGCGCCACTTCGGCCACTACAACCGATGGAGGAAGCAGGGAACACCGGAAAATTGACAACTCGAGATACACCTATATCGGGCGTTCTTATGGACTGGGGACCTCTGCTGGGCTCCTCGACCGGAACCTCGAGGAAGATCGCCTCGCAATATCGTACAAGTATCAAGAAGACGGATATACAACCGACGTCAAATGCATCCACAACGAAACAAGCAACTTCTGGATCGGCAGTACGGCTTTCGACTGGTTATGGGCCGCGCAGGGCGAACTTCCTGACAGCGACGATGGCAGAGAGTACTCGGACTACATTGGCCACCGCGGCACCAACATTGTAGCTCTTGGGGTCGCTCACTTTGCTGATGTTGATGCAGAGAAGTTACCGCTTCGCAAATATTTGGCGTTCTCTACGGGGGAAAGCTACAAGATGCTCGATAAACTTCAATGTGAAGTGGACTTTACGCCTGCGAGGTTCAACGTGACAGTCAACAAGCTCGGACGCAACATTACCGTGGTCCCAACGGAAGGAAAGGATGTCGAGGACATTGAACCAAGTCGACGTCTGAAAGGCACAGTACTCAGACAATTTGCGCTCATTTCAAACGACGAGACAAATCTGTACGTGTCAGTGGTTGGCCAGGCTTTGAATGCCTCGATCACGGACCTGTACACGTACTATGCGAGCAGGGGCAATGACAAGAAAACCCCGAGCGACGAAGAAATGGTTCGCAAAGGCGTGGAGAACTCGATCAAGGCTGTCTGTGACGATATGCTGGGTGCGTACGGGTCTGCTCAACTTGTCCTCAGCGATTTGAAGAGTACAACACCAGCAGAGGTCAGAAAAGCGGCAATTGCAATAGGCGAAATAAGGTTTGCCGCTGCTACGTTTGCCATTAATACAGCGATCATCTTGGCGTTCATCATCGAAGCAGTCCGCACAAGCTGGTGGAAAGGTCTGCCATCTTTTGATATTGGAGATATCAGGCAGCTCATTGTGGCCTCGTCGAATGGCGGACCAGGGCTGGGACGAGCAGCCTCGCAGAGAAAGGGGAATAAAATGGGTCAGCTACGTGTAAGGCTTGCCAGGTCCGACGAGGGTCTCCTAGGGCTGCTGGGGGACGAGCAAGGGGAATGTGATGAGAGCAGTCCTATCATGGAAAAGAAGAGCTCTTCCACAACGATAGATGTTGTACACTATGGCAGAAGCGGCTGGGGGCCGGGCTGGATATAGAATACAAGATGAACATTGCTTTCTCTACCAACAAGGCTTCTGATACCGGAATGTCTCAGCCAAGGGATACTGGCAGTGGTTACTGTCAGAGAATCAAAGGTGCACCCCAGTGAGCCAACAGAAAGCGAGCTTCGTGTCTTGCTAAGAGCATCTCGAAACCGTAAGCGCCCTCGTTTTACATGCCCTCAGCGTCTATCGGCCCAATCATGTAGAAACTGATGAGTTAGAGACCCGCAGAACCTAGAGTATTAAATCCGTTCGGGTAAGCCCTCCATGTTGTAATACCCAGCACCCGATCGTTGTATAACCCAACACCAGATCTTGTACGACTTCGTGATAAACTATGGAAGCGAACAGAAGATATACGATCGGATGGGTATGTGCACTCGTCACGGAGTTTGTCGCGGCGCGACTAGTTTTGGACGCGGAGCATCCACGACCGCAACATCTCGCACGTAACGACACGAACCATTATTGCCTCGGCAGTATTGGTGACCACAACGTCGTGGTGGCCGTGCTTCCAGATGGCGAATACGGGCTGTCGTCAGCCGCCAATGTGGCCACCAACATGCAGCGCAGCTTCCCAAACATACGGGTTGGTCTCATGGTCGGCATCGGCGGGGGAGCTCCCAGTCGGAAGAACGACATACGACTCGGCGATGTCGTGGTCAGCATGCCAACTGGCGGAGACAGCGGCGTCTTCCAGTATGATTTTGCCAAGATATTGAACAGACAGTCGTCTGAGAACACGCTCATGTTCAACCAACCGCCCATGGTGCTTCGCAGCGCCATTGCGGGTTTGCGAGCGGACCACGCAAGCCATGGGCACCGGATAGAGAGAGATATCGAAGGGATTTTGAGGAGAAATGAGAGGATGAGGAAAAAGTACGGCAGACCTCCAGCAGGAACCGATGTGCTCTTTCAGTCTCACTACGTTCACGACGAGCACTGTACCCAAGGCCGTGTCTCGTACACCAGGAACGATATCGTTGCGCTCCCAGCACGCCGTCAGGACGAGCGAGTCAAAATTCATTACGGCACTATTTGTTCTTCGAACCAACTTATGAAGAATGCGATCATCAGAGATCGGCTGTCGATGGAGAACAATGTCCTGTGTTTCGAGATGGAAGCGGCAGGGCTCATAACTCACTTCCCCTGCGTCGCTATCAGAGGCATTTGCGATTATTCAGACTCTCACAAGAACAAAGACTGGCAGGGGTATGCTGCTCTCGTGGCGGCAGTATATGCGAAGGAACTGTTGCTTATGATGGCGCCAAGGAGTGTGGAGGGCGAAAGGAGATCGCGGAGGCGTTGACTCAAGGTACGCCATCCGGCGGACAGCCACGTGTCTTCCTACATTGATTTACTCAACCATGCAAAGTATATAGCGAGTCAAGAAACTGGTGAAGACTGCGGATTTCCTCATGCGGTGAGAGCAAGATGGATGTGTCCTCGAACGACTGTTCCAAGATACATTAGGCGCACATCAAAACGACTTTCGTCCTGACGAAAGTCGCAAGTGAAAGTGTCTTGTTGACTCTATAGGATATCAAATGGACGCCTGCTAGCTACCATTCATTCCTTTACTCGCCCGACTAAATTTATAACATTGCACAATGGGAGTTACGTGCGACAAGGGGGAATTTCAGGTCCATACAGCATTTCCCATTCGCCACCGAGTTGACATGGGTCGTCGGGTGGCAGAATTTTCGCCTCGAGTGCATTAATATCGAGGCCCAACTTATATTCTCGTGGAAAGCACACCCCCGGTCCCCCTGCCGTACAACGTTAGTCACGTAGATCTTTGGCACAGGCAAATATATCGGAACGTACCCATACTGTCGACGATAAACACGAAGATCACCAACATGATGAGCAGGAATGCAAGTAGAACTAAAACCGGAGAAACGAGATAGTACCACAGGAAGCACGGGGTCTTATGGAGAGTGTGCCAGAGAAAACGATAAGGCCAAGGTGTCCCGGGGGCGAAGTCGATACCTGGACAAAGGCCTTGAGCTGATTCTGCCCAGCTCGTCATGTTGAGATCTGACATCACTTTCAAGGCTCAACAGCGAGTTTTCAGGCACTTTTCGTGTTCTTGAACAAGAGGAATTGTGGTTGAATCGACCGTGGTGGATGAGGAACGGAATGGAAAGATCAGCCATCTGTACGTAATATGTGCACGACTGAAAAGGCCACGCTTAGTCTAGGTCAAAGCCCATCAGGCAATGTAAATAGCTTTATCGGGCCTCGTGACCCGTGGCTGGGCTCAACAACCTTTGTGTTGATACTTATTACTTTACAGTTGAAAGTCAAACGGAAAGTCTCATCGGGGGGCACGGGGCGGAACGGGACAAGGCCCCACTTTCTGACCCGCCGACCGATCAAAGCCGAAGACGACCCAAAGCAGTAAGACCCGGCGATGGCACCTGTCCCGCGCTGAACAGCTCCAATTCCAATACCTGCCCCCGCGTCAACGGACTAAACCCCGATGTCGGCTCTACGTAGTACACTCAAACCAGCAAAGCGCGTCTCGCCTCCGGGTCTAAGAAGCACCGAGCGACGTAGTAATAACCTCCTCATTCGTGTGACTTTCCCCGTGTGAATTCCCATCTGATTCACCCTGCCTCTTGCATCTTGCGCACATCTTGTACCACCAACCGCAACCGCAACTCAACCTCATCTCCCCTCCTTGCCCAGCAGCTCTGCCCACGATGAAGCTACTCTACCCAACATCGCTAGTCATCGACGTCGACTCTCTAAAGGGATTCTCGGTCGACTTGCAGCCGTACGACGCCAAAGCCGCCACCATCCCCTCTCAGCACCACGACGCCGACATCCTCGTCACCTGGACCAACACGGTCGACAATCTCAAGTATGCCAAAGCCAACCTCACCAAGCTGCGCTGGATCCAGTCCCTCGCTGCCGGCCCCAACGATGTCCTCAACGCAGGCTTTGACCCCTCACAAACCATTGTCACCACGGGCTCTGGTCTTCATGACCATACCGTCGCCGAGCACGCGCTGGGCCTGCTTCTGACCTCTGCTCGTCGCTTCCACGAGATGCGCGATTACCAGCTCCAGGGCAAGTGGCCCGGCCACCTGGGAGGTCCCCAGCCCGACCGCCCCAAGGACCGTTTCACCACCCTACGTGACGCGCGCGTCCTCATCTGGGGCTTTGGCAACATTGCAAAGTGCCTCGTGCCCAGTCTCACCACCCTCGGCGCCACCGTCAAGGGCATTGCGCGCACCCCCGGCGTCCGCAACGGCATTGAGATCTATAACGAGTCCTCTCTGCCCGAGCTGCTCCCCAACACGGACGCGCTCGTCATGATTCTGCCCGGTGATGCGTCGACCAAGCACGCCCTCAACGCCGAACGTCTCAAGCTGCTCCCGAAACACGCCTGGATCGTCAATGTCGGCCGCGGCACGTCCATTAACGAGGATGCCCTGGCGGCGGCGCTCGACAACGAGGAGATTGGTGGTGCGGCGCTGGATGTCTTTGAGGTAGAGCCCCTGCCCGAGGGCCACAAGCTGTGGAAGACGAAGAACACGGTTGTGTCGCCCCATGCGGCGGGTGGACGACCGCAGGAGGCGGAGGCCCTAATTGCGTATAACTTGCGGAGATTCATTGCGGGTCAGGATCTGAGGAATGTGATATGACTAGCCGAGAAGCACAGGCTTTGAATTTGAATAGACACTAAGCGACATTGCAGAATACGTGAGGGTGGTTCAGAGCATTGATTCCATGTATCTTATGCACGCTGTGGAGGCCTATTGTGCCCTATCCCTGCGATCAGATTCATCCCACTCCGTCACAAGCCATCGTCGTCCGCATCCTTCGCTGTGGGCGTCTTGAGACATTATCTTCGTCAGGCAAGTTCTGGGTCTGCTTACAAGGTCTTGCGGAGACATCTCTCCACTCTCGCGATTAAGACAAAGAGGAACCTGGACAGGCCGTACGTGCCACACAGAAACATGGACTGGTCCGTCCCGCCCGAGACACCCACAATGGCCAGGATGGGGACAAATTACGACGTGATCAAGTTCGCACCCGACCGCTGCGCGAACGCTTATGTGAGGACACTATGCTGCACGCGACGGAGCTTCGGAGACTTGGTAAAAGTCTCCTTGGCAATGATCCAGAAACTCGCATTGCTCACCTCCTCGGCCGTTCGGTCAATATCCTCCTCATTCTCTACAATCTCGTGTTGCACGCGCGGATCGTCGACGGGCAGACCTCGCAGCCTAGACAGTCCCGCCATGGCCTCCTCGCGACGGTTCACCAGCAACAGCCACCGAGGCGACTCCTCGATGAAAAAGATGTCCTGGTCCCAGACTGGATCATTTCCAAGGCCATTCCGCCATGATGGTTCGGAAGACAGAAGGGTACCGTGCCAAGTACATACTGACTGGCATGCCACCTAGAGCGTAGATGAAGGCGGGGAGCAGCAGGGGGCGGATGAGTACTTGTCTGGTCGCCATTGTGACTACGATTTCGAATATAGATGTCTATTGGCGGAACAATGTATGTTTCAATGTGCGAATCAGCCTATTTACCTGTGATCTGCTTAATCTTGAATAGGACCTGTTCATCGGAAAGACTCCGAGTTCCACATGAGCTCAATGAACCCTCTCGAGGAGATCGTGGACAATCAAGAAGGCGTGACCCGAAGAGCCCTCATATCCTTTGTTGTGGATGTTTCGGTGACTTCCTCATGGGAAAAAGCGTTGACAAAGTACCGAATTAACTCAATCAGACAGTTCACTCGTATGCGCCCGAACACCAGGGGGTACGCCAGCAGTCCGCGATTTGGTCAGTATCACCGAGCTTTGCCTCCTGTAGCTTGAATCCCTCGACACGTATTCACTACATAGTGTCAACCTGTCACCCTTTGATCCTCTGCGCGTATCTGTACACGCTTACACACGCCCGTCCTCCGCAGCATCAATAGCATTCATTGCTTATGGAGATCACCCCAGCGCCAACAGAAAATAGCATCATCTTCTTATCGAGACTGTTCTTGCCAAGCCCCACTGTGTGCATGTCCATCAGGGTTTGGATACTCATCAATCAACTCGCTCAGGAGCCAGTCAGCCCCCGTCGAGTACCCCTTATCGCTAATTCCCGCCATCCACTGCGGCAAGTCGTCGGGGTACGCCTCCTGTCCTTGAACAAGCACAGTGGAACCGACCATCTTACCTTGCTGGGCATCTGTCAACATGGTCATCGTCAGACTGGCCAGAACCTCGAAAATACCCCTGTCTGTCGCTGCCTCGGGCCATCGCTCTCCATCACGTACGCACTCCAAAAGGCACGCTTCTGCATCTCTTGCTGAAACTGATTGATCGTCGACCGAAGGCGTCGATGATTGCGGTGATAGCCGAGGTTGATGCATTGACGCAGTGCGTGTCCGCCCAGCTTCCTGCGACTTGTGAGTCAGTGCGCATCTAATGTGGTGGTTCAGATCACCTACCAATGCGATGTGTCCTTTGAAGATCGTATCGAGTATGCAGCGCAGCATAGTACGGCCTGGATCGATTCCAGGTTGTCATGGCACAGTATCGCATCTATGTAGAGCATTGCTGAAGTATAGAGCTGCTCTGCTGCGTAACCCAGGTTGGGCAGTAAGACACCACCAACAGTATAGACCTCCAGCAGTCAGTCACATGCTCAACGCAGTGCCCCTCAACTTGACGTACAATGTTCAGAAAGTATAGTGCCAGAGGGTCGAAGTTAAGGCCTGCCCAAGGCCCCGAAAGGGATCTGCTAGAGCAGCCTCCCATTTCCTGAAAATCGGCTCATGCAGAAACGGGTACTGTGCGTTGATATTGTGGAAGTACGCGTTGCTCAATCTCACTGCTATCTGATACTCGGGTAGTGCGCATGGCACTGGCGCAAGCCCGCCCTGTATTTCAAGATCTGTCCTCAAGGCGTTGGACGACAAGGGTCCGATCGCTTGCCCTAAGGATGGCTTCACAAAGCGCGTGAAGGCAAGGGTAGAGGAGGGGCCCAAATAACTAGGCTCGGCGCCTGCTGCGTTGAGACTCAGGGTCCCTATCATGGATGACAAGTCTCCCAGTTCCTGGCCATCATCCACCGCAGTACTTGCACTCGCCTGCTCAAAGTCTACGGCAAGCGCATCTTCCGGATAGGCCTTGTACGTGGACTCGGGTGCTGTGCTCGACTTTGCGTCCTTCGATTGGGTTTCCAGCAGCAGGACTCTCTGCTCCAGTTGCTCAAGGTAATTCCTGGGTTGGTGCCTCTTGGTCGTGGGATCTTCGACCGAAACAAATTATGCTGGAGGTCACTCCACATGTTCAAGAGCTGTGGCGCAAGGAGGTCATACCCAAGTTGTTGCGCTGGCAGTTGCTGCAAGCTGGTATTTGGCCATCACACTGCTTGAGAGTATAAGCGACCGATCTTCAGAGAGCGACTGAGTTATAGTCATGTCTAACCCTGACTTTGCGTTCTTTGCAGCTCACGCACGCCATGGGCGTCCTGCTCCCCGTCCGCATTCGCGTCGCAGAACCCTTGGCCGGTCGGCCCCGAAGTGGTTGCGACATGGTGAGACAATTCTTGTTGTTCATGGACGTTGAAGGACTGCTCCAGTGTTCCTGTACACGTGATCGAAGAAGATGACGGCCATTGACGACTAGCACTCGCCGCTACCACGCGTAGACATGTATCGACTCGAATACCGTGCCGCGAACACTTGATTTATACTGGTTAGATAGAGATTCGCATAGCTTGAGCGACCCGCGATGGTCTCCCCCAGTGAGTCGAGACGCATCCTTACCCAGTTGGGGTCACAATCACATCCGAATCGGAGACACTGACAATTACCCCTCCCCATTCCTGGGACGCATCTAGGGGACTTTTTCTCCTCCATGTGGAGTTCGTGACCACATATCTCGGGAAGATACGAAGAACCGTGCCTATTGGCCCCTTTCCCAGACCCGGCGGCAGCAAGGAGTCGGTTTGGCGAAGAGCTTCAAAGTGCTACAGTACGTACTCGATGCGTGAGCAAGTTCTCATTGTTCGTGAATTGGGCTTCGAATTTAACAACATCGTCCTCCTGTCTCGTGTTCATCAAATTCGATCAAGTCTTGACATTGGATAATCGCCGCTGATTCCGAGTGTCAGTCCGCTTGACGCCAATATGTCGCCCCAAGTCGAAAGCAAGTCTTCGCCCATTGTCATTGTCGGCGCTGGTGTTTTTGGTTTGAGCACGGCCCTTCATCTCGCGAAACGGGGTTATACAAATATCACTGTCCTCGATAAGCAACCGTACCAAGATTCGCATTATGCTTACGAGAAGGGTTGCGATGCTGCTTCTGCGGGTGAGTAGAGCGATACCAGGCTAACTATGGCTCCCTAAGTTGATCACATTTCTCAACTACAGATATCAACAAAATAATACGGGCTGCGTACGGTCCCCAGTTTGAGTATCAAACCCTCGCACTAGACGCCATTTCCAGATGGAAGAAATGGAATGAGGAGCTAAACAGTGGAAAGACAGTTCCTCCAGGCTTCTCCACGGACGACACGCTGTTCATTAACAATAGCACGGTCACCATGACGACTGGCTTGGAGATGGACCAATTCGAAAAGGACACCATCCGGAACATGGACCGCGTAGGACTGAGGGAGACGCAGGTCAACCTCCATGATCCCCAAGACGTGGCACGCGCAAGAGCGAAGGGATTCGGTTTCGCCGTGGATGCTTTCAACACCAACAACATCAGCAGTGTGCTGGACACGCAGTCCGGCTTCGTGTACGCTGATCGAGCGTGCCATTTCGCGCTGCATAAGGCACAGAAGCTCGGTGTGAAGGCCATTCTCGGCGGTTCCAGGGGCACGTTCTCGCACTTCCTCGAGAATGCCGATGCAAAGATCACGGGTGTGGAAACAGCTGATGGGGTGTCACATCAGGCAGACCTGACGATCATGGCTTGTGGAGGATGGACGCCCTCTCTTCTGACGCAGCTTGACAACCTCTGCGAGACGACAGCAGGCAGTGTCACCATGTTCCAGCTGCCGCAGGACAAGGCTTTGTGGGACAAATTTGCGCCTGAGAACTTCCCTACATGGTCGTGAGTAAAGTCACGGGAAGAAAATCAGACAATAGAAATGCCACTCACACTCTTATCTAGGTACGACATGCGTCGAGGGGAATACGGTGGCTTGTATGGCTTCGCGCGAGACCCAAATGGTGTCGTGAAGATTGGCTACCGTGGTACCAAGTTCACCAATCCCCAGACGCAAGCAGATGGCGCAAGCAGAAGCGTGCCCGCCACCCGCTGGACGCAAGAAGCCATCCGTCAGATCCCGCTCGTGGCATCTCGCGTGATTAAAGGCTTCGTGCGGGATTACCTGCCTGAGCTGATTGACTGCAAAATGACAAGCCGACTGTGTTGGTACACAGACTCCTATGACAATCACTTTGTCATCGACTTTGTGCCTGAGTATCAGGGTCTGATGGTGGCCACGGGTGGCAGCGGACATGGTTTCAAGTTTCTTCCTAATCTTGGTGAGCATGTTGTGGACAAGATCGAAGGGAAGAAGAATGACTATCTGCAGTATTGGAACTGGAGGAGCCTTGAAAAGGGGGCGAAACCATATAACAGCATTATGGAGGGTGCAGGTAGTCATCGATCCCTGCATCATCAGGCCATGACGAGCTAAGATCGGTTTGCGACGCAGGTCAGCCGGCTGTGATGGCTGTTATGAATGATCGACCCCCAAAAGCACTCACGAGCTTCTCAATCCGCGCCGTCCATCTTTCACATCTTAGAGTGACAAATGATGCCTCCTCGAAACTGAGACGAAACCACGCCTTAGGCAATAGGTCCCATTGCCTACGGCAGAAATCAACCACCATCGTGTTCGCCTGCCGTGCGCTGTGTCGTGAAGCAACTCGACAACTCGATGGACCTCTGCATGCTGCTTTCGCCGTCAGCTTTTGGCAATTTGCCTGCCTTTCGTTAAATTGCAATCCGGTCATGTCGCGCCATCTTCAGATACTTCTCAAGTAGCAACCAGACAAAGTCCGCTTGAACAAAAAGAACAATATGGTATGTGTATTCACCACCGCTCTTCCCCATGTTTATACATCCTAAGCCTTCTTCTCGGCCTCCAGCTCCCGCTCTGCCTGCTGGTAGTACTTTGCCGTATCCACGCCGTGCTGCGAGTGGTTCACAAAGTTGAACCAGGGAACCACGCCCATAAACAGCGCCGAGTAGCGACTTTGTCGCGCCGCGACGCCCTGCATGTGCGGCGAGAGCTGGGACTCGCCGTACAACGACTCGCCACGTTTGACCTTGTCGACCATTTCGCGCATGTCCATCTCGACCTCGCGGCGGTTCTCGGTGGCACCGTAGAATCGAACTGTAGCGAATCGTCAGTTCCGCATTCCAAAACAGGCCCCCCTCAATGCTCCACTGTAGAGGCAAAAGTTGACAGGCGAGGGCAAACGTACGGATCGAGCGCTGGTAGAAGATGAGGAAGCCGCCAGTGATACCAATCGCACCGGCCAAACGCATGATCTTGGGGAAAGCTCCACGTCCAGCGTGCGACGGCGCAAACTTCTCGACGGCATACATCAGGCCCGGTCCCGACAATGCGGCGAGACCTCCGACGGCGTAGTCTGATGTCCTGGCATAGCCGATAACGCGCTTAAAATGGCTATACAAGGTCAGTCCCAAGTCCCTCGCCAATTGAACTTCGCTTCAGTATCGCTCCTCGCAGGTGTCGCTTCGTCTCGCTCGTTCGGGGTGGACATACGGGTCATTGTCAATGAGCTAAATTCCATTCGTCAGTCTCCCTCGCCGGCCATTGCGCGCCCAATCGTGGGTGAAACGTACCGGATAGTCCGCGTGGACCGTCTTGCTCGGCCCAGCGAAGGTCTTTTGCGGCTGCTCGGTCGCCATGATGCGTGACGTGCGTGGGTTCGTGGGTCTCTTGTCCGTAAGAGTGTTCCAGTGATGGGAGTTGGACGGAGCTGCACTCGACGTTCAAAGTGGATCGGTCATGTGACCAAGATCACGTGCCCGCTCCTGTGCTCCCGACGCGTCCCCCACTACCAAACGCGTCTCCGTCATGGCCACTTTACACGGTTGCAAGTCAATAGGACATTCAGATCGACTTTGAAGGCCGACTTTGCTTCCACCAGCCTACCCAATACACTCGAGGTTGTGATCAGATTCCGTGCACTTCAAGGATGCCTGCCGTCACATCGAAACCCGTCGATGATATTGACAATTACGACGCCAACCTCTCAGACGATCCATTCGCAAGCCCCGGTCAACCATCCAAGAAGCGCAAATCACCCTCCGGCGACGATGCGCTTGGTCTCGACGCAGAAATCAATGTCCAGAAGCGCGTGCGCGCACCGACCAAGAAACTCGACGAAACACTCCTCTTGTCGCCAGCCGGCATTCCCAAACTGCGATCACGCGCCAAACACCTTAAACTCAAAGGCAAAGGACATGAATGGGGCGACGCGAACAGGCTCCTGGTCTTTTACCAAAATTGGCTGGATGATCTCTACCCAAAGGCACAATTTCTTGATGCCCTGGGGATGGTGGAGAAGTTGGGACACAAGAAGCTCGTCGCGGGTCAAAGAGGCGAATGGATCCTAGAAGGAAAACGAAAAGAGAGGGATGAAGACAGCGACGGCGAAATGCAAACCATTGAAGAGTTGGACGCGCAGATCAACCCGACCTCCAGAGCTAAGACGCCTGTGGGGGATCGTGGGGTCCCTGGCGATGCCGATCTGTACAACGCTACACCGAGTAGGCATAGAACAGCGCCGGCGGTGAACGAGCCGGATGAAGAAGACCTGGCCGCATTAATGGCAGAGCCAGAGACGCAGGACAAGCCGACCCGAGTACTACCTTCGAGACCACACGAAGAACCCGACGGCGATGATCTGGATGCTTTAATGGCAGAGGCGGAGAGTCATGACGCCGGGGGAAAGGGCCCCAACGCCTTCACCCAGAAAGAGCAAAACCATGACGAAGACGAGGCTGCAATGCTGGAGATGGAGGGCTGGTGAAGAGCATGGCATGAAATACCAACGGCGTCCCATATTTAGCGATCCTGACTTTTGCTGCTGCGCTAAGGATAAGCAGCCACATTTGAATCACACATCACGAAGAGCGACAGGCAGTGAATGTCAAGATAATGATGGGTAGCGTGTACAAAGTACAGTTTAATTCAATGTTTCGGGGACTCTCTTCGTCCTCCTCGACGCCAGACGCCTTGCCTATCCATCCCCTAGAATTCATTGGTCACATTACTGTTCCCGGTCCCAACGACTCACCCGCCGGACCAGACCTCAATCCACGCACATCATGTAACCTGCCGTGACCTTTCCTCCCTACACTCCATACTAAGAGCCAACCGGCAATCGTCAACGCAACGCCACTACAGCTCAACCTTCCTTCGTTTGACAAGTGTGTTTCAAACCAGCGCTCAGCCACGACCATGGAGACTCGAGCGATCTCGTTAGTATCCGCACTTGCCATCAGCGTCGCGATCCACATTAATAGGACGCGCCAGCATAGGGCTGCGTGATACTGTCAAGGCCGCTGTAGTCATCATCAAGGTCCGGGCCAGGCAGCGAGGCTGTGAAAAAGTCCTCGTCGAACGATGTCAGGGAGCTGTTGCAGACTGTGTCTTCGAACAGCTGGAAGTCCTCCTGCTGCGGGAGCAGGTTGCTCGTGTCGGGAGTGTGGAAAGTGTCATCGGGGCCAAAGATGATAAAGTCGGCTGCCTCAGGCACCGCAATGGACGGTGTTGATGTGTTTGTTCCCGAGGGGCTTGGGTCGGCGGTGGCCGAGTGGTTTTCGTTTGGAATCGTTGACTCTGGCTTGCTCTCCACTCCCGATGGCACAGCAGGCCTTGTCGGGGGAGTTACACAATACCGCTGCAGGGTATTGTGCCACAGGAGTGGGAGAAAGCGAGTTGCTGGTTTCCATCAAAACACGGGACTCGGACCGACTGATTTCGGACGTCTTTTCGGCGTGGTTCGTGGCCGGCGATGATGTCGGAGAGAGCTCCTTCGGGTTGACAGTCACCTCGGCGGCGCTGAAGGGCTCAACGTCGGAGGCGATCTGCGGATGCTTAGCCTTCAATTGGTCCAGGAACTGGAGCAGTGAAGCATTCTTTGCGACCGCTTGATCGTATTGTGCTTGGAGTGCCTGGTATTTGCCCTGCAGCGCGTCGTTCTCGACGGCAAGCAGTTCGGACTCCTTGCGCTTGCGCTCACGGGATGATTGCGCAGCGCGGCGATTGCGAAGGACACGCTCGATTCGACGCTGCTCCTTTTCATCTTCGGTCTTGGCTCGTTTACGAGGGGGCAGAGAGGTTTTGGGCTCGGGCAACACCTGTCCCCAGGTCTTGCGAGGTTTCTTGGCAGGTTTGTCATCCGTGGAGTCTTGACTTGCCCTCTTGTTGCTGTGGTACTCTTCTTGCGACTGCGGTGTGAGGGGCAGAGAACTCTCTCGGTGAGAGTCAGGTGTCGGCGGCTCTTCGGCTTTGGGCGCCATGGTCTCTGGGAAGAGTGATGTGTAAGAATCACCGGCTACCGACATGAGAGACTCGGCCGGTGAGTACTGGGGGTCGGCCATTGTTGATGTATATAAGTCGTGTTGCAAAGTAACTTTGCTGGTATTGTGATGCGATGTTGATGTTGGGGTTGCCCTAGCTTTTTTAAGGAGGACCTCAAAGTTGGGGCAGCGCGGCCTTTAGTGTCGCTGTAGGCAACTAGGTTGAAGTGACGACGAGTATAATGCGGGTACACGGGAGTTTATGACGGTATATTGCCGGTGAGTCACGCTATCCCAAGTGTGGGAGCGAACGACCTGTGAGTGATGACGAATGGGCCCGATCAGGTGACGGGCAGTTTCATGAGGCTTGTGGTGAGATAGTTGAAAGGACAAGTGTCAAGAAGTGCTGCCGTCTGTCTGCCTGGCTGGGTTGCGTGTGTGACTCGACGGCGTGGAGGGAGGGAGTCGCCCATCTTTATGGACAGGTGGCCGTTTGAATGGGGCCCACGGAGGGCGGGTCCGTCTTCTGGAGGGGGTTCAAGGGGGGAGCCAATCGCTGAGCCAAGGCCGCCCTTGCACCTGGAACCTTCCAATTGAGGTATGGGGCATGCCAAAATAAGACGTGTGCTCTTCCGCGTTCTACTACCGAGTCGTGCTGAACTTAATTTGCTGTCACCACCTCAGGGGCTACAACGCCCCGTACCAGTCGCTCCTTTACCTGGGTCTGACACAGGCCCTTCCACCTTGAGACTTGGGTTTCCGTCAGCCCATTGACTGCGCCTTCCTCCATACGAGCTTCACCATACCTTATAATTATTACCTTAGGCACACGAAAAGAGTCCACGCTACATGTAATTTTAGGCCTTTCGTCAACGTTCATTGCCTTGCCTGACCTTGATTGCCAACTTCTGCCTCTATGGACGCCTCCGTACGTACGCTGGCTGCATCTAATAATCAACTGATCGATCTGGAACGGAGTGCAACGGCCCAAGACGGCTCGCAGCCCCCAAAGGGGGAAGATGGGGCCAAGCATGTCGCATCCCTCGAAGCTACTCAAGCTGAGGCCGTCCCTACATGAGAAATTCCCGCCCGGTGTCCCGATCATGAAAGGGGTCGAGCATCTTCCACAATCTTAACAACCACTCTCCCCGACACCAATCAACGAGCCTCCGCTTGGCTGTTTAGTCACGGCGAGATACGGACCACCGGGTATGGATGACTCTTCTCCATAGAGGCGCAGGATGCTACGTACGCGTCGACGACAAACAGCGTCTCAAGCAAGGACACACGTTCCGCGCTATGCACGTAGACATCACCCCACAGGTCTCAGGATCGCTAGGACGCTCCCACGCAACAAAAAGCCCCCCAAGTAAGACAACCATAGAGATAGTAGTGTTTTTGCGGCTACGTATTAAAAAGTCGGAGCCTGCTAGGCAGGCGCCTAAGCTGTAATTGCGTCTAGGCATCCTCTTTTCATTCATGACAGAAGAGCATAAGCTCGGAGGTTGATGATCAGTGTCGGATTCAAGGCTATTGATCAATTCACAATACTCCACCAAGTCCACTATACGGAACGAGCGCCCTGGCATTCCGTCAATAATGCTCCACATGTGAGAAGGCCCGGCTGCCGCGCTTCAAGACGCGGTCGCAAGTTGATTCATTCCACTCAGGGTAGTTTGACCATTAATGTTGGCAATTTCGCGAGCGACCGTCCTTCAGGCTCGAGGTCGTTCAAGTATCTACAACCCTACAGTATCAAGGCAGTTCAATGTCCAACTTGAACCCAGGCAGGCCACCAGGCTACAATTTTCCGGTGAAACGAGGGCTGGACCCTGATCGCCCCCTTCGAAACATCGCTCCAACGTCGCATCGCTCGAGGGCCGCCTGAATGTGCCGACCTTCTTTAACAGGCAATGTCACCTCTCCGTTCCGTGATACATTCGCTGTTCCCTCTTCGGGCAAAGCCCCCTCTCTGGGGTCGGGAGGTCCTCCATACTATTCTTTTCCCCGCATGAGACGAGCATCAAATCCTTCTTTCAAGATGAAGATCCGGGGAAGTACCTTAACCGGTACGTGTACTGCTACTTAAGAACGCAGTCATCGAGAGTAGCTTTAATCAATGCCAGTCGGGCGGGGTGTTACTATCACTCTCGCCAAGTGAACGGCCAGCGCATTTTGCGTACATGTACGGAGTATGCACGAGCGGTTCCTGCAACTATAGAGCTAGGTTTTGAGAACTGTCTGAGAATATCATTGGTACGGATAGCATTCCTTCATTAGCCAGCAATGAGCATAAGCGTCAACACTATATCCTTCCCAGCCATAAGTGCTTGACACTCGTCTCGGCCCATACAACAGGAAACGCTTGCCATGCGACCAGACCGTCAAACCACAGGATCCCAATTGCCGTTTTTACCTTTCACGATTCCTTGGATCTCGCTAGTGACCCAGCCTCCATAGAAGTCTCCCGGCTGGGCCTGCACCTTCTCGCCGTCCACAAAGCACTCCCAGGGGCCAGCATAAAGGCTCAGGTATCCTTTAATGCTTTCAAACCCGTTCGTTGGATTGTCATACGACCAAATCCTGTTGGAGACAGTGGTGCCAGAGGTCGGGGATGTGACAGAGTAGTAAGTGGCCATTCCTTTCCACTCGCAGTATGTCTTGCGGTTGAGCTTCGTCAAGGGGATTTTCACGGCTGAGGGTGGCAAGTAGTAGGCTATCTCATTCGTTAAAAAATGCACGGAATCTTCTCTCAAGTACCTACTTGGGGGATGATGCGTCTCTAGAACCCAGTATGCTTCGTTCGTCTCGGCAATGTCTTGTCCCTCCCAGACGACTCGTACATGTCTGGAGATCTTCTCGAGCTTTGGGGGGCGAGGGAATGACTGCACGTTCATAGTTGGTTTTGAAGACATGTTTCTGATGAAAATTCTCAGCATTGGATGAGGAGTTTGGGCGTGATCACAGGAGTTTGGCAGAAATTATTCTGTTACTGTTATAAGGAAAGTGTCAATATGTTCGGAAAGTCATGAATCATCGTGCATTCACCACGATAGCCGACTGAAATGCCTCACAACGGTTTGTCTATACTCTCTTACTGCTTTTCAATGAAGACAACCATTGACATGCATTGTTAGTAGATGATCAGTGACACAAACATGAATAGACACTTATCAAGATGGGAACGTATAGGGTAAGTGAAAACCAATGTGGCTGACGATCGTGAGCATGGTGGCTGTGGCACCTCATTTTTGGCGCTGATGATAGTTGCGTCATCCGTGTGGCGTCTATCGCATCCCACCATATTCCCCATCCTCCTCCCCACTGGCACCTACCTACAATCCCCATCTTCAACAATCGACTTCACCTCATCGAGAATCGCTCGCGACATCACTACCAGCCTCCTCAAGTCGCCTGCATCCGTCAGATCGCGACTTCACAGAGACCCGCCAACCCTTCGCCTCCAACACCCCTCCTATCCAGCCACAATGTCGAACCGTCAAATGGCTCGCGACATGAACGTCGAGTTCCAGGCCCGCTTCCAAGCGAAGCAAGCCCGTCGCGAAGCCCAAAAGGCGGCCAAACAGGACCCAGTTCTCAAGAAACAGATTCAAGAACTCCTCAAAAAGGGCGAGACGCAGAAGGCCTACCAGAAGGCCAAGATGTTGCTCAGCAAGCAGGCGCTTGCTAGCCAGATGGACCAGATCGCCGACATGGCAGAGCTGAACGCCAGCCAGATCCAAGCGAACAACGCCATGAACAAGATGACGCACATGATGGGTCAGAGTTCGAAGGTGATGAATGTGGCGCAGAAGAATGCCAACCCGGAAAAGGTCAGTGGCCGGCGAACAGACACCAAGCTTCGACAGACCACTAATAGATGCAGACTCTCCTCACTCTTGAGCAGTTCAAGAACCAGAACGAGGAGTACGCCATGAGCAACAACATCTACTCGGACGCCATGACGCAGTCCACCTCGGCTCAGGTTCCCGAAGATGCTGTACAGGAGCTCCTGGGCAAGCTGGCCGACGACGCGGGCTTGGAGCTAAGTAAGGAGCTGAACCAGGCGACTCCCGCGAATGCAGAGCCAGCCGGCGCGGAACCGACTGCCGAGGAGGAGGATAAGCTGCAGCAGAGATTGCGCGCTCTGAGGGCATAGACATCATTTTCTGGGACAACGGCGTTCAGCGGGTAGGCGTATGGGTTTGAATGGATTGGATCGCACAGCACATTGCAGGAATGATTGCGTATAACGTTTGTGTATGTGAATGATTACAGCATGGTCATGTTCGCATAGGCATTTACTGGAAATGCCGCATGACTTATCGAAGCGGCCAGCCATTCGTGACTTTCAACATGATGGACTGGGCAGTGGTGGAAGAACAACACCGGGATATTTCTTCATTGATCTCGACAGACCCTTTACATGTACAGACTCGCCACTGCAGTGATGTCTCTCTTGATCATCTCCTGCGCGGTCTGCATCTTCTGGTACAGCTCAGGATCACCCACAATTCTCGCTGCATTCTTCACCTCGCGACAAGTCTCGTCCAGTCGTGTGATTGTGCGCACAATTGTACCCTCCAAGACATCCGTCAAGCCGGTGATGTTCTTGAAGGACATGCCTCTCGCCCATTCGTAGACAACCTCCATGATGCCAAAGCGCGGACGCGAGACAAAGTCGTTGCTATCCTCTGTGGACTGGATCACTTGCAGCCTCGTCTGGACATCATTGACCTTTTCGGAAATAGCGATGATGGTCTGCCTTCCCTTTTCAAGATTGCCGGTGAGAACGGGTTCAACGTCTGTCTTTTCTTGGAAGACAAAGGCGGACAGCAACGCGGCGATTTCAGCCGGCTCAAACTCCGCCAGTACGTTGTCGAGGATCAGCTCTGTCAGGACTAGCTCATCACCAGAGTGAATCTCGCAAGCAACCTTGCCCTTGAGCTGTATACGTGTCGCGTCGTCAATAAATCCTAGTTCTTTCAGCACCTGGACACGCTGCTCGTAATCGGGCAGCAGCTGCAGATTCTGGTCAGAGAGCGACTGCTTGAGCTGAGAAATGTGCTCCTTGATGAGCCACTGGTCGTGACACATGGCGTAGTGGCGGAGGAAGGCCTGGCAGCGAATGGAGGGCGAGTTCATGATCTTGTCCACCAACGCGACTCTCTTTTCCATCAACTCTTGCAGTGCCATGCTCTTGATCTTGCCAAAATCCATCTCGTCCCAGCGATCGTCCCACGAGCTGCACAGATCCATCAACCTCCTTTCGGCATTATCTCTAACTTCGCCTCCCTGGAAGATGAAGGGCAAAATGTCCTTGGCCACCCAGCGTGTTAGACACTCGACGTCGCTCATAGGGACATGCAGCGTCTTGGTGTTGAGCTGTCGCTTGGTTTGCGGCAGCTTGTGGAACATCTTGCGGAAGCCCGGTAGGAAGGGCAGACTGTCCGTCCCGTCGCGACGCTCCCGGTTCGGCCTCACAGCGCAGACATGAAGAGTTGGGTCCTCGGTAGTGCCTTTCATGCTGGCCCCATCATGCAGAAGAATACCAACAGTGCGAATACCATCCCAGTTGAAGACGATGAGGCGCTGCTGCTGGAACATTCTCCGTCCGATGGGAATGCTCAGCAAGCCTTTGTATAGCTCAAAAGTCAGCTGCTTCAAGTCCTGGGCGGCTTGGTGACAGTCGTCCATGTGCTCGTCGCAGATCTTGCACGGGTCACGCTTGACCTTGGCCAAGTCAGCCTGGGCCAACTTCACATCCTTCTCATGCTCGGGCAGCAACTGTTGCGTAGCATGTTCCGAGAAACTTCGCTTGATCATCTCCTCAATCTTGAGAGCTTCTACGCGCAGCAGGTTGAGGATCATGTTGTAGGTCAGCCTGAACTGTGACCGCAACTTGGACGGTTCGCCCAGAATCATGTTTCTTAAGTCAGAGACGGGCGGCGCATCGTCACCTCCCGGAGGTACAATGATGACGGAGCCGACAGTATCGAGGCCACGTCGACCGGCTCGACCAGCCATCTGGGTGTATTCGCCTGGAAGTAAGTTGCGGAATGAATGTCCGTCGTGCTTCCTGTATCCGGAGAAGACGACTGTCCTCGTGGGTAAGTTCAGTCCCATGGCAAATGTCTCTGTTGCGAAGAGCACCTTGACTAGAGTCTCTGCAAACAAGATCTCCACAATCTCCTTCACTATGGGCAACAGTCCACCATGGTGAACGGCGATACCACGACCCAGGAGATCTCTCAGCCTGATAATTTGAGGCAACACCCTGTCCTCGGGTTTCAAACGAGCAACTGAACGCTCAATGATCATGTGTATGTGGCTCTTCTCCTTGGCTGTGCAGAAGTCCTGGTTGCTCAGCGCGTCCGCGTTCTCCTCGCAACGCTTCTTGGAGAAGACAAAGATACATGCTGGCAAAAGGTTCTGTTTCCGCAGAAACTGAACGAGATGTACCCAAAGATTCTTATCCTGCGCAGCAGATGTGAAGCCACCCTGTCGCCCGGTGCGGCCCATATGGCCTGGTGCATGGCTGGCTCGGGGGGGACCGCCGCCTCCTCGGCCACGCTGGTTACCGCCTCTCTGCTGTTGGCCACCCCGTCCCCCACGTTGTTGCGGACCTCCTCTTTGCGGACCGCCTCGCTGCCCACCCCTCGGGTTGCCACCACGCGTAGCGACAGTCTGCTGGTTGGTATCCTTATCCTTGCTCTGAATAGCGTGATGGGCGTCCTTCCAACCCTTCTCAATAAACTTCTTCTCGTGGTCGACGATCTTGTGGATGTCCTTGTTGGCCCACAAATAGTGCTCGAGCGGCACTGGACGTTTCGGTGTCGTTATAACGTAAATATCCTTCTGCTTTGTTCGTCCCACCCACGATGCGAACTCATACGTATTGGGCACCGTGGCTGACAGCAAGATCAAGGATATATGCTCCGGCAACATAATGATGACCTCTTCCCAAACAACACCTCTTTCGTAGTCGTTCACATAATGCACCTCGTCAAAGATGACAAACTCGACATCACGGATGAGATCAGCACCTCTGTACAGCATACTCCTCAGAATCTCCGTGGTCATAATCAGGCAGCTAGCCTCGGGATTGATCTGCACATCACCCGTGAGAATACCCACCTCGTCGAAAGTCTGCCGGAAGTCGCGAAACTTCTGGTTGCTCAGGGCCTTGATCGGCGAGGTATAGATGGCCTTGGTCATGTGTCTTGCCGCCAACGCAATGGCATACTCTGCCACCACTGTTTTACCAGCTGATGTATGTGCTGCCACGAACACAGAGTCGCCGCTTTCAAGATGATAGACGGCTTCTTTCTGGAAAGTGTCGAGTTCGAATGGCCATTCACGTGCCATGTCCGGAACAAGCTCACGGAAGTTGGGCATGGAATGTTTGATATCCACCATATGCGCCCACTCCCTCCCGGCTTTTCTAGCGCTAGAGGCGGCGAGAACGCCATGGGGTTCAAGTGAAGGGAACTCATTGGGTAAGATGCCGTCAATGTCGTCGTCTTCGTCCTCGGCATCTTGCTTGTCGCCGCTGGGCGTGCCCGTCTCCGAATCGTCCCTGCTCTCATTCAAGTCGTCAAGAGCCTCGGGATCTTCTTCGAGCACTTCCTTCACAGCGTCTGCGTCACCTTGGTCCAACTTCTTTCTCGAAAAGTCGATGCCTCTGTCGAACCCCGGTGGTATCGATAGTAGACCGCCCTCAGCTCCAAACTGAATAACCCTGTCGAGCTTGCTTTTGCCGTCGTTGCTTTCGCCAGTAGCACCGCCACTGTGAATCTGATCCTCTAAAGCGGCCGTCGCTTCGATGCCCTCTAAACCACCAGGCGCAAAGGGGAAGAAGCCAGCCGCACCCCGGACAAACTCAGCTCGGCTGGCAGGCTTGCGAGAGAAAGAGGTTGAGCTCTTGGCCGTGGCACCTGAAGCGGGGACCGTGACGTTGCGATAGCCTGTGACTCGACCTTCCAGCCCATGTCGCTGGAATCTAGTGACAGTCCGACTCTGCGTCGGGGCAAGCTTGAACAGCGATGAATAGTCTGTCTCATGGTCCCATCGCTGCTGTAATTTGTTGAGCCATTCTTCCGAGAATTCTGTCGACGGCGAGAGAAACGTCTCCTCCAGCCGCTGTTTGAGCTGCTCAGGATCCTGCGAGGATGTGGGCGCCGGTCGTGGGCCGTTCTCGAGAGACTGCTCCTCAAGAAGGAGATCGTCTATGGACCCCATCTCGTCCGGCCGCAGAACAACCAAATACCTGTCTTGCGGCAAAGTTGAAGTTGTGGGAAGGCGAGCGTAATGGTGAGTTGAGGTTCAGAAGTGAAAGGCTGCCCCACCATGAGTTGAGGTTCACTTGAGGTTCTGGGTTTTACCACAGTGGAAGTACTAGTGACGTATTCTAGTACGTAAGGTACTTGTCGCTCTTCTACAACTTCCACACAATCCTACAAAGATCTTGTGTTTCATCACCGTGAAAATGTCACTTTCTCTCGGGAAAATGTCTCACTCACATCAGTAACACCAATCAATCATGATTCATCACACTCCTCAGGGAGTCTGTTTCCCACTTGGCCTCTACCGCGACTCAGAGACATGTATGTCGCGATATGTCAAAGGAGAATGCACAAGCCTGGGCCAACTCCTTAGTAAACAATGCCTCCCGATCGAAAAGATTATCGTCGGGGCCGTAATCGTCCGTACCGGTAAGATGGGAGTGGCAAGATCCTGTTACAGAAAAGGGCAGCCCTTCGCTGTCGGGTTGGTTGGGCACATCGACTCTCGTTGATGGCGACTGGTGGGCATGAAAAGCCTGATAAGGCAGAGACTCCAGTTCACATCTGGTCCAGATGTGGCCTGGCAAAGCCCTTTGACACATGACATTGAGAACACGTCGGTAAGCCACAGTAGACATGGGCGGATGTTGATGTGCGTACATGGCAGTGGAATACAAATACAGGTCCCATCCTTTCCCGTCTATATGAAAAAAAAAAGAAAAAATAACAGACTGGTATGCCTGAACTACTAATAGCTTTCCGTTTCGCCATATATTCTTCTTCACTCAAACCTCTTCATTACCCTTCGACTTCCTTCCTCTCTTACACGCGAAGCAGCTTGGCGGCGTGGTCTTCGATCAGCTGCTCTGTGGGGAACGACATCTCCTCGAGCCCCTGGGCGTAAGGAGTAGGCACCTCAGCACCAGTGACACGCTGGGCAGGCGCGTCAAGGTAGTCAAAAGCGTACTCCATCGAAAGGGCCAGAATCTCAGCCGACACACCGAACATGGGGTAGCCAGACTCGACAACCATGAGGCGGTGGGTCTTCTTGATGGACTGGATGATGGTCTCGACATCGAGAGGCTTGACAGAACGCAGGTTGATGACCTCAGCCTCCACGCCGTACTTCTTCTTCAGGCCCTCAGCCGCAACTAGGGCCTGGCCAACGCAGCGGGAAAGAGACACAATGGTCAAGTCCTTGCCGGCACGCTCAATCTTGGCCTTGCCAAAGGGAATGACAAAGTCGTCCTTCTGCGCAGCCTCGGACATGGGGAATGACTGGCCGTACATGAGCTCGTTCTCGAGGACGCAGACGGGGTTGGGGTCACGGATGGCGGCCTTGAGGAGACCCTTGGCGTCCTCGGCGCTCCAGGGCGAGACGACCTTGAGGCCCGGAATGCTTCCGTACCAGGCAGAGTAGTCCTGCGAGTGCTGGGCAGCGACACCGGCAGCGAAACCGTTGGGACCGCGGAAGGTGATGTTGCAAGGCTGGATACCGCCCGACATGTAGAGGGTCTTGGCGGCCGAGTTGACGATCTGGTCGATGGCCTGCATGGCGAAGTTGAAGGTCATGAACTCGCACTGCTATGGTTAGACAATCTGTTCCTGGCGGCGCTGATAAGGTCCACACGTACCACAGGGTGCAGGCCACTGAGAGCGGCACCAACAGCTAGACCAGTGAAGCCAGACTCGGTGATGGGGGTGTCAATGACACGCTTCTCACCGAAGCGATCCAAGAGACCCTTTGTGACCTTATAGGCACCATTGTACTGCGCAACCTCCTCACCCAGGATGAAGACCTTGGGGTTGGCCTCGAGCTCCTCAGCAAGAGCCTCGTTCAGCGCATCACGGACGGTGTACTCCTTGACGCCGGAGCCATCGGCGTACGCGCGGGTCTGCGAGGCGCCGTAGTAGGCGTTGCGTGCGAGGGCAGCGCGCGAAACCTGGGCCAGCGTCGAGGTCGAAGGGGCGATGGGAGCGCGAGGAGCGGCGGCCCGAGTGAGGCGCGCGGCCGGTCGGAGGATGCGGGACATGCTGCGAGAGGAGCGTCAATCGAACGCAGCGGCGGGTCTAGAGGAGGTAGGAGTAGACAGATGAGGGGATTGACGATGAGGTTGAGGATGGAAAGGTCCTGTCTGGCTGGCGTTTGTCGCTCGCCGTCGTGCTGGGAGGGAATTTCCGGAGGACGGGCAGGGCAGGGTCGGAGCTTCGTGATTGGCGCTCTCAACTTTTTTTCTTGGGGGCCCGTGCGTGGAGCTTAGGGGCCTTGGGCGCTGAAGCTGCCTGGTGCTAGTGGAGGAGCGCCCTGTACGATGTCGGTTGAATTCCGGCTGAGAATTGTTGGGATATCTACGAGCAGCAGCCGTCTTCGCTTTGGTTATCTGGATTTCATGAAGATGGACCGTAAAGTCGGTGTATTACTGGTACAGAGACGGCATTATTGATGCCCATAGAGACGACGCTGGACCAGCTAGTCCTCGTCGGTGCATTATTTGTCTCTCACTCTCTGCTGGAGCAGGCAAGATGCAAGATGGCTGCTTATCGATAGCCATAATCCAGACAGAGCTTCACGCATTCAGGGGCTCCGATTGCGGTTGAGAGACCAAGCAGTAATTAACGACAGACAGACAAATGCATTACTCGGATAATTAGCTGATTTTACAGAAAAGAGGTAATTATCATTGATTAAAGTATGTATGCTGCAAGCCGTCTAAACAAGCTCATGTCTCATCCGCTCTAAATCATGCAACCCTTTTCCCAATCCTTTTCCTTTTAACTTAGTTCCCTAGACCTCTTACTCGGGCTTGCGGCCAACCATCAGGTACATGGGAGTGAAAAGGTTCTCCTTGCCACCAGCAACAAGGCAGTCGGCAGCCCACGCCAGGCTGTCGGCAGTCTTCTTGGTGCCAGCAGGCGCCAGCCTCAAGGTCTCCATCAGGCCGGCGAAGCTGTGGGCCACGGCACGGCCAACGTGTGTCATGCGGAAGATGGTGAAGACATCGAACACGGACTGGATGTACTTCATTTCGCCAGACAAAGGCCAGTACCAGGGGAAAGGGTCATCGCGGATAGCCATGTCCTCGTTGCGCAGCAGCTCGAAACCGGCAGCCTTCATGGCGTCCAGGGCCTCCTCAATCTTGCACATGTTGGAGATGCCGTCACCCTGCTCGATGCCGAGGCGGATCTCGCGGTGGTGCAGATTGTCGTTGTCGTACTGGTCGGTCATGAGCCACTCGTACACACCAAAGGTGCCCCCAGGCTTGAGCACGCGGTAGATCTCGCTGTAGATGCCCTCCAGAGTGGGGGCGTGGACAGTGGCCTCGATGGCGTACACGGCGTCGAAGCTGTTGTCGGGGAACGACATCTGCATGAAGTCGCCCTTGACGTACTTGAGCTGGTTTGACAGACCCTCTTTGTGGGCGTAGTGCGTCGCACGCTCAATCTGGTAGTCATTGTTGTTCAGACCGGTGATGTGAGCGCCAGAGAACTTGGCAATCTCACGGGCAGGCCCACCGACACCGCAGCCAACGTCCAGCACGCGCATGCCTTCCTGGATGCCAATGGCGTGGGCGAGGTAGTGCTCGTGGCGGGCGATGGCCTGGTGGAAGGGCTCGCCGTAGGCGAAGCGGCAGAAGTGGAAGGACTGGCCCCAGCCATACTCGTAAAGATCGGTCGCCAGGTTGTAGTATTGCCTGGTCAAGGTGGCGTACTGGGCTTGACGTTCCTATCGAGGCGAGTTAGCGCATACCCCTCCATCTGGCGGTCTGGGACGACTCACAGCACGAGTCTCAGCAGTCTCGTCGGCAGCGCCCTTGTTATCCCAGTGCTTGAAGTACTCGTCGACGGCAGCACCCTTGGCAGAGGCGCCCTTGGAAAACATGGCAGCGATGCCGCCCCTGGCCTGGGCCGACTTGCCGTGGAGGGCCTTGTTGAAATCGGCATCGCGCTGGTGATTCTCCTTCTCGAGGTTGGACATTGTGGAGGAAGCCATGATGACTGCGGAGATATAAAGTGGTGCAGTTGATGCAAAAAGAGGGAGAATGGGGTGGTGAGAGTTGTTGGTACTCAATGGCACTGTGAGGAAGCTACCCGGACTTTTTATCTACTGCCTCTCTTGCAACCTTGGAATTAACACCAATTTCAGACAACCCCTTCTGGCCCCTGGATCTCGTTCGATCTTAGGACTCTGCCGAGACACTAATACCTAAGTAGTTTAGTGCCTGCCAACTTCGCCTCTTTGCAGCAGGCGGTCAAAATGTACACGAATACGAACGCGAATCAGGCTGCATCGTTTTCATGTGAACGCGCTGCCCCCACCACTGCACGATGCACTGTGGAAATTGAGTGGTGGAACACTGGAATGCCCCGAATCTACAATTTTCCATAGCCTTATCGATAAGACATGATCATCCGGGGACTGCTGAGTAATCACCAAAGGACGTCAGTCATTGTGAAGTCTTTGGGCACGCCACATTTGCGCAAGACTTTCTGTCGCCAACATTAGCATCAGCGCGCCGACGAGATGCCGCCTCAAATCAAGCAAGATCTGAATCGCTCAGGATGGGAGTCGACCGACTTTCCATCCGTGTGTGAGAACTGTCTTCCAGACAATCCATACGTGAAGATGTTGAAGGAAGACTATGGCGCAGAATGCAAATTGGTAGGTGTTCCCTGTCTGCCGGTCCGATGACATATTTGCTAACAAGCCAGTGCACACGACCATTCACAGTATTCGGGTGGAACGCGACGCGCTCCGCCGGTCGCAAGCAACGAACCAATATTTGCCTAACATGCGCCCGCCTCAAGAACTGCTGCCAGTGCTGCATGCTCGATCTCTCCTTCGGCCTTCCCATTGCCATCCGTGACGCAGCTCTCAAGATGGTCGCGCCAGGCCCACAGTCCGAGATCAACCGCGAATACTTTGCCCAAAACAACGAGAAGCTTATCGAGGACGGCCAAGGAACGGAGGAATACGAGAAGACCGATGATAAGGCACGAGAGCTATTGCGGAAGCTGGCCCAGAGCAAACCCTATTTCAAAAAGGGACGCGCCGTGGACGAAGCCGACATTGCTGCCGAGAGGAGCGGTGATGTTGCTGTGGGGGCGGGCATGGGTGGACCAGGTCCGATCCGAACACGAGACAGCCGCGCAGCCGCAGCTGCGGGTGCGAAAACGACAATGTCGGGGAGGAGTCGACAAGCGTTCCCCAGCGCGGCGCAGCTCCCGCCGACGCCTCGCGATTACATGCCCCCGGCCGATCCCAAGATCATGTCACTGTTCGTCACGGGAGTGGAGGACGACTTGCCGGAGCACAAGATCCGAGACTTCTTCAAGGCCTTTGGCAAGATCAAGAGCTTGGTCTGCTCCCACATGTCGCATTGCGCATTCATCAACTATGAGACACGTGAAGCGGCCGAGAAGGCGGCGGCAGCATGTCAGGGACGGGCCGTCATTGCTGGGTGCCCCCTCCGAATACGATGGGGCCAGCCCAAAGCTATTGGCAACATGGACAAGCAGGAGCGCGCACAGATGCTAGGTGATGCAAGGGTACAATCCAGGGCAAGGCAGGGCGGCCAACAAAAAGCGATTGAGGGGGGTTCATCGTCGTCACAAGCGAATGCCGTCCAGAGTACGGTGGCCGCGCCGCCGGGCGCAGAAGATACACCGCAATATGCGAGTCTGGCTGGAGACTAGGCCGCAACAGAGTGAAGCATGGCGCAGGGCGTTTGGGTTACATAGAGTATTTGCAGCATGGCAACGTTTCGCCTTTGAAATATGGGATGTGTCTCTATCCGAGATTATGGCATGGGTATCGTGATAGTGTACATGTTATACAAGCACAGGTGGACTACTGAGATTTGCAGCACCCGGTGCCCCCATTTTGGCCCTTTCCAGCCGTTTTGATGCTCTCGTTGTCGCCTCGCTCGGTGTCCTTGTGTATCCGAAGTTCTGCTGGTCAGCCTTCTGCAACGTGCCCATTTCCTGGAGAGGAACCTACTGTAGCTGTTCTCGTCGTCCTCGGTCTGCTTGCCTTGCACGATGTTCTGCCTCAATATCTGCGCCACAGACTCGGCATGAGCAACAGCGTCCTGGAGTTCGCTTGGTTCGGAGATGGTCGACCGCTGGCGGAATTCGTTGCGGATTTGTGTCTGGGCTGCCGAGAGCACGGGCGCATCGCCTGCTGTTGTGAGCTGCGGGAGTCTATGACGGTTGGCGCTTGTTCGTACCTTGAAAGGCGATGCGAGCGGCGCGCATCAAATTTCTGTAGGCAGCGAGGGACATGGCGCTGGTGTGAAGGTGCTGGATTGATAGAGTACTCAGAGGCCAAGTTTGTAATGCTGGAAAAGTTGTCGTCGGCCATTAAGTTAACTTGCGTCAAGTTAACTAATCGTATTATTCTGGCCTACCCTGTACAATTGGTTCTGCGTGCACATGAACGGAACATATTAATAAAGGCAGTAATACTACAGCCACATGATGCTAGACAATATTGAAGATTGGCGATCCGGAAATCACTGATAAAAACACCTAATTAAGGAGACATTTCTGACATGATTTGGTTGATTAGCGTCTAAGCCCTCCTCGCGCTCAAAATCCAGTTGAGCCAACTTTACAGTGACACACAATAACAACATTGAACCACTTCTGCGACGGGACAATAGGAGGCACAAAATCCACGCTGAGAATGTCTTTCTGGGCCTGCGTCGAAATGATCACAAGCTCAATAAAGACGTGCAGCCTCCCATTCTTCCGATGCTCATCACCCACGGCATCGCCGTATTACACTGTCGCAAAGATCTCAATAGCATTCGCGTCCTAGGAAATGCCTGGCAACTCGTGCAGCACGGGATGACACGTGTTGTTAGGAGCGCCGTGGTTGAGGATGGATAAGGGTGTGGTGAGGTCGCCCCAGCCCTCAAGGATCTCGTTCTGCACTACGCCAGGCTCAAGCTCCTTCACCGGTGGTCACATCAAGGTGAAAAGCGGCGACGCATCCGTTGACAGGCACCCATTTGCCCATGGATTTGGCGTTCACATCCAGCCCGATCACGTTGGCTCCGTCAATGGCGGGCTTGAGGGTCTTGAGGACGCCCTCTGGCCCGAGATGGCTCTCGTGGCGCGTGAGCAAGTCGAGGGCAGAGTCGAGTTTGCAACTCCTTCCAAAATCGGCACGCGAGCCTTACAGGAAAGACACACCTGGCTCAGGTTTCTCCCGTGAAACATCAATTCAAGTTCTTTGACAAGCGAGTATAGATGACGCTGTGGGCCGGCTTCTGGGATACACAGATTGTCCTTGCGCACGGAGCTGCGATTTGCGGCCAAGAGCTCGAGCTAGCCAGAATTCTGGCAGTTGTCGGACTTTGGGTCATTTTGAATGGATATCGTTCTATCGTTGAAATAACAGAGAACGCCCTTAATATCTGGTCAACTTCGCTCGTCAACACATGTATTCGATGTGACTCCTAATGGAAGCAGGATGCAAGTAACATTATGTCGAGGACATGTACTTATTTGATATTGAATCATCAGAATGAACTATCTTACAATGAATAGCGGGATATTAATTTAAGTAACAATATTATGTACGAGATTAGGTGAATGTGCTAGGCTTTCCTAGCCCTTCGTTCGTGGAAGTATCACCAAGTGCTCAGTATATTTATTGTGTCGTGTCACTCGTGTGTTACTTTCTTCCACGCGCGTACGAAACCAACCTGCATTCCCTGAGCTGATCATCCCATCAACATGCATCTAGGCCTTCTCGAAGCCAAGAACAAGGCCGCCGCGGCCCTGACCCGTATTCTCGAACAAATGGTATCCAGCATGCCTATATTGGCGGCTATGCAGTCAACGGATTGGGCCAAGATCGCCAGACCGACGATATTGACATCTTGACTGATATCGAACAACAAGAACATGAAACCAGCGCTCCAAAACTTGGTTCAGCTTCTATTGGATGCTGATGCAAGATTCTCTTTAGAGACCTACAAGCTCACCTTCACACACGATACACATCGCATTCCTGTTGAAACTCTACCGACAGGGCAATTGGGTCTTCCTCGCCAGATCAAGATAACCCAACACTGAATCGGTGAAGGTAAGTGTTGACTTGGCTATCTCTGGGCAAGAGTATTGACCAAGTACTAATCGCATAGCCATGATACCCATCCTGCGACCCGATATTCTGGTTCTCACGAAAATCAAACGCTGTGTTCACTACATCGGTTCCACTAGACCAATATCTGCCCTAAAGTTTGAGTTTGACCTTTCTGATATCGTCTTTATACTGCGTTGGCTCAAGTCACATGGCCAGACGGTTGATTTCGACGCCTATGATACCCCTGACGAGAACAGAGGGCGTCTGTATGCTGCACTGAAAGACCTTGCAGACTACTGGCAGGATGATGCCTACAGAGATGAGATGGGGTTACTCCAAGCTACACTGTCACAAAAGGACAGGGAAATACTGAAAGTTTAAAGTAAACTATGCGGACTGGGGGGTTATCATCGCAGCAGGACACGTCGTCACTCAATACTCAAATAGCTATCTTGGAAGAACTCGTAAACTACAACAAATACTACACACAGAGATTGAACAAATAGTCAATGTTCCAATGCACATCTGACTAAGTAATATAGAGTGATTCCTGATGCTGCTTACGTGTAACTTCCGTCGAGGTATCATGAAGGAGATCGAGGAACATCAATAACCAGGCGCAAAGTTCAATCAAAGTCTTTTATTCTATTGTAAACTACTGTTATAGTTGACTCCGCGCATTCAAGTTCCTTTCCAGCGGGCTGGCGGTCTTCTTTGGCAGGGAGAGACTTATATGGCACCCCCTTTGTCACGACATCTACCAGAGAACTCGCGATCCATTCTTCTCCTGGTCGCATTCTCCAAAACTCAATGACTTCACGTGCACGCTCCAGCTCCGCCTTTTCATTTTCCGACAGGGGAACATCATTGGGAATGCTTTCCTCATAGTCACCCTCATAGGAGCAGTCGAACAATGCATAAGCCACCAAGCCTGCCAAGTCTCGAATGGTCTGTTTTCGTAGTTGGCTGTGGCGTGTAGTCTCTGATGCTATTCGCACCAGAGCCGCGCTCATAAAGTCGAGAGAGGAACGGTCCATACTGGTGTTGGTGGCGATGAAGGTCGAAGACTGGGAAGACTGTCGCGCTTTAACTCGTCTAGACTGACATGTGCCCACGAAATAGGTAAGACAACCAGCCTCCCGTAACGAGTCTGATATGTAGATATGTCGCCCATGATGAATCGTAGTGCACAGTCAGAGTACTCGCAGGTCAATCCAGGACATACATGGAGGTCGTCAGCTGGCTTGCAGCCCTCTTCCAAGGCGATACTCCGAACAAGGGGAAGTTGTTGATCTGGCACCAGGAAGGAAGAGTCCTGGGTTTGTCAGAGAACAAATTGATAGAGGGTCTAGGGAGAACTTACCAGACCGGTGGTGAGAGGACATCCTAACCGACAAAGGGCATTCTGGTCCCATTCCACGAGGTCTATCTCGGCAGCGGCGAAGCGATGGAGAAGTGACTGGGCTTTCTGCTGGAAGTACTCCATGATGCGTAGGAAGAAACAGCCGTCAATATTTCGCGACAATTGGCTTGGATAAGTCGAGGGATCAAGTTGAGTTTCACTTCAAGCCTCCATGTCGTGTTAGTGACATCGGCCCAACAAGGCTAGACACAGTGTCGATGTGGTAATACACCGTGCAGCCTCAACCCCCACCCCCACCTAAAAAAATATTCCAAAAGCCTCAGGCTCTACCTTCGAGCCCAGGCCCTGTCTTCATATCTATCACCATCATCAACCGTCACGATGGCTCTCCCTCTCCTCCCCGCAGACTGGTCCGCGGACAAGGACTTCAAGCGTCTCAACGCTTTGTCCTCCGCTTCTGAGCGCACCATTGAGCCCGTTGGCCCTCACTTCCTCGCCCACGCCCGCCGTGCCCGCCACAAGCGTACCTTCTCTGAGGACGACCGCATCCAGGCCCAAGAGAAGGCCCGCAAGACCGAAGATGTCGACGATGGCGAGATCTCCGAGCCTGAGGATCCCATGGACCTCCAGCGCGAGGCCAAGGACTGGAAGACCCAGGACCACTACAAGATCCTCGGCCTCAGCAAGTACCGCTGGAAGGCCAGCGAGGACCAGATTAAGAAGGCTCACCGCAAGAAGGTCTTGAAGCACCACCCCGACAAGAAGGCCGCCCAGGGCTCTACCGAGGACGACCAGTTCTTCAAGTGCATCCAGAAGGCCACCGAGGTCCTGCTCGACCCTGTCAAGAGGAGGCAGTACGACTCGGTCGACGAGGAGGCCGACGTCGACCCCCCGACCAAGAAGCTCTCCGGCAAGGACTTTTACAAGGCGTGGAGCAAGTTCTTCAAGGCCGAGGCGCGCTTTAGCAAGGAGCACCCCGTCCCCACGTTTGGCGACGAGAACGCCTCCAAGGAGCACGTCGAAGACTTTTACAACTTCTGGTACAACTTTGACTCGTGGCGCACCTTTGAGTACCTCGACGAGGACGTCCCCGATGACAATGAGAACCGCGACCAGAAGCGCCACGTCGAGCGCAAGAACGCCAACGCCAGGAAGAAGAAGAAGGCCGAGGACAACATGCGTCTGCGCAAGCTGCTCGACGACGCCTCCGCCGGCGATGAGCGCATCAAGAGATTCCGACAAGAAGCTAACGCCGCCAAGAACAAGAAGAAGGCGGACCGTGAGGCGGCCGAGAAGAAGGCTATTGAGGACGCCAAGGCCAAAAAGGAGGCCGAGGAGAAGGCGAAGGCTGAAGCAGAGGAGAAGGCCAAGGCTGAGCGCGAGTCGTCCAAGAAGGCCAAGGAGGCGGCCAAGAATGCCGTCAAGAAAAACAAGCGTGTTCTCAAGGGCAGTGTCAAGGATGCCAACTACTTTGCCGAGGGCGACGCAAGCGCCGCCCAGGTTGATGCCGTGCTCAACGACGTCGACCTCGTGCAGGCCAAGATTGACCCCGATGAGATTGCGGCGCTTGCCAACAAGCTCAACGGTCTCAAGGTCTCGGGTGAGATCAAGAGTGTCTGGAGCGACGAGGTCAAGAGGCTCGTCGAGGCTGGCAAGCTCAAGGAGGGTGACGCTAAGACTCTTGCTTAAGTGTTCTACTTCATGATGAAAACACGACGCAGATAGTTGGCGAGGGGATACATAGATAAAAAAACAGTATGAGTATGGAGTGACGATGCTTTCGGTGCCCTTATGCATGCAATGCGCAAGTAATTAAATCTACCATTAAGCCTCCCGATCCAAAGACTGCCCGAGCACCATTTCCCAGTAAATGCCTTTGTTAGCAATCAGCTCCTCATGCGTTCCCGCCTGCACCACCCTCCCGCGCTCGAAAACGACGATGAGATCCGCGTCGCGAATGGTGCTCAGCCGATGCGCCACGGCCACCGTGGTTCGTCCCTCCGCAGCGCGATCGAGAGCCTCTTTGACGATTTTCTCAGACTCCGTATCGAGCGCCGAAGTCGCCTCGTCGAGGAGGAGCAGGCGTGGCTGGCGGATCAATGCTCTGGCGATGGCGACACGTTGTCGCTGGCCGCCAGAGAGGGACAGCCCTTGGTGGCCGCATGGGGTACCAAGGCCATCTGGCAGACTAGAAATGAAATCCCAGACATTCGATTGTCGACAGGCATCGATCACCTCGTCATCTGTTGGTTCCCGGTCTTCGATGCCGAGCGCGACATTCTCCCGTATGGACCCTTGGTAGAGTACGGGTTCTTGCTGCACGAGCGCAACGTCCTTTCGATAGAAGCGTCGGTCAAGAGTCTTGATGTCGTCCTTGTCACTCGATATCACGCCTGCGGTCGGGTCGTAGAATCGCTGAAAAAGGGCAATCATGGTGGACTTGCCGCAGCCACTCGCGCCGACAAAAGCGACCATTTTCGAGCTCTCAATGTCTACGGAAATGTCTCGGAGCACTTGCACCTTGGGTCTCAACGGGTATGCAAACCCGACGTCTCTCACCTCCACGTGCGTTCCCTTTGCGTTCTTCTCATCTTCCTGCCCGTCGTCATCGACCGGAGCATCGTGAAGGAGACGGTTGCGTCTCATGGCGAAGATATAGTTCATGGCCGTGCGTGCCTTGGTGATACTGGTGGTCCACTGGAAAAAGAGGGCAGCCGACTCACCCGAAAAGACGACGGCAATAAACACGGTGTAGAAGGTCCCCGTCGAGTACTCGCCCGTGCTCACGAGGCGGCCACCATACCAGAAACCGAGCGCCATCACCAGGAAAGAAATACTCTGACTCAGGGAGTAGAACAGCATGCGCCATCCCAACCCTCCGATGGACTTGGCGGCGATACCCTCTAAAGCCGATCGGTACCTGGAGATGATGGCGGACTCGAGTGCCAGTGACGACACAGTCCGGATAGCGAGGACAGCCTCGGACGCGAGTCCACTGGACCGCGAGAAACGTTTCGCCGTCTCGTCGTCGAACGCGAACTCGAGCCGGATCCTGACATACCCCGAGGCCACGAGAACCGGCAACGCGCCTAGGGCAAGCACAAGTCCCAGTTTCCATCCGTAGACAATGGCGAGAATCGAGCTTGCCAGCAGGTTCGCAACGTTGACTAAGAGAAGCGCCAGATTCATGGACACAAGCTCTGTCAAGCTCGTCGGCTCCGCGGACAGTCTCGACACCAGCGCGCCCGTCGAGTGCTCCGGCTGGTCAAAGAACAGCATATCCTGGCGCAGGGTGTCGTTGAAGAGCTCACCCCGATACCGCGTCATGACATGCTGCGCAACGACGTTGGACACCCATCCTGCCACCGCATAGGCCACAAAGTTCCCGCACGCGACCACAAAAAACATGAGGCTGAAAAAGTTGGCTTTGGACACGTCAATGGTCTCAAAGGCCTCCATGGTCTTGGCGAAGAGGACGGCGAGGGCGGGATACGTCACGCCACCAGCGATACAGGCAATGGCCACGACGAAGAACGCCCACCAGAGCATGGGGTTCTCGGCGAGAATCAACCAGAGGCCGTGGAAGAGGGAGTATGATTCTTCATCTTTGATTTCGAGAGGCCCGCCTGCGCTGGCGCTTGTTGAGACGGTCGTCAAAGGTCTGTCCAGGTCATCTCCATGAGCATCCACCTCGGGTCCTGAGCCTTCCTCGAGGGTACGAGAGCCCAGGTCCTGCGCCTTGACGAGACGCGCATATACTCCGTTTTGAGCAATCAGACTGTCGTGGCTGCCCTGCTCGATCACTTCACCCTTTGCCATGACAATGATATTGTCCGCGTCTCTGATCGTGCTCAGGCGGTGCGCAATGACGACCATGGTCCGCCCCTTTGCGACATTGTTCAACGCCAGCTGTACAATCTTCTCGGCCTTGGGGTCCAGAGCACTCGTGGCTTCGTCCAGCAGCAAGACCTTGGGGTCGGATATGATGCTTCTTGCAATCACGATGCGCTGCTTCTGGCCCCCTGACAAGGAGGCCCCGCGCTCGCCAATCACTGTGTCGTAACCCTGGGGCAGATCGGAGATGAAGTCGTGGGCAAACGCGGACTTGCAAGCGTTCTCTACGCGGGCACGTTTGTCTTCGTCTGGGATTGTGGAAAGGGGCGTGCCAGTCAAGCCGTCGACGATGTTCTGGTAGATTGTCCCACTGAAGAGGGTGGGCTCTTGCTGTACCAACCGGATGTTCGTCCGCAGCCACTGCAGATTGAGGTCCTTGATTTCTTGTCGATCGAGTGTAATGCTCCCTGCAGAAGGCGTGTACCATCGCTCCAGCAGGCCGAAGATGGTGCTCTTCCCGGAACCACTAGCGCCAACTAGAGCAGTGGTCTTGTCAGCGGGTATATCTAGATCCAGACCATGCAACACAGGTACATCCTTGCGGGTGGGATACGCAAACTTGACATCCCGTAGCTTGATGTCACCCTCGAACCCATCAATGGTGGCACCCTCGGGCGAAAGTGAGTCAATGTTTGATTTCCGGTCGATGATGGCAAAGATATCAGAGGCTGCGGCGGTAGCTTTCGAAATGGCGATTGTCTGTGGCGCGATCTGTGTCAACGCCTGGGCCGCGACCAGCACGGCGAAGATGACGGTGACGACGGTGCCCGGTTGGGTGATTTCGCCCTCGGAGTACATCCTCATGCCCTGCCAGAAGGCGAGGGCATAGCCCGCGAAGATGCAAAAGAACTCAACTGGGAAGAGGATGGCATAGATGAGGGACTTGACGGCACCGACCTGAGCCGCTTCTTCGAGGATGGCGTTGAACCGACGTGTGAGCTTGGGAAACGCCCAAAAGGCATGGGCTGTGCGGATTGTGCCAAATGCTTCCTCGGCAAGGGAGCCTGACTTGCCGTAGATGTCAAACATCCGATACTCCACGCCTGTGTCCCAGATGACACAAATGATTGTGACGACAATATTGACAGGGACAATGGCGATGATGATGAAGGTGAGCTTCCACTGCACGGCAAAGGCCACCACGAACGCGGCGACGAACTGCGAGATTGCTTGAATGGTGAGGCCAAGCTTCTCAGAGATGCCATTGTTGATGAGGTTGCCATTTGTGGTTACCTGCCCTGAGACGGAAGAGCTCGGTGAGTCAAAGAAGGGCACCTCTTGACGGAGGAGGGACGTGACGAAGGCGATGCGCAGTTCCTTTGTCGTCCGTATAGCGGTGAGGTTGATCAAGAAGGTCCAGATGTAGGTAGAGACGAATTTTCCGATGAAGAGGTAGATAAAGTAGAGGCTGCTCTCGTAATTAGTTTGTCTCTGCGGAATAAGATGTGACAAGGGGCAACACACCTGTGCTTGTCGACCTCACTACGATAGCCACTAGGCGACAGCTGGCCCGTGGCAAAGTCGTTGAAGACATTGATGAACTTCCCAAAGATGACGTCCATCAGTGGTAGGACTGTGCCCGAAAGAATCATAGAAAAGACGGCAATGATGTTCAGGATCCATCCTCGAGCGTCGTTGTAGGTGAAGACACGCTAATAACCCATGCTGTCAATGTGTGACCGGCGGTTTTGACCCTCCAGTCCCTCCTCGTGGGCGCCACTTACCAGAAAGAACTTGAAGCTCGAATCACTAGCCTTCACTTCTTCCTGCGCTGGCTCGCTCGCAGGACCAGGCGCCTTGTCCTCTGGCGAGGCGAGAGCTGTGGTCGACAGTGCTAGAGGTCCAGAGGCCTCGTTTCTCTCCTTTTCGCTCATCTCGTCAAAGCGTGGGATTGCATGGCAACGTAAAGGGAGCAATGTGGTACCTGGATCGAAATGGCCTCTTTAATCAACGGCGCGAGGATCAAAGTCGTCAACCGACACAGCCTGGACTCCTTCGCTTAAGATGCACGTAAGACACAATTTACCAAATCCGATCGCAATCAAGCTCCGCCTGGTTGCGCTAGGCCAAATCGAGATGCTTCAAAGCTTATGCCGCCGTGAAGGACATGGTTTTCACTGGTTCGAAAGCGAGCGTCGAGGTCATTGACCCCACACTCCACCCCCCAGTCGAGGCTAGCTTTGACCCTTTTTAACGGCTCGGTGTCCGCGGGCGTCCGCGAGTTCAGCGACGGCTAGGATAGAAGAAACGTAGGATGCACGCACTGCTCACACGCACATCATCACAAAGCTGCCTACAGCAAAAGACGCGGCCTGATAAAGGCTCCTCAACCAGCCTTGGCGACGATTACGCAAGCCAACCTTGAACCGTGCCCCTCATGCCGGTAGCCGCGTGGTGAGAGTTGAGTGAACGCCGGAGCAAGCACAGCCGCCTCGAGTTGAGCATTGAGAGGTGGCGCAGAGCCTGTTTGAACCGGCAAGCGACATTTGTCTCGTCAGGTAGAAAAGAGATATCATTCGCCTTTCGACTCTCGCGGCAAGGGGGACCTGTTTCAAGTCCTACGGCATCCCGTGGATACGCAGTCAGTACCCGACTTTGTGCGCCTCCACTGGCGTCTGTCTGATCGCTAGATTCGGGCTTGGTTGCGGATCCTTAGGAACGCGGCATGTGTACTGCACTTTAACTGACAAACAGCCCTACTGCATATTCCGAATGAGTGCTCCGGACGCTGCTGGCGGAGGAGCCCTTGGAGGGGGACGTGATGGTGCTTCCTTGTCCGCGGGCGCCGACGACCCCAATCGACGAGCGGTAGGTGCATGCGTTCTGGTGTCTTTGCCCTAGTACAGGGACGACTTGTGCCAGTCATGGGCTCGTGCTTGTAGATGCTGAGAGAGACCGTACTAACGCGTGCAGTGTGATCAATGCCGGATGCGAAAGGTACGTGCGTCTTGCAGGACGGCTAGTTACCATTGTCCAAGACACGAGAGCTGATGATAGTGACTCTTGCAAGATCCGTTGTGACAAGGACTATCCGTGCGCAAACTGTCGCACCGCCAAACGCCCATGTACATCGACAGGTCAGGGACAGCGACCAAAGGAGCCGAGACAACGAGTCCTCATCTCGTCGCAGTAGTACGCACCTCCACCACCCGGCACACCCCCTCATCTGCACTCTGTTGACATGGGAATCATAGTGAGAGAAAGATTGATCAGATTGAGTCCCGGCTAGGGACCATCGAGAGCCTGCTCAAGAACATCTCGTCCTCGGGCAGCAGCTCCGTCACCCATCACGCGTCGACCCCATCGTCGCACCCCACAGCGTCCTCTCAGGACAACTTCGAAGAATCCTCCGACGATGACTCCGTCGGTGGCGATGCGGGCTTTGCCTCGCAGACAGCTTTTGCGACCGAGTTCATTGAACATGCCGTGCAGCGCACATCCCTGCGTGAGGTGAACCCCAACGTCAACGCCGCCCTGAACAACCTTCGGCAGCTTGTCGAGGTGCAAAAGGGGAAGAGCATCAGTCATGGCCCGCGGTTCCCCCTCCAAAAGTCGCTTCCACCGGGAGGCGTCGTGAAGCTTCCCCTGCCGCCTCTTGATGTGGTCGTCGGTCTTCTGAAATCAGCAAAGCACTCGGCACCGTCTCTCTTCTCCTTGACCTGTAGCATCGTCGGGATACGCGACTTCTCGAACCTCTGTCGCAATGTCTATTTCCCCACGGACGACGTCAGCCCAGCAATGTGGGCGATTGTCAACTCGGGTCTGTACAACCTGTTCATGGAGGAGTACTCGCTAGCCGACGATGTGGCCAAGAGGGACATGTACCACGAGTATGGGCTCGTCGCGCAAGCAAACCAGGAGACGTTCCTGGCAAACCTGCCTTTGTTCCAGAGTGCCAAGGTTGAAAACGTGCAAGCGCTGGTGATCGGGGTAAGTCTGACAGTCGTCGTTGGCCCTCGCTCTTGTCTGATGCAAAGTAACTGTAGGCCCAATACGCAATTGACGTGTGTCGCCCCAGCGTAGCCTGGCACCTCAACTGCATGGCTGCCCTGCTCTGCCAGGCCGGTGGGTTCCATCGTGCCGAGGTGCTCGCCAACGACCCGCCCAAGGTCGCCCAGGTCAAGGCCATTGTCTTTTGGCAAGTGTACACCTGGGACAAGGCTCTCTCGCTCCGGCTTGGGAGGGCGAGTGTCATGAAGGACTATGATATCAGCATTCCGGAAGGGGCCAGCTATGAGGGCTTCAAGCATCTTGAAAAAAGTGATGCCCCCCAACTGTGGCTCACAGTCTCCAAGTTCCAGGGCAAGACGTTTGAAGACTTGTGCGTTTGGTCGAGACTGCCTAAGTATGCGCTGCTGACAACGGACAGATATTCGCCCGCTGCGCTCAAAGAATCCAGAGAAGAGCTATCCCATCGTGCACAGTCGCTGGCAGTGGATTGTCGTGGACTCTGGGAAGAAGTGCAAAAGTCACGCGACGAGACAATCACATATCTCCGGGCCATCAACACCTCGAAGCTCGTCGACATCTTCATCATAGGCGACGAGATCCAGTTCCTCTCCTTGCTCACCATGGTGTATCGCGCCATCCCTGCCCCGCCGGGGTCGCCGAGTCGCTTCAACAATGAGTGCCTCGAGACAGCGCGCAAGTGCATCACGGCGCATCAGACAGGCATGGGATTGCTGACGCACGGAGCTTATGTGAAGAGCATATACGTACACTGGAACCTGATGCTGACACCCTTTGCGCCCTTCTTCGTGCTCTTCTGCCACGTCATCGAATCATTGTCGAGCCACGATCTTGACCTTCTCCAGCAGTTCGTCGACTCAATCAATCGTCTTCGGGACGCCTCGGAGCAGGTCGAGAAGCTCTATCGCGTCTTCCAGGTCTACCGCGACGTGGCCATGGTCTACGTCGACGCCAAGTCGCAACAGCAGGAGGACCAGACCATGGTCCCCATTGGAGACGAGCTCGACATGTACCTCTCGCAGCTGGGCTTCATGCCAGGGCTAGACCAGAATATGGCGGCGTCCCACCCCTCCACGGGCACCCCCATGATGCAGACATCTGTGATGGGTGGACAGCAGACCCAAATGGCGGATTGGTTCTCCGGGAATCGAAACATGTTTGGCCTGATGGAGGAGGATCTGTCGCAGATGAATACGCTGGGCTACATGCCGTCCGAACACATGGCGCCTGGCGACCAGCAGATGTAGAATGTCGTTTATCGGAGTCTTGGGAACCACCCTCCATGTTCAGTCTGTCGGGTATCGCGGATCGTAGACCTCGTAGCCTTCATCTTCCGTATCGCTCTCCAACGGCTCGGCGTTAACCAGTGATGGCCGATTATCCACCACCACCTTGGGGACCTCGGGAGTTCCCTCTATCTTCGTAAAGGCGCTCTTGAAACCACTCTTCTTGAACCCGCCTTTCTTTACCGTCCCCTCGGTGGCCGGCACCACCTTGACCATGCCGTCCGCCTTTGCCTCGGCCTTCCTCGCTCTTTCGACGGCGGCGGGATCACGCACCATGGCCTTCATGTCCTTCAGTCGCTGCTTGTGGGAGTGGTCATAGCTCGAGAGGTGGGCTTCGTAGTCGTTCATGCGCGAGTAGCCTTTGTTGCAGAGACTGCAGTGGAACGCCTGTCGCGCTTCGCGCGCCGACGACGTTGCGGCCGCTGGCAGAGTCTGGTGTCGCTGTGTCATTGAAGTTAGCCTTGCACAATGGAAGAATTCCGTGGCGGCTTACAGGTGGCATGGCGCTGATGTTGATGGTGGAGTGAAGCTCTGAAGCTCGGGGACATCAAATTGGGGTATCGTGGTTGGCTGCTCGGGCCAACATGGTGCACGGTACCTGGATTACCCCGGACCAGCATTTGGAGACGTCACCAATCGCCCGGTGACGACCGGACTCAACACCGACATTCTCCCCTTCATGTCCCACTGGGATCCTCCTCAGTACGCAAGGGTAGCTCAGACAGCTACAGCGTACATTGACGCCATGTCCGACCGACGCGACTCGCTGTCGACCAATGTGTCGCTATTACAGCTCGACCCATCGCCCATAGATTCCCCCGAAGTCGAGCGCCCAGTTCCACTGCTTGAAGATGAATCCTCTGAAGACCTAGAGAGCTCGAGCGCCTCACTACCCTCGAAAGGCTCAGCTTCAGCCCCTGGCCTTAGTGGCTCAGGACGTGGCTCCATCTACTACCGTACGTCTTCCTTCTGGGCGCCCAGTTCACAGCGACTGACAAGAACAGTGACACGCGTACAAAAGTACTCGTCGTATGCGATGAACACCTTCTTTGCCCTCCATATTACAAATGTCTCGATTCTCCCAGCGATAACAGGGTCCGCCGACGCCTCGGAGACATACCTCCTCATGACGCGCGAAATCTACCAGACCGCAATCACGGAGCCGCTCCTTGTCGCCCTACCTGCGATCCTACACATCGGTTCCGGCATAGCATTGCGTCTGGTACGCAGATCGCAGAACGTGCAACGATACGGGACGACAACCCCAGGCTTCTGGGCCGTGGGAAGCCACAGGAAACGCATGAGCCCCTGGCCAGAGATGAGCTACATCTCATTATCAGGGTACGCCTTGAGCTTCTTCTACTCGGCGCACGTGCTTGTGAACCGCATCCTGCCGCTGGCCGTGGAGGGCGACAGCTCAAATATTGGACTCGCGTACGTCGCACATGGTTTTGCCAGAAGTCCCTGGATATCAGGTATTGGCTACGCCGGCCTGATCGGCTTGAGCGCGGGCCACATTGTCTGGGGCTCGGCCAAGTGGCTGAATCTCGCACCCTCCACCCGGGGTTGGTTACAGAGGCGGAATGGAATAGAGGCGTCGGCTGTTGTAGACAAGAAGACCCGCAAGGAGAGGCGGCGCAAGTGGCTCGCTGTGCAAGGCGTGGCGGCGCTTGTAGCTGGCCTCTGGGCTGTCGGGGGCCTGGGTGTTGTTGCCAGAGCGGGCGCCAGCGATGGTTGGATTGGGAAACTGTACGATGGCATGTTCATGAGGATCGGTGTGTGAGCTGTGGAATACCCATGCATTGTGATGGCTTCAGGGTGTCGCCTATGGATTACGTCTTGTATATACGAGGTGCAGGGCAGAATCTAATCCTGTAAATTTTCATGCAAGGAACGCTGGCCTGTCTCATACCAGCTTTGGTCGACTGTTGGGGTGACCTTGTGCAAGATAATGGCATTTCCCAGCCAGCCTTAACTAGGAGCGCCTGCGAAACTTCCACTCGAGCAATAGGTGTAGGGCACAGTTTGGTGTATCACGCTAGAAATGAAGCAAGGTGGTGTATCAAATGCAAAGGAAACGTCAAGACCAGGCATGCTGTAATGTCGGTAAAGCAAGGGGTTGATGGCTCGCGATAAAACGGGCATGCAGAAAGGGTGGCGGTCCTAATACCTCCCATCGCTAGCCTTACCGCAAACCTTGGATGTGGTTCATGACAAACCCATATCCGCCACTTCTTTTTTATGTGCTGCTCTTTTCTTCACCACCTCTCTGACGCACTTTCAAAGCGGGCAACGGCCGTCCAACTACTGCGACCGCAACGCCCGCCAACCCAGTGCGATGCATCTTAAACGTCGTCGCTCTAGCTCAAGCCATGAACCCAGCAGCGCTCCCGGTGCCACAGCCAGCTCCACGCAGCAGCAGCAGCAGCGAAAACGCGCCCGTCCCTACTACGAGCCGCCTTTGCATGATTTGATTTCGCGGCTCCCGGCCGAACTCCTCGTCAGAATACTCTCCAACCTCCCCGAATCGACACTCATTTCCATCGCGCCGGTCTCCAAGCTCTTCCACCGCGTCACGAGCGATGCGCACTTATGGCGGGGACACTACTATCGACGCTTCATCCTCCCACGCGCGCACTTGATTCCTGGCTTTCGCAAAAGTCCGACAGCTGTTACGACGGTATCGACGAGTCCGAGAAAGAAGAGCGGGGGCAAAGAGCAGGAGAACGTGGACTGGAAGAGTGCGTACAAGTTACTGCATAATTGGGCACGGGGGCGCTGCGAAGTGGACGAACTTGAGCTTCACCAGCAGCCGAATACAGGGAAGACGCTAGTCAAGGTTGTCGAGGGTCTGGCCATCACAGCGGATGCGGCGTCTGGGCTAATTATATGGGATCTGCGAACACGTCTACCGGTTGCACGAACGAAACTAGGCAACGATGCACGACCAATGTGTCTGGCTGTGGACGAGGAGGCATTGTCGGAGGGGGAAGTCGGCATCGCCGTGGGTTTTGGTGATGGTACATTGGGTGTGTGGAGGACGGACCTGGAACGAAACTGCCTTGTACTCAAGTGTCGGACGACGGACAAGAAATGCTGCGGGATAGAAGGGGCGGCATATTGCCATCCTTTCATCCTGGCAGCGTCGGGAAAGGGACAGATCTTTCTGTACACGCTCGACCATTTAAAGCGCCACCAGCCTCACCTACTGCGGTCACTGAGGTCGCAGACGGTCCGATCGCCAACGGCTTTGTCCATGCGGCGCGTCGGGGTGTCAGTGGTGGCATCGATTGCATATACGATCGAGTCCATTGACGGTTGGGCCATTGGGGTTCAGGATCTGGATATCATGTCTAGGCCAGGGCATATCCTACCCGAAGTTGTCCACTCCAGGGTTGGGCACAGTCCGCCAAGCGGGATAGCAGGCAGGCCCGGGGGCCTGTGCTATAGCCACCCTTACCTCCTGGCAACCTTGCCGGACAACACGCTCTTGTTGCATCTGTGCACCGCAACAGCCGCAAAGCTCACAATCAGCCCGGGCATCCGGCTATGGGGACACACCTCCGGCATATCCGACGCCGAAATCACCCCCCGGGGCAAGGCTGTGAGCGTCAGTGCCAAAGGCGACGAGATTAGGGTCTGGGAGCTGGAGGGCCGGCTGGGTGGCCGCAGCATTGAGGTCCGCCCACGATTGCCGGATAAAGAAGCAGCAACAGGTTCAGTCGGAGTGCTGGACCAGGAGATGAAGAACAAGGTCGGCTTTGACGAGGAGATGGTGATTGTGCTGAAGGAGCAGAGCGATGGACGCGAAAGCCTCATGGTCTACGACTTCAGATGAGGTCATCTCCGTCCGCGGAAGGGGGTCGACATAACATCCAAACCAACACGGCACTTGGGGAGGTACATGGAAGACAAGTAGGGGTACAAACAGGGAGAGGGACGTGGCCCTGAAACTCAAACATGCCCTACGAGAACAACGACAGACTCCGGACCGCTGGTAAACATCAATGTGCAGGGGATCCTCGGGTAGAAGCTAGCCACGACCGCAGGTGCGCGGCCAGTGTGAATCTCCACGAGTAGCCAAAGGTTTTGAATCTGGCCTCATCGGCCCTATTCCTGACGCACTGGCGTTGACAGGGTCCTCTCGCGAAGAAAGCACATGCCAATATCCAAGTGGCCTCTCGCCAGATGCGATGGGCTGCTTGGTAATGGATGGCCATGGGCTCCAGACCATTCTTCGCTACCGATGAATTGGAGACGACTTAGCCCCTTGAGTCATCGCTTGATAGACCTCGTTTGGCCGGGCTCTCTGAGCTTTTGGAGTTCCGCGATGCTCAGAGTGGCATATCAATCCAGGGCGGACAGGCTACGCTGTTTATTCAAGGCTTAAGGCAGAAGACATCCTGGCCACCCAGGCCACGGCTCAGCGTTCCGAGGAGTTTCCAGCGCCGACAGTTGATCACCACTATTAGTTTTGCTGGGAAAGCATACATCGGACTCGGCCATATACCGACTTTCTGACTTCAGGTGGTCAGTGATGGTGCCTGCACTGCGTCTGAAACTCTACGCTCTGCGTGTTCCTTTCCGAAGCCTAGCAAGATAACCTAGTGCATTCGTCGCGGTGGATAGCACAAGGTTGATAGCAACTGGTACTATCCGGCTGCTACTCCCTCTCCAGAACCAGTTGAGACCCAAGAGGACGGCCGGAGCGGGAATGACAGGATGAAACATTCAATGAGAGACTGAAATCCGGTATTGGGTTTTTTTATCCGAGAACAGGGACGTTTTTCACCTCACCCAATGTCCGCTGAGCAAATGTCCTGCTGGGAGACATACCATTTTGCCCAGCAAGGGACATGGACTTCAAGTGCGAGCTTGCCACTCGACCCTTTGGCTCGGAATGGTCAAGCGCTATTCGGGGCAATTGAGTCGGAGGATTTGTGTGAACACACGTGGCACTGCTACCGCGCTCAGTCTGGTAATGTGGGAGTGGACTTTCCATTGGGTATTTCAGGGTCTGTGATCTCGGGTTGACCGTTGACACCTGGACACCCGGAGGCACCGAAGTGAGGCAGAGAGTCGACCTATGTCTTATGCTGCCAATTGGCACAGACAATGCGGAAATGACAAGATCACCAAATGATATGGAATGTTCGCTCCATGTAGACACTGCATTTTCTGTTATTCTTCCCGCGATGCGAACCTTATCGGCCATAAATGAGTAAAACCAATCCAACAGCTGTCGAGTGCCCTAATCGTGTCACGCATCCATGTGAAACATGATCATCAAGTGGAAGGAGGAAGAACAGCCCGGGTTCAAGTGTTTTCTACTTTTAGCGATGCATCTACCAGCTCAATCTACTTGTATCGAAATGAAAGAAAACCTTTCAGATATAGGTTTGACTCTGTGCCGCGCCGAAGCGATTTGCTACACTAGCCATTCATCTTACACCAATTCACCGCGACTACTACCCAAGACAAGGCTACCAAAGTAACAGCCTCAGTCCGTCCAACTATGGGATCGGCATTTCGACTGAAGCAATATATGGCCTGGCTGTAAATAGCCTCCACAATTGACAGCTTAGATGACGCTCACAATGATATTGAGCCATGCGTGCCTTTATTACTTTGAGCATAATGTTTGCACACGTCAACGATGCGTGAGCGGTCTACAACTCAGTCCCACGGTTGCCAACGGCTTACAACGGCACGTCCCTTACGGAGTACCGATAAGGCAGTCCAACCGCGGGGTCGCTACAGAATCTCGCGATCGTGCATGTGACAATGTATTCTGGTCCTCCTGGAGTCTTATCGTGACAATGAGACGTCTCCGGCAAGTTGCGCACATTCTCAAGATGCATTTCCGTGAAGAACCCCCAAAGGTGGTAGGTAGTCCATGGTGGCGAACATGGCGCTGATGTCTCAAAACCATTGTCATATGACCGCGCATGGCGGCAGATGACGCTATCACACCGTCGCATCCTGGAGCGACACGTGTGACCCGATAAGCCACAGCCCTGACAGAAATAAGTCACAGTCTCTCTCGAGACCGTCTTTCACAAACCCCTTCCAGCTACGTAGTCGCGGACTTTATTCGGTGGTTACATTTGACGGCTGCTTACCCTGGCTGCGTACACATTTGACATCTCAGTGTGCATTTCAGTGCATCTCTGTGCATCTCGGATGGTGGATTCACTGATCCTCCAGTGGCTGACGGATAGACGGTGCGGGAGGGCTCCACACCCAATCCCGCCGGCGTCCAAGACACGCCAATGTGCGACTTGCCTCGTCTGCGTGAGCAATTCTGATCCAGTCACAAGATCTCAGCCGACGAGACTCGCCAATTGCCTCCGTACCCATCTAGACTACTGCATTGACTTGCAAGCTCGACAATACCAAGAAGTTGACGGCCACCTCGCGAGGAGGCGCGAATCCAAGTGTCATATCTCCCTCCGTCATTGACACTACAAACCCCTGTCTGACGTGCCCACAGCCCGCTCATCATTGGCTGCATCGGGTCGGTCAAGGAGATGGGGCCAAGCCCATTGAGGGGGGACCCTGTGACTCACACGCACGCGCCTAGAACCCCTCTTCGCGACGCAGAGGCGTTCCCAGGCAGAAGGGGCTGACCAAGAACGGGACGGACAAAGGAGTGTCATGCGTCGCATTGGATGGTCAATCCACGGTGGTGGCCTCTCCGTGCCACTATCTCCGGCGCGCGCGCTCTTCCGTGCCATCATATCTGAGTGTCCCGAATGTCTGCGTGCGTGTCTTTCGACAAAC